TCTCGCCCTTCCCTTACGACCTCGTACGTGTCTTCTACCTCAACACTCGAGCATGCCGCTGACAATACGGTTCCTCACAGTTGACGCCCCACCTCGACAAGTACCCTAACGCAGACCTTCTGTGGTGCCAGGTACGTTTCCATGCTCCAGTCACCAATGGACAATTACTCAACTTTTCTCTGCAGGAGGAGCCGCTGAACAACGGCGCGTGGTCGTACGTCGGCCCGCGCATCCACACCGCGGCGAAGGAGACGGCGCACCATAAGCGCAAGTACCCGCTCTATGCCGGCCGCGAGCCTACTAGCTCCGTCGCGACGGGCAGCAAGGTGCGTTACCCCTTCCTGAATTCTAACAAAGTGTGGAGACTGACGGGGACGTGGATATTAGGCGCAGCACAAGAAGCAGATTGAGCAGTTCCTTGCGGACGCGTTCGCACCTCGGCCGTGAAAGCGTTTTCCCTGGGCATCGGCGCAAGGCTACATATGTAGACCGTCGCATTCATTAGTACATATTGAGCCTAATCATATAGAGTCTGTTGTTGTTCCACTTATCGGCGTAAGGGAATGGTGGGCAGTATGTTAGGATGCCGTGATTGAGAGTGGAGGGGGACCGTACCTTCCTTGCACCAGGATGAGTATCTACCAGCGCTGTATCATCGACCAACAGCGGTTGGAACATCGATGGTATTGCAAGACAATGCGAGGATGAAGAATATTGCATAACGAATAGGATACAATTGGTCGTGTACGGTCGTAGATGTTTCGTAAACTGGGTGTCGTAGAGTATGGGTGGATAGATATGTCCGAAACGCCCATCGACGGACGAGTGAAGGCAATGAATGGAGCCGAGCACAGCGTGGTATCGGGGCCGTGGATGTGGAAGTTGGAGCTGTGCGTGGTATGGTAACGGGTATGCGTAGAAACGAGAATCGCGTATGATAAATGTAATGCAAAAGGTATCAACCGAGGTGTGCTTCAAGAGACCCACGTCTCCGTGCCGGCGGTCCACTTCGCGCGCGGGGTATACTTGAGACTGGGATCCTGCATGCGTTCCCGCACCGTCTCGTGTATCTTGAGTGGCGCATCAACTGGAACCTGTCGTCCCCTGCCGAGATGGAACCTAAACAAAGTGTTTTCAGTAAGCGGATTCCGACTCGTGCCTCTTCCCTGAGTAGTGTCATATTGGAGAGCAGGAGGCAATCGATCCTGCACGCACCACCAGATGTTCTTCCACTTGCCCGATGCCTGCTGCCACGGGTACGAGATCGGGACAATTTCGAGAAGCCACCAAGCCGGCGAGGATTTGAACGCGTCATGCGTCGGCTGAATCGCGTCTGCCTTCGCATCTAGCGAATCGCTCCCTGTCTGGTCGGATGGAGCAGAAGGAGCTTGAATCTTCAACGGCGGGTCGGACAAGTCGCTGTCCTCGGCAGAGGACGCAGACGTGCCCTCCTCTTCTGGCACGGTGGGTTTGTGGCGCCGCGGGGTGTGCGAGATGATGGTTTGCGACGGGAGGGGGAATCCTACGCCGCGGAAAATGGACTCTGGAATGTTAGCGCGGACGAGTGCAGCCTCGTCAAAGGCGATACCGCACTGCGCCTGCACAACCTCGCGCACCATCCAGCGGAGTGTGATGTCAGAAAGGCTGACCGTGACATCGTCGGCTACCGAGCCACCACCAACGTCTACACACGCACATGTTCAATTTGGCTGCGCATACGTTGGAGCAAGAAGAAGACGCACCAGTGTGGCATCCAGAGAACCAGACCTCCAAAACATCCGTGCCCCCTGGGATGCCGTCGCCAAGTGCTTCCGCCACCACATCCGAGCTGGTGGAGTCTGTGGGAGACTGTCCTTCGCGAAGCTTAGTGCTATTTTTGTTCTGCTGCATCTTGTTCTTCTGTACTTGCGCGGCAGATCTACGCGACTTTCCGAAGAGCCCGTGGGAAGGCGACTTAGCACTCGACCCTTCGGGCGCAGCAGAGCCCGGCTGCTTGGAAGACACAGTTGCCTTCTGGGCCGTGGTGTCGCGGTGATAGAAGTTGGGCAAGAACTTTACTCGATGCTGTGGTTTAGGTCAGTTGAGGAACGTGCATCACGCTGAACTTGACAATACCTCGTCGAGGGCGAGCGCATGCCTGAACTTCTTGATGGTAGCGTTTGCTGTGGTGAACGGTAAGGTGCGGGACATCAGCACTCCGACGCTGGCAACAGTGTCCCTGAATAACCCCTTTGTCAGACCTGTTCTAATCTCAGCAGGGAGCGCTGCGCAACCTACCAAACGCCCACGAATTCGATCTCGACCGTCCGACAAAAGGTCTGCTTGAATCCAGCGGCTAGAGCAAGGCTGTCCTTGTCCGTCTTCGTGTACAATTTGTACGCAAAGGGAATTTGCTCCATATTGTCTCTCGGAAGCAATCCAATCTGATTCATCATGGATGCATTAGTGGATACCGGTTGCAAAGGCAGCCATGGGCACCTTATGAAGCATCCCTGCAAGAGCCCTGGCGGTGTATGCGCCTCTCGAGAAGCCTGTATGCGCAGTTCACGTCAACCACCACGCCGGCACTAGGATACGGGCGTCCTACCAAAGAGGCATATCCGGTCGCCGGCGGCGTAGTTCTGCATAAGAAACTGATATCCGCCACGAACGTGCGCGTCGAGATACCTAAACTCAAACCGTTTAGCGCAGTAAACAGGATACAGACACGTTGGTGGACTTGCCATGCGAAGGCCTCGTCGAGGATCTTGGCGCCCCATTGGAAGAGTGGAGAGACCATTCCGGGATTGAAGTAGGTTCCTACGCCGGGCTAGGAAATTCGGGTCAGCGCACTATCAGCGACGATGAACAGATCGGGCCGTCGCTGATGACGTCGGATTGCCGCAGCTTCATTTCGGCCAAAGTAGCGGTGGCCCGGGAAAGAGGCCGCGGGGTTGTGCTCGGCGTGGAAAGCCTTGGCTCACCTGATAGTAGCACAGCTGCTGGTCATTGTCGTCGTCCTTTTGCAAGAGGGAGTACAGCTTGACGACGTTCGTATTCTACAAGAGACTGTTAGCTGAAAGTAAACAGTTATTGACGTCATACGCACATCTCCGTCGTACTGGCTCGCCGTACCGTCGAAGCAGAGGATGAGAGTACGCGACTTGCGCTCATCGCCGTCCTCCGAGGGCGCGCTCTTTCCCTGCGGCCCAGCCGAGGAGACTGGGGGAACGAGGGACGACTGGGGGTACATGGTGAAGAGGGCAGAGGGGAAGCAGAAGCGGCTGCGAGGGCCCAGCTGGGGTTATATAGGGCCTGGATATAGAGCGCGGCAATGTGACGTGGGCGAGTGACGGGGCGCGGGACAGATTCAACTTGGAATTGGAAGGCCTGCGCACGGCAGCAACCAAGGACGTCATCCGACGGGAGACAGACACATCGCGAGAGAATGTCGGTTACGGCGGGCGGCGCTCTCGGCTGGACCACACCGGACACCCACAGCTGGTGCAGCTGGCCGCCCCATTCACAGCGGCGACAGCTGGACACTACACGTTCGCCACATGACTGGGCCCACGCTGGGCCGCACGTTCATACGGACGTCGAAATGGTCCCATACTCCCGTCCATATCAGGCAGATTCGGGCCTTGAGCTTCTCAGACGTATATCCGAGATCCACTTTCTCACTGATCTTGGCGCGCGTCGCCAGGAGCAATATAGGCTTTTCCGAACACTGGGGCACAGAAGAGAATGCACGGGGTCAATGGCGGGTCGCTGAGAGGCGAGAGAAAGCTTACGCACATGGATTAGCAGCACCAAGGAGGACGACCGGGAGCCTCATGGCGACGGGGCCTTGGCAAAGCGCCCGTTGTGGCGCTCTCTCCGCAACTCCGGTTCATGGCGCCTTCTCACACACAGATACCCGGGCCTCCAAGTCCATGTCATCCCGAGTGTGCAGATGTTTTCTATAGATATACGACAGCAAATGCGCATGCAAGCATGCAAGCAGTAGTCCTATCAATACATATACAGCATCGATATATCACCAGTCAGTGAGATAGTTCAGTCCGAGCACGTTCTCAGCCCCACTGGATGCCCACATACGGTTAATACTCGTCCCCAGGGTAGTCGACCTGATCGTATAGCCTCAAAGTCTCGTTCCAGTCCCGCTTTCTCCGCCTCCGCACCGAGAAGTACTTCGCCTTGCTCGCCCACCGCCCTCGCACACGGCCCTTCTCCACCCCGCCCGACTCCGCAAAGTACGTCTCAGGCTGCTCCGGCAACCCCAGCGTGCCCACCGCGAGCGCCATGACGCGCGCGTGCAGATCCGCACGGCGCTCGCGCATGCCCTCGAGCGCGGGCTTCCCGACGCGCAGCAGCCGCGAGAGCGCCATGAACGCGCGGAATGCGGCCACCGCGTCCTCCGTCCAGCGCAGGCTCATCCACATGCCCGCGGGGACGAGCACGGCGGTGAGGAGCGCGACGGGGAGCGTGGCGAGCAGCGCGACGAGGTACACGCAGACGTAGGAGACGAGGCCGTACGTGAGCTTGTACTGCGCGATCTCGTCGTAGGTGTCCCAGACGGGCCCGGTGCGCTTGTACTGGTGCACGGCGATGAAGGTCGTGATGTAGACCGGGAGCCAGAGGATGAGGCCGGGGATGGAGAGCGCGATGAGGAACAGTGACCAGATTAGTCGGACGAATATCCGGTATAGGATGACGGGGCGGGGGAGTGGGCGGCGGATTCGGTCATCCTTGATACCCCACCGAGAAAGCTGGTCTTGATACTCCTACAGTTTGGGTGTCAGACGACGGTCCTCCTTAGCAGAGCTGGCAGCATACCTTGAGGTCATTGCCAAGCTGAAGAATCTTTCTGTCCTCTTGCGTGACCTGTTCGGACGGGAATTCACCGTCGCTGGTCGGGTCCGCCTTTGGCTGTTCGGCCGCCTTGAACGCTTCGAGGAACGTCCTGACGACACGGACGTAGTCACCCAGACTCATCGTCGTGCCCAGCGGCGCATACATGCGCGCGGCGAGTTTGGCGATTCGGATCAGTCTCCAGGAGGGCGCATCAAGAGTGCCCGAGCTGATTTGTTGGTGCATCTTCGCAGTGAGGTGCCGAATCTCGTCATAGTTCACGGGTGCCAGGAGCTCTGGATGGTCCTGTGTCAAGTGTTAGTTAGACGAGGGACTGTGGTAAATCTGTAGCATGTGCACCGACCTTCGGTGTGAACTTCGTTGGTGGGTGGAAGGTCACTAGCACGTCCGAGCGGAAGCTTTGCCGATGCCTGCGAACGCGCGTAAGATGTATACGAAATATCTCAGCTGGATGCCACATACATGTAAGTGATGGAACAAGTAAGAACATCAATTTCGAAATCTGGATTGTGGCGGTTCCGCGAGAGCACGTCCGACACCAAGCGCGATACTACGTACCGACGGGTGAGCAATTCTCGATATACCGATAGGTAAAATATCTGCTGACCTCCAGTTTTGAGGGGAGCAATAGTGGGATGGTACCGGCTCATGCCCTCTGGGAATAAACACACAGCATCCCCAATTTCCAGAGCCTGTGCCATTGGTCAACGGTGGTCCCAGGAGGCATGCATGAAGTCATTACCTCTACGAGGTATTTCATGGCATGGCTGTTGTCGACTGTGCCGTCGGGGGCATCCTTGCGCCGCATGAGCGGTACTGTGCCCGCGGACTCAATAAGCCAGCTCGTGAAGTTCTTCCTTCCGAACTGGGTCGCCTTCGCCGTCAGCCTGAGTAGATTGCGCTTCTATTCTCAAGCAAGCTATTAGGGTATGTGGAGCTCGACCCGAGCGGGCTGTCATACCTTCGAGGGTATGGACGTGACCAAGAGGCTGAGCTCGCCACCATAGTCAGACTTTGCCAGTAGACAAATCTGCTCACAAGGAGTACTCACAGAGCATCGGTAAGGGAGTTACTGTGGTTTGCGCACACTATGCTGCGGCACGGAGTGTGTGGGGACGCGGCATACACGCGCCGAAAACGAGGCCACTCACCATGGCGTGCCCCTCGGGGGAATCAGGTCGGCGTTCTCCACGACAATGGTGCCATAGAAGATCTTGAGGACAAACTTAAACAGAAGACTAGATAGTGCTTGCTTCAGCTCCGGGATACCTACCGCATGTACGGCGTCTTTACCGTATGAATAGGTAGGACCATGGCGTCGGGCTGCCCTTCGGCGTTGACATAGACTGGTAGTAGTGATTAAAGTCGTCGCACTAAGATACGTCCAAGCAGAAAGCAAATAAGAGAGTCTTCAGCTGTTGCCAGCCGTGCAGTCTAGAGCTGCTGAGATTAGGAGGCCGAGGGATGTCGTGGTCTCTGCAAAGGTACGACCTTCCCCGGCATGCTAACAGCGCCGTGGAGGCATCGGTGACGGCATGCAGCTAGCGCCAAGCCAATGTAAATTAAGCACCACGGGCGTCTACAGAGCATGCAACCTCTATCCTCGACCACATTTCGAATTCGCACCGAATATCTATTCAATGACCATCGGACACGCACCTCGGCCAGGCTTGCGCTGATTCATGGATACTAGCTCGGGCTTGGCGTACTGAGGCGCGTTATCAGGCCCGGGACAGAGCTTAAGGCGGCGTACATTCGCTATGGAAGCTCTGGGGAACACCTGGGCCGCGGATGTCGCTGTGAGAGGAGAAATTGGCTGCTTGGTAAGTCTGTCGTGCCCATGCGGACACATTTAAGTTTAAGCTCGCCACGATATTGCAGCTTTGTCATGCGCAGGCCGACCTTCGAATCGATGGTGGGACAGCACGAAGTTCCTGTGACTCACGCTGTCATGTATATAGAGCTCCAACCATGGGTACGGTGCGACCCGGGGTAGATTCTTCCAGCCCACTGCATCCCTGAGTCGTCATATTCCCTATAACCTCCACGACACACCTCGAAATGCCGGAGCCTATCATCTTCTATGATATTCCTAGCCAGGGAACCGCGGTGAAAGCGTGGTCCCCGAACACTTGGAAGACCAGGTATGTGCAACATAGCGCACGTCCGTGTCAATGCCATGCACACCTCAACCGTACTCCGTAGATATGCCCTGAACATCAAGGGTATCCCTTACAAGACCGTATGGGTCGAGTACCCCGACATCGAAAGCGTCATGCGCAAGATCGGCGCGCTCCCCACTGAGACCAACGCGAACGGCACCCCACACTACACCCTCCCCGCGATCTACGACCCAAACACGAAGACCGCGCTCGCCGAGTCCGCTCTCATCGCCCGCTACCTCGACAAGACGTACCCCGACACCCCGCGCCTCATCCCCGAGGGGACCGCCGCGCTGCACGCCGCGTTCACCCAGGCGTTCCGGGCCGTGCTCACGAAGGACCTCATGCCGATCACCATCCCCGCGACGGCGGACCACCTCCCGCCGCGCAGCGAGGCGTACTTCCGCGCGACGCGCGAGGTGTTCTTTGGCGGGCCGCTCCAGGAGCTCGCGCCCCCGGGCCCGAAGCGCGAGAAGTACTGGGCGGAGGTGAAGAAGGCGTTTGGCACGTATGCGCAGTGGCTCCAGGCGGACGGGGTGGATAAGCCGTTCATTCTTGGAGACAAGATCGGGTATGCGGATGTTACCATCGCCAGCTTCGCGGTGTGGATCCGCATTGTGTTGGGCGAGGATAGCAAGGAGTGGACGGACTTCAAGACTTGGGACGGGGGTCGCTGGGCGACGTACATGGACACGTTCAAGCGGTATGAAGACGTCGACGCTGGTGAAGCTGCTGTACTTTGACTGGACTAAGAATCCCGAATCGTGTGGTAGGATTCTTGGGAAGGAACTCATCGTGGTGTGTATTTCAAGTTCGTATTGGTAGAACTGAAGTCTCGATCTTTGGCCAGTCGGTATATACGTACGCTATTCTGTACTGATGCCTTCTTAGCTCAGTGGTAGAGCGCGCCACTCGTACGGCCTTACGTGCTATGGTGAGGTCGGTTGTTCAATCCAGCCAGGAGGCATATACACGGAGTCCATCGATACGTTTTTGCGCAAAACTCCAGCTTGACCAAGGCTTGACGACATATTTGTTCATACAGCGTCGGACATCGCCACTTCGTTGGCCGTTGAAGAACGCTAGATACAGGGCAACGTCTCACCTCCTCAAAAACACAATATAAGTACAGTTTATGCGCGCCCGCAGTACTGCAGGTTATCGACAGAGCTTCCACATCCCATCCTTCACCATCACCAGCCCTTCCCGCCGCGCGGCCTCCATGAACTCGGCGAGCTGCTCAATGGTCTGATCATAACCAGGCGCGAACTTGAGCATAGTCTGTATGCGCGCGAGCGGTAGTGCGCCCAGATTCGTGAGCATGCCCTCGATGAACTAGAGTGATACGAAGAGAGGTTGATTAGCATTGCGCCGTTGGGCGTTGGAAAACAAGAGGACGCCATACCTTCCAGAAGACCTTCATCTGCTCTGCCTGTTGTTGCTGAACAGCCAATGCTGGCGCTTCCTCGTCCGCGGCTGCAGGTACGTACGGTTAGACATGGTACACACATCATACACCTGAACTGAAGGGCCTACCTGCACGAGTTGCGGCCTTCTGGCCAGAAGGTAGCGCTTCTGCGATCTCGAGTAGCTTGTACCGGTCCTCGTCTTCCTCCTTGAGCACGCCGAGGTCGAGCCAAGTAGTGAGCGCCTTGACGATGGCGGTCTTCTCGACAGACTTCAGCTCGGCAACAAGCTCGTCCACCGTCCAGATGTCTATATCATGACATTGTTAAACGCGTGAAGGTGGGGTCACGAAACCGGAACGCACCCTTCTGAGAGAAGAACTCGACGATCGACGCTTCGAGAGGGGGGACCTCCGCGCTGACTGTGCGGTCTTGAAGCTCGATATCGAGCTTGATCGTCCCGAGATGCGAGAGCCAGTGCAGATGTTTGTCCGGCTTGAAGAGATGAAATTCCTTCGCATACGAATCTTGGATACTGATGATTGATTGATCAGTCGCACTCCCCTCCTTGAGTGACGAGGAAACTTACTCTCTGAATTGTCCGGGCATCGTGAAGCTGTTGGTTTGGAGGGGTGGCCAGAAGTGCCGTGAAATGATGGTTGGGTGCAGAGGTACCTGTGGAACAGATTTAGTACTGATGAAATGGAGAAGCACGAGATGGACACTCACAGCTTTCTGCGCCTGGACGTGCTGGTCGATACGGCGAGAGTCTGTCATGTCGCGCAACATGACTTCGCAAACCTGCAGGGCGGCCTCTCCGAAGCGGACCTTCAGGATCTCGATATTCCTCCGCTACGATGTATTCTTCAGTTGCACATCCCGTACACACGAACGACAACGCACGTACCTCTCGTTCGTAGTTGCCGTCCTTTACCGCTAACAATCTCTGCGTGAGGAGTACCTGCAACTCCTTGACGAAAAGGTCTTTGGAGTCGTATATACTGACGAGTGTACTGATCACGTCGCTCGGCTTGTTTGTCCTGAAATCTGAGAAAGGGATTAGGCATGCAAGCAGAAATTCTGGTGACAAAAAGTACCTGGACCGGCATCAATGGGTTCAGGCTCCCAGTTCGGGTCAGAGAAGTCGTCCGCCTGCATCTGCTGCAGAGGCTGGATAGGCTCATTCTCGTCGACCAGCGAATCGCCGCTTTCGCCGTCGCCGACGAGACTTGCAACGATACATCGAATGGTGTCCGATCGCTCTCTACAGGGATACGAGCCTCAGATCGAGGAAGACCAAAATACCGGAAGGAAAGCTTACCTGAGGTACTTTCGTATAGGGTCAGCCACCTTGTATAGCAAGACGCCTGGTGGATCGATGATCCGTAGACATCGAATGATGGAGACGTATTGCGTCAGTATATCTTTGGTGTCTGCTCCCGGATGGAGGAGCCGCTTCTTGTTCCTGGTTGACCGGTATCATCATCAGACTGTTGAGGAGTATGAATAAGTGAAGCGTACGCTTTGCGAAGATTGATGACTAGCTGGCTACGCTGGTCTACGCGCTGCAGACATTCCTGAATACGACCACGAACACGGTTAACCATCATTTCGTAATTATCAAACCCAGGCCGTGAGGAAGCGACCTTCAAATCCAGTAGCGCACTCTGTGAATCAGGAAAATCGATGATGATGTCGAAGATTTCCTGAATGCTGTGGGTAGAGGTTAGCAGCAATTTCGTCAATGACTACGGCGGTCTCACCGAAGGTCGCAGAGCGTTTTGCAGACATGGTAGTCAAATCTTGAACCGACCCCTTGTAGCATCGCACGCGCTTCTTCAGCTATAGAATCATGAGCTCTACATACAAAAACATCAACACGTCAGAACTGCACTGACCGCTTCTTGCGCCTCTGGCGTAAGGCATGATCATCCACGGAACGATCTTCTCGGTCATCCACTCCCTTAGCTTTGGCAGCATAGGCTCATCCCATTTCTTGGCGCACGTCTCAAGGACGTGCGCTTCGATATACTCGTAACATACGCTGGAGATCAGCGACTCGTACCGTTCCAAAAGACCTAGCGTTTCGCAAGCGATCCAGAGTTGATAATCCGGACGTGGTGGCGGATCTATGGGCGGGAGATCTGCAGGTATTAACCACGGTGGCGGTGAGGACGCGCTGACCAAGGAAAACGTCGAGGCTATGAGCTCCTTGAACCCCCGTGAGAAGGAGGGAGGAAATATGGAGAATATGTGAGTTCGAAACACGAGAGTATAGGCAGCGTGGATGGTCAATCCCAATCTATCAAAGCCTGCGTCAGTTTGCATTCCAGCTAATCCCATGATACGTTTGGCCTTACTCTGCTATAGGTTTCCACTGTACATACCACGAAACAAGGCGGAAGATCAATCGTACGATAGAGTCGGTTTGACCGGAGTTCTGCACACAATAAATATATAGATCGTCGTATATCTGTAGTAAGACGCACCTCATATTCCGCCATGTACTGCGCTACCTCTCGCTCGATAAGGTACTGTTGCCTCCGCATGTCCTCTGAAGCGTATTCCCCGACAGTCAAGCATGAAAAGCATAAAAGCGAAGCATAGAAACATACCGAGAAAGTTCTCTAAAAGCATTGACAGCATCCTTGCCTTGCCTATCAAATCAAAGGCCGTTCGAATCTGTTGCATATCTTGTGGCTAAGCTGAGTACCCCGCAGTTCGAGAGTGTTCCGTGGCTGCACACCTTTGGTTTTGACAGAGGTGGGGTCGTTGATATCCCGTGGATATAGGAATTCGGAAGCTGTCTGCCATGCCTTTTTGCATAACGAAGGGTCGCGTTGAGTTAAATGTTAACGGCAAGAATTGTTCGCATACCTGGCTAAAAGACAGGAGCCCTTGAATTCCTGGCTCCTCCCCGTTCAGGCGTTCGAAAGCCTTCTGCCATTTGGCGGAGGTCTGTATTCGTAGAGACTCTGTTGCCATGCGAGAGTGGTATGAGCGGGGCCAAGAGGCGAGGGGGGTTGGTGGTGGTGGAAGAGAGCGAAGTGATCGCGAGCCACGGGCGCGTCGCGTCGCGTCCAAGACGCGCTTCGATGGGCGCTTACGCGTCTCTTTGGCTTGACACACAACCACGACGACCCTCAACTTGGAGCTCGATCTCAGTCTTTCTTTGGCCCTTTAAGAACATCCTCATAGAGACTTAGACGCCATTCAATGCCCGCAACCAGTGGAGATGCTTTCACCTATGCCTACAAACATGTTGACGGGCAGCCCGTTCACATCGATGTGTATCCGCCGCAACAGGCAGCACCTTCCGAGATCCTCGCGCCGCTGCCCGCAGTGATTTACTTCCATGGAGGCGCTCTGACCGTTGGGAACCGTCAGAGCTGGTTTCCTACATGGCTACACCGTGAGCATCTGTTTCCCTCTCATTAATCGGAAAGATTCAAAAACATCTCTTGCGTGGCCATTTGCTTACATTTGACCCATGTCAGGACGCGTGACAGAGCTGGGGATGGTATTCATCTCTGCTGACTACCGGCTCATTCCTCCTGCTACCGGACATGATATCCTCTGTGACATCAAAGACCTCTTCCACTTCATCGAAAGCGAACTGAACCAAGGTATTCTGGAGGACTGGGTCACGGCCGCTCGCGTTGGTCGCCCTTTTCAGATCAATCCACATGCGCTCGCCGTGTCGGGGAGCAGCGCTGGCGGGCTGTGCGCGTATCTAGCAGCTATACATGCATCACCAAGACCAAAGGCTGTCCTGTCTCTGTATGGAATGGGAGGCGATATGACGGTCAGTCCCTCCGTAGATATGCACCATACAGGGCCCTTACTATCGCAGACCTCGCAATACCTTGAGCCTAAATCGGAGCCATTCTTCCGTGGACGCGAGATACTGGACCCTGGCGACTTCTCTGAATATCTGTACCCGGCCTCGACGCAGTTGCAGCCCTCCGCAGACTCGCCATTAGCCTACCACCCGCCGACCTTCCGGATACCCGGGTACCCGGCTAATCCAAGGATGCTGCTTGGCCGGCTATATCTTCAAATGGGCACGTTCTTAGATTACTACATAGGGTCCCACAACCCAAGCCTCAGCGCGATCCTGCGAGCCCATCTCCGCGACCAACCCCAAGCTGATCATAGTGTCCCAGCCATCCCTGCTGCACATCGGCACCTTTTCCCCCAATTCATGATCACTTCTGCGTTGCCGCCGGTGTTCCTCATCCATGGGTCGAGCGATACCGCGGTAGTAATCAAAGAATCTCACAATCTACAGTCTTTGTTGGAAGCAGCCGGGGTTCGTGCGGAGCTGGTGGTCGTAGAGGGCAAGGAGCATTCATTCGACTACGAGCCGAACGCAGAAGAAGAATTTGGCGGGCCAGGAGGGCTGTTTGACCGAGCGGCGAGCTTCCTCCAGGAAGCCTTGATTACTTCGTGAGTAAGTGGGCGTCTTGACAAGGCAGCATTATGTGCATTGACCAATTTGTTAGAGTAGATCAGGTATCGTGACATAGACATGCATAGATTATAAGCATGGTATCACCCGAATGCATTGCGTACCAGTACATGGGACGTCGCCCGCGAGCAAACAAAAAACCAAGAAAGAACAGTCAACCATCGAATCGTCCGTCACGCTGTCACCAAACGTTCTCCCTCCACAGCAGGCCCTTCCACCGGTCGAGACGGGTAGTCCGCGATCGTGTCCGCGAACAACTCCTCTCCGCTCAACGACCGCGCAACGAAGGTGCCTGGGTCGGAGGAGGCATGCGATGATGGCTTCTCTGATTGTTCCAATGCTGTTCGCAAACGGTCGGTGAGGGAGTCCGACTTGGGCTCTTGCTCCTGCCACTCCCCATCACCGCCCACCACACCGAACTCGTTCGCGCCGTCCAGACGTAGGTCCTCCAGTGGGGGATCTCCATCGATCCCATTGAGGATGGGACCGACCGCACTGTCGCCTTGGATGGTGGCGCGTCGTTCTTCCCCACTCTTCATCACATCGCTCGCTGGCGCCTGCAACTCCGTTTTCGTCCATTCCCTTTCCAGCGTCTCGTCCCAGCCGAGTTCCCTGCACAGATCCCGCACGACGTCATCGCATCTGCCAAGTAAGAGCACGTCGTCCGACCGCATGCCGATATCACCCCCGAAGTCCATATTGATGAGGACACGGGGACAGCTTTGGGGGACCATCGTGGCCAGCGATGCGAATGGCTGGGTCGCCAGCGACGTCCCAATGACGAAAAGCAGATCCGCGCTTTCCAGCTCGGGCGCGCCATCCGTGAACGCTTGCGGCGGCTGGGAAGATGGTCAACATTCCGTCCTGCGCAACGAGGGTGCATCGGCGTCTTACCGGGTCTCCGTGGAAGGCAACGCTCGGCTTCACAAACCCGCCGCACGCTTCGCATCGTGCGGCCTCACCCTGCTCTATGGCTTCTGGCATCTTCAGGCCGTCGAATTCCTGCTTGCAATCGATACAACTCTGGCTCGCGAAGCTTCCATGGAACTCTACCAGGCGGTTTCGGGGGATGCCTGCCTGCCGCTCGAGGGCGTCGATGTTCTCCGTGAAGCATGTCTGCAGCGAACCGCCGTCACAGAGGAGCTTCACGAAGGTGTGGGTGGGCGTCGGCCGATAGCGGCCGGGGTGCAGCTCGCGCGCGAGCGTGTATACTGCCGTCCGTCCAATGGGTCAATCCACCGGGGTCCTGTGGCGTAATATGCGCACGGCGAAAGGGACTCACGAGGTATGGGGTTGAAACGGAAGTAGGTGCGCTCGAAGAGGGCGCGCGGGTACGGCAGGTTGAGTCGTGCCATGATCGTGGACTACGCAATGTTGACGCAATGTCCCCCGTCAGGATACGCGAGCGAGACCCTCAAAGAAAGGCGTCCGCACATATAATCCTGCGCGGCAGACGGTTGGTTTTCCAGCTGCTGGAGGCCGCACCTAACGCTGCGCTCACCTTTCTTCGGATATCGAAAGTCCGGCACACCTGCCCCCGCGCTCGCAGCTGCGGTCCTGCGCGATCAGCATCCCATGTTTTGTCGCGCGCGAGACGACACAGGCGTACCCGAGCCAAGCTGCGTGTGGCTGTCTCAGTCGCGGTGTACACAGTCAGAGCAAGGTGGCGGATGTACCAGAACAAATATTCGTTTGCACTGCTCCGATTCCATGTACCGCGCGATGCCCGCGACGTCGCGCGACTCGAGGATCTTGGTAGGGCCATCGTACATCATGAGCAACTCGTCCGGGTCATCCATGATCATATGTCACTGCTGATATTCGGTTAGGCCCACTTCGGGGACCGAAATCCACGCTCTCTGACACTCACATAGGGTACGCTGGCAAACGTGTAAGTCTCGACGCTTTTTCGCAGGGGCGCCACGAAAATCGATGGAACTGGGAGGAGGAGAGGAGGCACGGGCGGGTGGGAATGTCCGCGTCCGAGTGCATCAGCCCTCTTCTTTCGCTTGTCAGAAGAGACGCCGCAGCGATTACGCACGGCCGCGATTATCAGGTGGCCTGCCAGGGCACCGCGATATGGGTGCCGGTCGTCCATAGCGGACTAGCTGCTGTTGCGGAAGGCATCGAAGGGCGTGCCCGTGGGGGCCTGTCGCGAGGAAGCACGCCTGCGGCACGAGGCGCGGACGCTTTCCGTGCGGCGGCTCGGACGAACCCCCCGGAGGATGCGCGGATGTAGCTCTGATCAGGCATTATCCACGCAGCTCAGCGCCTGAAATGAACGCTTCCCAGCTCAGCGGCGTTAATACAAGTTGTTATACAGACAGCATGCGTATGGCGGTATGACGCGACGAGCAATACAGGCGTTGAGACCTCGCAGGTTCCGCTGACCCACCTACAGCTTCTCCCTCGCGGAAGGGCTGTCTTCCTTCCGTTCCGATGATGCGTCATCTGTCTTCGGCGTATCGTCCGGGGCTTTTGAGTCTGCCGCGACCTTCGCCTCCTCCGCAGTCGCTGCCTCGGGGGCGATGGTCACTGTCGTGGGCGTACGATGTCCCTCCCCTTCGGAGATCCCCAAGCCCTTCCCGATTTTCTCAACGAGCGCGTCCACCGCTGCTTCAACCCGTGCATCCTGCGCTTCCGGCGTGGCAACCGCGGGGGAGCCTTCGCTAGCCTCAGCCACGCTCTCCGGCGAGGGTACGGCATCGGCTGTAGCGTTCGTGGACGCTGCAAGGTCTCCTCCCGGTTCGGGCGTTGCGACTAGAAGCTGTTCGAGCGGGCGGAGGATCTCCGTCTTGCCCCACTCGCGATCGAGCTCCTCCTCCCAGCCCAGCTCCCTGCAGAGGTCGCGGACGATCTCGTCGCATCGCCCGAGCAGGGTGACGTCGTCCGCGCGCCCGCCGAAGTCGCCCGCGGGGTCCATGTTGATGAGTACGCGCGGGCAGCCCTCGGGCACGAGGCTCGTGAGCGACGCGAACGGGTGCACGGTGAGCGAGGTGCCGATCACGATGAGCAGATCGGCGCTGCGCAGCCGCGGCACCTTCTGGTGGAAGACCGGAGGCAGCTATAGTGCGAAGCAGGGAGAGTGAGCTCCGGGAGAGTGGGGGTGGCGAACTCGGAGACCATGCGACTTACCGATTCGCCGAAGAATACTATGTCGGGCTTGACGAAGCCGCCACAGTCGCTGCATTTGACGATGTCCCCGGTTTCGACGCCCCTCTTCATTGCGGCGCCGTCGAATGACGCTTTGCAGTCGACGCAGTGTTGGGATGCGAAACTCCCGTGGGCCTCGACTATCCGGTCGCCGGGAACACCGGCTTGGCGCTCTAGGGTGTCGATGTTCTGTGTGAAGCAGGTATCCAGGAGGCGATGATCCGCGAGGAGCTTTACGAAGGTATGCGTGAGCGTCGGCCGAAACTGGCCTGGATACAGCTCTCGGGCGAGGGTATAAACTGGACGCGGAGTTTGTCAGCCGATGCCAGCCGATGCGAATATTGCGCATTGAGGCGTGAAGGGCACTCACACGGGACGGGGTTCTGGCGGAAGTAGTTAATCTCGAAGACGGCCTCAGGATACGGGAGGTTGAGCCGTTGAAGGTTGGACTAAGATACCGTTTGAGTAAGTCCGTACATTCGCTCGTAATGGAGTGCCAGCGTACATATAAGCCTATCGCCACACTTCAGTTTCGTTGCATGAAATTTGTGATCAAATGCAAGACTGACCAGTGCCTGGAGAACGGAAGTCAGGAATACCCGCTGCCGTGCTCACCCCTACGGTGTAGGTCAGTACAACGATCATAATCGTTCCTAAATTGACATGCATACCTGCTCCTAGCTGCACAGTGCCCCAAACATATGTCAGCAAACAGTATCACGCTCATTCAATCTCCCGCCTTACCATGACGAAAACCTTGCGGCATTCTGTAGACTTCATATACTTGGCAATAGAGGGCAAGTCCCTCGCCTTGAGGACCTCTGGGGGGCCATCATGTGGTGCAGAATGGGATTGGTCGTTCCCCATGTCGTTTGGTCTAGTATCACTCGACTCTGTCTATGTGTGCTCGATAGCGATAGAGATGCACCAAGCTGGCGTCAGTGGTGGGAGACTGAATGCAGGGAACACCTGAGAAAACATCCGCGGTCGGGCCGCAGGCATTGGGCGACGGGCGCTTGACGTCACCGGTGTCCGTCTCCAATAGGAAACTGCTGTAGATCATCTCATATGTTGTACATCCTCCAAGCTGCGCGCAAAATAAGTAATCTAGGCTGCTGCTGGGACCTCCCAGTCCGACAGCCATGATACGACGAAGCCTATCATCTGCTCATGGATCTGCTGGATCTCGATGGGCTCCTCGGAGAGGTTACGGCGGCCGTACTCGTCGTAGTGGTGAACAGCGTCTATTGCGTTCATTTAGACGACGTGGAGGGGCGATGACGCTCATTACGCACTGGGTATGATCTTGTACGGCTGCAGAATAGTGTCCGGCCTGTCGCGGGCGTACTCACTGTGCGGCGTGGCCGGCCGCCAAGGGTCGACTGGAGGGTGGTTAATATAATGCGGAAAAGGATGGAATCAGAGCCTGAGCGCACCTTCTCCGTCGATAATGGCCAGACGGTCTGCCGCGATGTCAAAGTCGCCAAGAGAGTTGACCGCGGTGATGTTAGGCAGCGGCGGGACAATGAAGTCCTTGCCGGGAACGAACGCCTGGCAGAGGGGTGGAGGTGAGCGCTTTTATTGTCGAAATCACAACGGAATCGTACCTGCTTGCAGAGCTTAGACTCGTATGCCAGGTCTATGCGGCGCGAGATAATGCGGGGTTGCCCTTCAGGAGGGGCGGTCTGTATGCACTTGTGAACATGCCAACATCGGCGCAGCAGACCATCGAAGCGCACCATGAAGTAACCCCACTCCGTGCAAACCTGGAACATCCACAGCCTCCACGTCTGGCTGAGGTCCGTGCCCTGGTACTTGGCGTCATCGTATGTGCCGAAGCACTATCCACACATCTATCAGCATTGTACTGGCCGCTATTACGGCAGGCATGTGCTCACCTCCTCGACAGCGCCGTTCGGGCACCGGGAGACATAGTTCTGCATGATGCGGAGTGATTAGCAGAGTACTGGGGAATATTCTTCCGGCTGCATACCGATTTGATGTACTGTGCGTAGTTGTAGACCGGTAGAGGAACCTTCAACTCCTCGGTGACCGCTACAAGGCCGGCGTCCTCGTCGTATGAGAGCACCTCAGGGGCATCCCAGGGTACGAATGACTTGTCTAGAGCGGTGCAAAACTCATCCCAGCTGGTGCTGCCGACCTCCGGGTCCCAAACCTTCCCTTGCCATCCACCGATCGGGCTCTATCACCCATCCATAAGCAGCCCGGCTAAGCCCAGATAACCGTATACGACACACCTGCAGGAGGGAGACGAAGTCCTCGTCGTGTCTGAGCTTCGCTAGCCCAAATAGCGCTTTCAGCGGGTACTTGGTGACCGGGACATCGAGGAGGGCGTCGATGATCTTGATTGAGTTCTCGAGGTGCTGAGCACATGTGGCGTCCGCCGCGCGCCGGATGGTTTCCGCGTATTCCCAAAGTTCGAGAGCAGCATGAGTGACGCCTGGTTCGCGCGGTTACATCAGTGCGCGCTGGGGCAGTGAGATCGGTGTGCATACCGCTAGACGCGATCGCGCCATACACAAGATCCGGGTACAAGATTTTCATGTGAGCCGCGCGCGCACCCGCGTATGAGCCCTGAGGAGACTCCTGGTCAACGACGCTTCAACGAGAGCATGGCGCAAGCGCATACGCCATAGTAAATCCATGGGTGGTTGGGCGCGGCGAGGTCCTCGTCAATTCCAGGAAACTTCACGTTCGCCATAAAGTTGGCAGAGTCCGCGGCAGACTGAGCATTGTTCAGCCACCTATATCCAGATGTCAGTTCCTTACTCTCACTGTGATACAGCACGCGTGGGCTGTCTTACCGCAAGGAATCGGTCGTGAAGTTCTGAACTGGGATCGTGCGGCCTGCGTGCCCAAGGAAGCAGTTGCGTCAGCGATCCTACCCCGTTACAGTTCTTCGCCCTGAAGCCGAGCACCCGTGCGCCAGCTAAAAACGCGACGTACCATAATATCTGTGTTCCAAGATAACGCCCACCCCGCCCGTAGCTTTCGTCAAGATCTCCACAATGCCGGTGTCAAGAAACGGCAGCCGGTCCCGCCCGCTCGTCTCGCCGCCATCGAGCACGATAACTGGTGCATCTGGGCGCGGGCGATAGTGACGCGTGCTGATCCAGTACCGCTGCTCGAAGGTATGCCCGGACGCGTTCGTGAAGTGGTCGAGCGGCTGCGTGAACCAGTGCGCGGGGAACTTGCGCTCGAGCGCGCTCAGTAGCTCGTCCGAGTCGTCTTCACTGGGAAGTGCATCCGAGGCGGAGATGTCGCCTGCGTGCTGCACGAGCAGCTGTGCATGAGCAGCGGAGGCCCGTTCGGCACTGTTGCGCGCCTCGAGTTGCCAGAGATTGACCGCCTGGGGTCCCAAGACGCGTACGTTGTCGATGCCGCCGCATACGGCGCGCGCAGCGAAGAGAGATAAGAGGGCGAGCAGGGCACCCATGTTGGCCATGGTGGTCGGAGAGCGAGCTTCCCGGTCCCCATGCTACCGCCTGAGAGCCCTGCGCGCCCAGTCTCACGCCATCACGTGCCCGAGACGCGATAGCATGCTGCAGTCTTCCCGCGACACCTGCTCGCTCTTTCTTCCCTCCTCATCGTCCTTCGCGCTGTCGAGAGCGTTTCCCGACGCGTCTCTCGTTCTTTCCAACAGCTTCCCGAGTTCTGGCGAAGCTTGGACGCGCCATGAAGGCACCCCTTGAGCCTGTTCAGCTGGCCACTTGCCAGTGCATCGCCATCTCGTTAAGTATGCCATGTCCGTCTGGCAACCTTGTATGCTCGTAATTTGTGAGAAGGTGTGGGACGCATGTCATATACGAGGAAGCAACTCCAACCCAGGCTGCAGGGCGTAGTCACTGTCGGTCTACACACGAATCCAACCTCCCAGCTAAGGACCTAAGGCTGACATGCCCAGTCTATGCAGAACGTCAGCCTTGCCAGCCTCCCTTGGGTATATAGAACCGGTTCTCCTGCTTGCTGGACCTCATCGTCCCTTCGTTCTCTACGGTCACCCTTCCCCTCAGGACTGGCGACCCCTCCCTCATGTCTCCCTCTCTCACGCTCGGTGTCGTATGAGGTGACTGTGCCTCCGACACTACCCATCTGCTCCGGCATATGCTCGATGGCGCGCGACACACAGGCATCGAGGTCGCTGGTTCTGTGGTTCTTGTCTGGGTTCCAACGGCTCAATGGCCCACCCATGCAAGACTCCCTTCTTCGGCCAAGGCAAGCACGCCGATGGAGGATTGTTTCGGTACTAGACGGAGGGGACTCTCAGGTATTTCCTAACTACGTTGGCTATCAGCACTCCTGCTTATCGTCAGTAGCATCATCCTAGGTCCCCTCTCACCGCAAGTCAGCCGCCACTCAAGAGCAATAGACCGTGCACCCCTCCGGGGTCGACGTCGTGGACCGTGGTGTTAGTTATATCCATATCTTCGACGGTCAACCAGCAGCACAGCTCCGAGTTTCAAGCGTTCCTGGCCTGTGGCTTTCTCGGCTTCTCGGTCTCTTTTTCTCTTTTCGCTTCGCTCTGTTCTCTAGTCGACCAGCTGTCGTCTCGTCTCGCTTTCGTCTCGCTTGTCTAGTCTCGCGCTCTTCGTCTTTGTCTCCTCTCCGCTCTGGTGGTCACCTCCACCTCTTCCATGCGGCAGACACTGACGGCCCTGCTCAAGCGCACTGGCGACACAACTCTTTCGTTTTCTTCCTCTGGATAGCTCTCGTACTGCTCTTCGTCAAAACCCATCAAACCCTCACAACATCACAAAATTGCAATAACCTCGAACAACACTGCGAAAAGGACGAAAACCCAGACATCTTTCTATCTTACTCTCTCTACCTAATATGTACGATATAATACTCGGCGTAGCAGGGCCCTATCTCGCCTACCCTCTCCTGTCGCCCCGGTCCCTTCGGCTTTTCACCCAGCTCGACCTCGGCGGCATTGTTCAACCCACCGTTCTCCTTGTCCTGCCTCTTGTCGAGTTCCAACGGCTCAATGGTCCGCTCTTCTGAGGATATCGCGGACATCCTTCTTCGACTACGCCAAGCATGTCGATGCATCATCCTGCGTTGTTGGAGGCATTCATATGGTACGTTTGCTAGTCCGACAGCAATGTTTCGCTTGCTCACCCCATATAGCCTCCGGCCACGTTCACCCTCAAGCCGTCACCTCGTCAAGCTCGGTGCTGCTTACCAGTTAACCCATGGATCGTCTTCCAAGTTCTCCCTCTCGTCGAACCCCAACGGCTCAATGGCCTGTTCGTCTGAGGACTTGGAGGATGCCCTTCTTCGACTACGTCAAACACGTCGACAGAATACAATCGGAAGCATAGCCAAGGTATGTATGTCTGCTAGCTTCGACAACTTCATCCACTCATCGCATATAGCTTTCGACCACGTCCACCCTCATTCCGTCACCTCGCCAACCTCGGTGCGGCATTCTCAAGCCGGCATTTCGTCAAGTTCGATGTCGCACATCAGTTCATCACCAGCAAGCTACTGCTCGAGGGCCCAACCTGTTCTGCAATATGTCTGTCCTTTCTACCGTCGATACCTCGGTCCAGCTGGACGTCTACACCAGCTTCCAAGACCACGACCGTCCCATTTCTGCAGGCCTCCGGAGTCGTCGCCGGAGTGCTCTGGGAAGTTGTTCGCGTCACGTCCATCCGTTCGATGGTCGGCATACTGCAGCACCGCTCTCCGAGTCCCAACCTCACTGGCTCATCAGGTTCCTCTCCTTCTCGTCCATATCTCGTTTCTCTGCGTAATCGTCGTCAAGGTTCTTCCGGCTCTTCCTCGCTCATCTCCTCGACGCGCAACCGCCATCGAGGTCCTTCTGGCTCATTCCTTAGCTCGACCTCCTCAACATTTTTTTTACCAATCGTGCAGAGGCCAATTCGTCGTCCGGTTTCTCTTCTCACTCTGTTCATCCACGACCACCGCACTGGTCCCTCCGGCTCGACACCTAGCTCGACCTCCGCGACAACCTTCTCCTATTCCACCGGCTGCGTTCCACGACGTCGGTCAGGCGCCGACCGACTTCAAGCTCGTGTGTTCTCTGAACGCTGCCGTTTCTCGAGGGTCTTCACCACCCACCGCCGATGTCCCGCCGTATGTCAAGCAGACCCCGTTCATGGTCTCCACGGCGCGGTACTTCGACTATCAAGACCCTCTGTCCATTTGAGCCACCCCTCCACCAGCACTCGGGCACGCTCTCGCTATCTCGCAGTCTCAACGGTCACACTGCGACCTAGTGAGCGCGTGTTCGGACGTTGATCCGCGTACCTCCTCGTCATCCAAGCCCGACATCCCGACCGTCTTCGCCCGACTAGCGTTCACGTTCGACGATCCTCGGCACTCCCGACTCTTGAGCACCATAGGCGGCTTGGCGACCGCCTTGTGGACTGTTCTTCGTCCACGTTCTCCTTCGTGATGTCTTGTTTCGTAACATCAGTATGTGCTCATGTTCACTCAAGTGACACTATTTCTCACCTCACTCACAGACCTCATCGTGCGGCCCATAGCGCGCGATCGCTGCTATGTCCTCGAAGTGCCTGCATCCGCTCGCATGGGGCGCATACACCAGCACCGTTCATCCCGCGAACTTCCGTCCATTCAAGTTCGCTACGAGCTCATCCTTTCCGACTGGCACAAGATCGTCCGGATCGACTCTCCTCGTCCATCCCGTGTCTTCATCTCTAGGCAGCATAAGCAACTACGCATATGTCTGTCGAGGGAAGAAAGATGCACCCACCGTCCCCTCAGGCGTTCCAGCCTCGCTCGGACTTGCTCATTGTTTCCCCCTTGCATCTGGTGAGTACTTCATCCACTTCAGTACAGTCCAGTCACTGATATATCCTGCGCAGACTCGAAATCAGCCCGACAAGAGTGCAAGCTTGTCGTTCTGACGGAGAGAATGATGCCCCTCCGCATCCCCTTCTGTGCACGGAAGACGACGCGGGGTATTCATGCAGCGTACCTAGTCGGAGGTCGACCTCCGACTCGGCGGCTGCAGCGTGTAAACGCCCGGTGCAGGTACGTCTCTCCGCTCATTCCCAGTTGCGCAAACAGTCAACTCGATTATCGTGTCCAGGTATAGTCTGCACCCTCCAAAAGGGCTTCGTCTTCCACTACCGAAGACATCTGAAGCCCTCCACCCACGGCACCACCACTGTGCCGCTAACAAGACCGCTTATGCGGCACCAGCCATTGGACCCACTACTCCCAAGCTGGACGCTTTCGTCAATCCTATCGTAGCACGACGACGCGGCCTGTCACCGTCCACGATCAGGACCCCACCCTCCTTCGCGGGCGTACTCAGTAAGCACACTTCTTCTCATCGTTGACGGTTTTTGTCTTACCTCCAGCGTAGACATGCAACCCCTTGGCGAAGGGGTTCTCGCTGGGTACCACCCCGCTTCGCTCTGCGCTGTGCGAAATACGACGCCCCGTCATCTGCCGCCCTTCCATCCCCAGCACGCCGTCGCCGGTCGACAGTGTGCATGTGGTGTGGAGGGTCGGAGGCCCAGACGACCCGGTGTAATTGGTGTACTATCACCCTCAGTATTTACTGGTCTCTCTTTTGTCCTTGTTCATGTAGGGCACGGGACTGGTGGCGGACGCGCTGCCAGGACCATGTTGAGTTACGCTGCAAATTTAGTCTATTTTCACAGTGACTTTATTGAGGGCGGGTGGTCTAGAAGCTCAACGAACATACACCTGGGTCGTATGCCCTCGCCCAACCAGAGCTGGTGTTGGAGTCACTGATCTCCAACGCCTTGCAAGAGCAGCGCGGCCGGCTCCAACATGAGAGGTTTCGATCCAGTTCCATTGATACATCCAAACTTATACAATCCAGAAACACAAAGCGCAGATCCACGTACTACAGACTACAGTCTACAGACCGCACCCCTCTCTACTCATCGTCAAACACCAAAGCACGGACCTCGATCGACTGACGGTGCGGCGCGTCCTTACGCGCCGTCGGGTCTGGGAACGCCGTGTGCGGCGTCAGGCGCGCTTTGTCCTCCTCTGAGTCGAAGCACTTGATCAGGATCACCTCCTCCGGCGTCTGGTCCGAGAGGTAGTACCACTTGTGGTTCGGGTTGTAGCGCACGCTGTACGTGCTGCCCTCGCGGTGCGGGTAGATGAGCCGCGTCGACACGAGGTCCTTCTCGTCGAGGAAGCGCCAGTCGGAGACCGCGAGCGGGTGGTGCGCGACGGGGTTCTCGATGGGCCGCCAGACGTTAATGATGCGCACGCGCGACTTGAGCAGGCGGTCTGCGTCTTCGGGGAGGTGGTACTTGACGCGGTTCACGCTCGCCTGGTAGGTCTGGTCGATGTGCACGCGCTCCTGCGGCGGGTGTCAGCATTTCGCCCGAAGGTTAGAAGGTTCAAGAGTGCACTAACCGCCGGGCCACGGTTTCCAGGACCCTCCTCAGTAGAATCTCCGGGCTTGCGGCGCCTGGTGTGTGTCGTCAGCAACGGATCCTCGGCGGTGGTTATGAAATGTAAACATACCTGATGGTGTGGTCGAAGATGAAGACGCGCTTCGCGCCCGCGACCTTCTTCAAGAGCTCCTCGACCTCGGGGTAGTACTTCTCCTTGATGCGCTCGTCGTTGTCGAACGCGCTCTCGACGCTCGGCCACTTGACGAACTGGAAGCCGTTCTTGTCGAGCGTGAGCTCCTCCTGGCTCGTGCGGGCGTCGCGGATGGTCACGGGGTAGGGCTCCCCGCCGACGTTGGTGCGGGGCTTGTCTGCCGGGGGCTCGACGTATGAATAGGGCGCCTCGGTCGAGCCGTCGAGCGGCACATAGTAGTTGAGCGTGGTCGGGATGTCGCGGGGTGCGAGTGCTGCTGCGGTGGCCATTTCTGCTGGGCTGAAAGTGCTGGTGTCGTGCGGTGAAGGCTAGCAAGCGGAGTGAAGATGGTGCTGTGGGACAGGCTCCGCATGTATATATACTGGCTCGCTGCGAAGCCGGTGCCAGTGCGCTCCTCCTCCGCAGACTCGGAGGTCTTGCTTTCTAATCGTCTCGCTCAGTCAGCATGGTGGATAGAAACGGAGACACCTCCGAGCTCGAGACCCCTGCGCAGAATTCTAGCACCATACGGGGAAGATATGAGGCAGCCATTTAGTGTCGCCGGGAGGTAAACGCTGCTTTCTAAGGATGTGCGCCCGCGAAGAATCAAGTGTCGCCATACCGAACGCCTGTGACGCAAGACGATAGTGACTATGTTTTCGAGCCTGTTCAGGATGCGGGGACTTACTGTGGCATGGTCAGCTGCTGTGCTAAAAGAGGACTGCCCGACGAGCAAGCAGCAAGGACCATCCTTGGGTTGACTATGGCCGATCGGTGGGTGGAAGACGTCAAAACATATCCCGACGCCAAGACATGGTGGATTCAGGCTCTCCCTTCGAATGCTGTTCACGCCTCGGAACCTTTGGATCTCTCGGTGGTTGCCCACGCGTGCTGTGCATTGTTACATATAACTTACATGCGCCCATCACCACGAGCCGTACTGTCCTATGTATCCCAGGACCTCCCCCTCAGTCTCATCTTCGTTGCTCTCGACGCGGTCTGGGGAGTACCCGTTGGCCCCTACACTGCTAGAGCTGAGCTCTGCGGAACTGCTGGCCGCGTGGCCTAGTGAGAGGCTCGATAGCGAGGGCGCAGGCCCATGTCGCCTCTGGACGTCGATGTCCAAAGAGTAGCGCGTGACCTCCCCAACGTCCGACAGCAACGCGAATCGCAGCGTGACTGTGGCCGACGCGCTCTTGAAAGCCTTCGCGCCATCTTCCCAAGCACGGATGTGCCTCTTCACGTACGCGCCGCGCTTGCCCGGGGTACTGGAAGACGCGCCCCGACCAGACGCGCACACCGTCGCGCTAAGCGACCACTGCGGGGCTCGCTCGGAATGTGTTTGCCGAGAGTGCGCACAGCAGCGCGTTTGGCAGAAGCACAGCCCGAGGTGTATGCTTGCCTCCTTCCGACCATCCGCGTCAACGAGGACGAGCGTCGTGTCTTCGTCATGCTCGTTGTCGAAGATCCACGGACCGGCCATGGTTTCGTCGTCGTCCCCATCGCGCTGCAGGACGTATCCGGCGCGTTGAAGACGGGTGCGCACCCATGGGAGCAGCTCGACCGTGCACGGACCGAAGTAGTCTGCGTGTCTTGGCGCGAGGTCGGGGACAAACTCGTGATGGGGGAGGCGATAGGGGACGTAGACGGTGGTCATGCACGATTGGGAGAGATGTTGCGTCGATAGGGTGATTGCGCGGTAGCGGCTGAATGTGGTTTCCCCCGTCTTCTCCCCTACGCTGGCCGCAGCCCTGACGTATTGTCCGACGAGGTGCACGAGCGACTGTGGCTGGGGCGTCAAGAAGAGGACGATCAAACAGTCTGATCTGGACGTCGTGCGACATGCGAGGATGGCAAGAAGCGTGGTTTTGGGTCCGACGGAGATAGTGAGAACGGGGACACGCATTCGCATGCCGCTGTTCGTCACTGTGTACTCGGGAGGATGGAAGGGGACTCCGATTATGGCTGCGAATTCTTCGGGGCGAAGGGGGATAACGTCTCCGGATTGCGCGAACGCGCGAGCGGACGAAGCGAGCAGGCGGTTTTGCTCCCACTCTTCCTCGTGCATGCCGTTGTGGACAACCGAGGGTGAGAGAACGCAGTCCGGGTCAGAGGAAGGTTGTTCGAGTAGACGGTTGTCAAGGATGTCGCCCCACGCGAGGATACTCTGGTCATTGCTCCGCTTGAGGATTTCCTCTTGCAGGCGAACGAATGCATGCCGCCCTTCGCCGTAGATCGTCGGCATATTGACACCGAAAATGCCCATGAGCGCGTACGCCTCGTCCTCGATGCGCGTGGTGAACCGCCTAGCGGCCCAGGACATCCGGCGCGCGATGCTCACCGAGTCCAGCGCCTGCTCGCGAGTGAGTACGTCGCGGTCGATCCCGGTTATTTCCTCGATGACGCCCGCGAAGGAAGCCTTCGTTCCGAGTGGAAGCCATTCCGCTGAGACAAAGACGACGCGGCTGGGCGCGATCAGTTCTTGCAGAGTCCATCCTCGGGTGAACCATTCGGACCCGCGGAAGGCGGAGTCGGCCTCGCGAGGGTCTTCGTCACCGGGTACGTCGTGGAGGAAGGCGTAGCAGATGGCGGCACGGGCGTACCATTGGTACATGGAGTTGATAGCCTCGGAAAGCTCCGCACTGCTGGTCTTGTCGATGCAGCACGTATCAATCCAGACCTTGCGGAAGCCATTCTTGCGTGCCAAGGCACAGAATCCGCGGATCTTCGGGCAGAGCTCCTGGATTGCGAGCGCATCTGGAGACGGGCGTGTCGAGGAGGAAGCAATGTGGGCGTGTAGAGCCGCCGCGGTAAGCCTCTGGACGTCCTGGAATGTCTGCTCGCCGGGTCCAACCTTGACCCACACGTGGGACAAGATGGCATAACCAGGGAAGGGGACATCCTGAGGGTTGGCGACATGTTCGAACTGAGCGGTGTAAGTGTCGAGGAGCCACATGTGTTGTCGCGGATAGTAGACGGGCTGAAGATAGTTCAAGGTATACCAGAGAGGACCTTGCTCACCGAGGCGGCATCGTTTGAGAGGAAGTCTTCTGCCTTCCTACCATTATATCTAGCTTCTCACCCTTGATAGCCTTCACCCATGGCCACGAAGGCTACTCTGCCCCGCTGCCAATCAACTATGACTGTAGCAGACGTCGGTGCATTGCCTTCTACTAAGTATGCCTGCGGCTAGCCGAATGCCGATCCCGCTCAGGGAGAGCTGTGTCATATTGAAGGCTGGACAGCACTGTGGGGTAAGTGATGTGGTTTCCAGGGCAGCAGGGAGCAGAAGAGCTGGGGAGGGCAGGCACAAGAGGCTGCGGGCGCAGATGCATTGCTGGTCGAGATGAAAGAAGTGCTACTGGGAGCGCCTAACATTATTTAGCAGTCTCAATGGGCGCCTACTCCCGCCGCACGGCTTGGAGGGATATATCACACTTGCCGAGCCTGCCAGCCTGTCTCTCCCCCCCACCCAGCTCTCTGTCCGACATACGAACGCACCATGTCCGACACCGCTGGCTGCAGAATTCTCGTCATATCTCCCTCCGCGAGCCGTGCTCACCAGTTCGTGGAACGTATGCACCACCTTCGCATCGCCTCCTCGTCCCACGCCCAATGATCCCCCAGGTATCCAGGCGCTCTCCGCTTCTCGTACAGCATCCCCCGACGGTGTGGCTCAGTCCACGGAGGCGACAGAGGCCGACCCTAGTCTGCGCACATCCGTTACGTCGACTATCGGCCCTGGCAATAATCCGCTGTCTGCGGGAAGCAGTACCAGCGTCCCTTGGACAATCGTGAACAAGTACTACACTGCGGACGTTCACTTCGAGACACATGAGTTCGAGCACTTCAGGGTACATCATGCCATCGGTGTGCCGGCGGTGATCTACGTGTGGGGACCGGGCGAGGTGAGTGCCTGCTTCTTCCCGATCGAGGTCCCATGCGGTATTCATGGGCGCACTCATCAGCCGTACAAAGAACACATCCCAGAGATTGCCACTAAGATCCAGCATTATGATCCCGAGGTGTCTCTGGCGGTGCGATTTGGCGACAGTGTATCGGTCTCTGCTTCCGCTGCACCACTAAGCACCGAAGACGATGGCCTCGACGAGTTTTTGTCCACTCACGGCTTTGAGTTCGTCGAAGGCGAGCGATCGTACCGCCGCCCAACACAAGATCGTGACAGGCATTCTGACGATGAAGACTCGGGTACGTCTTCGTTGGACTGACGAAGACGTCTGCTTCTCATTCTGTTCTCTTCAGCTATCCCTGGTCTACCCCGCGTTATCGATGCGCTCAGCACGATTATGTGGCCCTCCATCGTCCAGTCCCAGACAACGCGACAACGCAAATCCCGCGCCCGTGAACTCCTCGGCTGGGCGCTGGAGGAGGAGGCCGACGACGGTCTCCGCGCACTCATCGCGGACCCCTCCGCTTCCTCCGCAGACCCGACCGAGGCCATCGCTGCCGCTGCTGCGAACGCGCGCAAGAGCCGCATGCAGCGCGAGATGGAGGAGCTCGAGCGCTGGCTAGGGGACGAGGAGGCCGGGTCAGGGTTACAATACACGCGCAACAGCACCGATGGCAAGGTGCCAGAACGCGTCGGGGAAGTGGAGGCGGGGAAGATGCAGGCGTGGGTCACCAGCGCCCCAGTGCACTCCGCGGAGGGATGGGAGGACATGACGACCCCTCCTGCTATTCGTACGCCCCGGCCAGATGACGAGAGCTACCACGCTGCAGCCAGCGCAGAGCACGGGTTCGAGGACGATTTCGCGGACTTCGTCTCCGTCACCTCCGATTCAAACCTCCACCTGCCCCAGCATGGCTTCGGGTCCGGTTTCGGACACAGGGACGATCGGCTGCTAGAAGTCAGCTACGACACCGCTAGGCTCACGCCGATGCACACAGGCGCGTCGTACCGCTCGCTCACATCCATCTCCGACTTTGGGGGCGATGAGAGCGTGTTCGTCGAGCGAGACGCACTACACTCAAGCGGGTACGGTGCTCTTGGCGACGAGGATGGCGACGGAGACAACGACCCCGACCTGCCATCCCGCGCGGAGATCCTGGAGACCTCCCGCAGGCTGTTCGGTGCCGCAGCTTTCGCACCCGCCTCCGAGTCTCACGCAGTGTCGCAACCGGTCGCTCAGTCCCCTCCATCTTCCGTACCAGCGTCTACCACGCACTCCCAAGAAGCTCCTGCTAGCTCTTCAAGTACTACCTCCACCCCGACACACCCCGCCAGCGCTACTACAGACGCAGACGCGGACACTTCCGCCGATCTCTCGCTGGACTCGGAGGATGGCGACGAGTCCTCGTTCGCCCCTTTCGACCTCTCGCGCGTGTTTAGCGCGCTGCAGGGCATGAAGGCTGAGATCGCGGGTATGGAGGACGAGGACGAGCGCCGACGCGCCGCGGCACGGGTTGCGCTGGGCTTGGTATATGGGCTTGAGGCTCAGCGCGACGGCCAGGAGCCGTAAGCGTAAGGAGCATGTTGGCCTGTGGCCATTGTTTTAGGTCGACAAGCAGGTCATGGATTGGATTCGTTTCTACTGCTACGTCCTGTGCCATGTGTGCATGTTCCTTCTTGCAGGCTGGGATGCTAAGACGGCGGCAATGGCTGTGCAATGAGAAACAGCAGATCGCAAGCGACCCTCGAGGAACCGCAAGCGTGTCGTCTGGTCGTAGGTGCTTCCAAAGAAGGGTCTTCACACATATCCCGACGAACATCGCACTGATACGGTCTCGGCCAATACGTGTGTAAGAGAAGCGCCTGGTGCTTGGAGAGCAGCTCGCGCGATGTTTGCTCTCACAGCTCACTCGAACTCACTGCGCATCCGCCACAGGTGAAGTCTTCTGCCCGCTTCCGAGCCCGAGAGCCACATTAATAACGACCATTTGTAGTTTGGCGGTCCACCTGACCCTAATCCCATGTCTAAACAAAGGCCGGGGAACAAACTCGTCCATCTTGCGTCACCGGCGTTCTGGATGGCGACACCCGTCCCCGCGCGCACTCCCCCGCAATACGCGGCGCTAGCGCCCTCAGAGCACCGAATCCCTGCCTCATTGGGACCGCGGATGGTGCGAGGACGCCGCGCGAGGGGCTCGAGCGTGGCAATCCTCTCCTTTTGCGCACAGAGATGACTGAGCACTGGCTTATCGAGCCGGGGATGAGCAAGCACTGGGCCGGGTCCGTCCCAGTGGGACGCGCATCGGGGCCTGTGGGCGGGGTACGGCACTGACATGCAGCTTCGGGGCGGGAGAGGATATATAGTGCGCGGTGGGATGCGTATTCGCCATCATCTTCCGTTCTTCCGTCGACTCGCACAGCACCACAGCGTAAGACCCAGTCTCCACCACCACTACTAGCAAAGAATGGCCACCGCGAGCGTCCTCACCCCGCACGACATCCCGACCACCCTCAACTACTACGCGCCGGTCGGCGACGAGGCGCCGTACCAGTACGTGCAGGAGCCGCCTGCGGGCAAGCCGTCGACGAACATCGGCACGGACCCACAGCCGGTGCTCGTGCACGACGCGCGCGGGCACGAGTCCGAGTTCTCGCTCGACCAGAACGGGTTCCAGTACGTGCAGTGGCCGAGCGTCGAGAGCGAGTTCAACGACGAGGAGCGCATCAAGGAGAAGTACTACCCCGAGGTCGAGGAGATCCTGAAGAAGGTCGCAGGCGCGAAGCGCGTCTTCATCTTCGACCACACCATCAGGTACGCCCTCTGCCGCCCTTCTGCGCACAGCGCGGATGCAGGTCGTTAACCATACCGTTCGTATCATTTAGGAGCAAGCAGGTGCAGGAGGTCACGAATGACAAGCCGGTGACCTACCGCGGCCCCGTTGTACGTCTACCTCCCAACTCAGCCCGCCCCTGCCGGCGCAGCCCCTCACACAACCTACAGGAGCGCGTACACATCGACCAGACGTACAACGCGAGCGTGAACCGCGTCAAGTACCACCTACCCGAAGACGCCGACCGCCTGCTCAAGTCGCGCGTGCGCATCATCAACGTCTGGCGCCCCATCCACCACCCTGTCGCGCACAAGCCGCTCGCGGTCTCCGACTGGCGCTACCTCGCCCCGGAGGACCTCGTGTCCGTGCGCTTCATCTACCCGCACCGCGAGGGCAGCACGTACAGTGTGCGCTACAACCCGAACCACCGCTGGTACTACCTCTCGAACCAGACCCCGGAGGAGGTCACGCTCATCAAGTGCTACGACTCGGAGGAGGACCGCGCCCGCCTGACGCCGCACTCGGCGTTCCTCGACGCGACCGCCCCCAAGGACGCGCCGCACCGCGAGTCGATCGAGGTCCGTGCGCTGGTGTTTGATGACGAGTAGAGGGTGTACTTCATATGACCCACGTTTGTACTGATGTTTCTGGATTGTTTGAACTTGGCTGTACCAATGGAATAGGATCGGAACCTCATCGATGTTGACCTTGACACGCGAAAGGTATCGACACTAGCACTGCCCATGCCGGAGCTATTGAAATGGGAAAGCAGGTCTCAGGTGCCTGTTCGATGAGATTTTCTATCTGGAATTTGGTTCGCCGAACTTTGAGATCACTCGCATTCACATCGCCAAGATCACTTGAAAACACGGCTAGATTTTGCAGCGTAACTCAACATGGTCCTGGCAGCGCGTCCACCACCAGTCCCGTGCCCTACATGAACTAGGACAAAGGAAAGACCAGTAAATACTGAGGGTGATAGTACACCAATTACACCGGGTCGTCTGGGCCTCCGTCCTCCATCCCACTCGCACACTGTCGGCCGGCGACGGCGTGCTGAGGATGAAAGGGCGGCAGACGACGGGGGCGTCGTATCTTGCACAGTGCAAAGCGAAGCGGGTAGCATCCAGCGAGAACTCCTTCGCCAAGGGGTCACATGCCTAACATGGCCGTCAGTTAAAGATGAACAAATGTAAGGTGGAGAGCAACTCACCGGGTACGCCCGCGAAGGAGGGTGGGTTCCTGATCGTGGACGGCGACTGGCCATATCACCGCGCCACGGTAGAATTAACGAAAGCGTCCAGCTTGGGAGTAGTGGGTTCAATTGCTGGTGCCGCGGAAGCGGTCTTAGTAGCGGCACAGTAGTGGTGTCGTGGGTGAAGGGCTTGCAATGTCTTCGGTAGTGGAAGACGAAGCCCTTTTGGGTGGGGGTTGCAGGCTATACCTGCATACGATGATAGTGAGCCATTTGCGCAACTAGGATGGGCGATACGACGTACCTGCACCGGACTTTTACACGCTGCAGCCGCCTTGTCGCAGATCGACCTCCGACAAGGTACGCCGCATGAAAACTCCGCGTCGCCTTCCGTGCACAGAAGAGGATGCGGAGGGGCACCGTTCTCTCCGTGAGAACGACAAGGATGCACCCTTGTCGGGCTGAGTTTGAGTCTGCGTAGGAAATATTAGTGACTGGATCGTACTAAACCAAATAAAGTGCTCACCAGATGCGAGGGGAAAATAATGAACAAGTCCGAGCGATGCTGGAACGCCTGACGGGACAGCGAGTGCGCCTTTCTGCCCCAGGCAGACATATGCGTGAAGGCTTATGTTGCCTAGAGTCGAAGGCACAGGATGGACGAGGCGAGCTGATCCGGACTGGAGGGACAAGCTCGGGGCGAACTTGAATGAACGAGCATTCGCGGGATGAACGGTGCCAGAGTATTGCGCCTCATGCCGGCAGATGCAAGCACTTCTTCGTGGAGGACATAACGGCGATCGCGCGCTGTGGGCCGCGCGATGGGGTCTGCGAATAAAATGAGAACGAATTGTCTCTAGACCCGATATAAGCACATACCGATGTTACGAGACAAAACATCAAGAAGGACAACGTGACCGAGGAACGGTCCACAAGGCGGTCGCCAAACCGCCTAGGGTGCTCAAGAGTCGGGAGTGCCGAGAATCGTCAGCCGTGAACGCTAGTCGGGCGAAGACGGCCGGGATATCGGGCTTGGATGACGAGGAGGTACGCGGATCAACGTCCGAACACGCGCTCACTATACCGCAGTGTGACCGTTGAGACTGGGAGATAGCGAGAGCGTGCCCGAATGCTGGTGGAGGGGTGGCTCAAATGGACAGAGGGTCTTGGTTAACGAGAGGTGCCGCGCCGTGGAGACCAAGAGCGGGGTCTGCTTGACATACGGCGGGACATCGGCGGTGTGTGGTGAAGACCCTCGAGAAACGGCAGCGTTCAGAGAACACACGAGCTTGAAGTCGGTCGGCGCCTGATCGACGTCGTGGAACGCGGCCGGTGGAAAAGGAGAAGATTGTCGCGGAGGTCGAGCTGGGTGTCGAGCCGGAGGCACTAGTGCGGTGGTCGTGGATGGACACAGTGCGTGGAGAAGCTGGACGACGAATTGGCTTCTGCACGATTGGAAGGGGGAAACGTTGAAGAGGTCGAGCTAAGGAATAAGCCAGAAGGGCCTCGGTGGAAGTTGCGCGTCGAAGAGATGAGCGAGGAAGAGCCGGAAGAACCTCAACGACGGTTACGCAGAGAAACGGGATATGGATGAGAACGGGCGGGAACCAGTGAGCCAACAGTGTTGGGACTCGGAGAGCAGTGCTGCAATATGCCGACAGTCGAAGGGGTGGACGTGACGCGAACTACTTTCCGGAGCGCTCCGGCGACGACTCCGGAGGCCTGCAAAAGTGGGACGGTCGTGGTCTTGAAAGCTGGTGTAGACGTCCAGCTGGACCAGGGTATCGACAGTGGAAAGGACGGACATGTTACAGAACAGGTTGGGCCCTCGAGTACTGGCTTGCTGGTGATGAGCTGATATGCGGCATCGAACTTGACTAAATGCCGGCTTGAGAATGCCGCACTGAGGTTGACGAAGTGACGGAATGAGGGCGAACGAGGTCAAAAGCTATATGCGATGAGTGGGCGAAATGATATCGAAGCTAGCAGACATACCATAGCAATGCTTCCGATGAGCCTCCATCGACGTGCTTGACGTAGTCGAAGAAGGGCATCCGCCAAGTTCTCAGAAGAACGGGCCATTGAGCCGTTGGGGTTCGACGAGAGGGAGAACTTGGAAGACGAGCCATGGATGAGTTGATAAGCGGCACCGAGCTTGTCGAGGTGGTAGCTTGAGAGTGGACGTGGTTGGGGGCTATAGTATGCGGTGAGTAAAGGGAAATCTCGCTGTCGGAGTGTCAGACGTACCGTATAAATGCCTCCAACAACACAGGATGATGCGTCGACATGCTTGGCGTAGTCGAAGAAGGGTGTCCGCGATGTCCTCAGAAGAGCGGGCCATTGAGCCGTTGAGGCTCGACGAGAGGGAGGACAAGGAGAACGGTGAGGTGAAGGAGGTCGCCGGGGTCGAGCTGGGTACCAAGCCGTAGGGACCGGGGCGACAAGGGAGGGTGGGCGAGATCGGGCCTGCTACGGTATCGTATCGTACATATTAGGTGGAGAGAAAGTAAGATAAAAGAAGTCTGGATTTTCGTCCGTTTCGCAGTGTTGTTCGAGGTTATTGCAATTTTGTGATGTTGTAAGGGTTTGATGGATTTTGACGAGGAGCAGTACGAGAGCTATCCAGAGGAAGAAAACGAAAGACTTGTGTCGCCAGTGCGCTTGAAGAGGGTCGCCAGTGTCTGCCGCATGGAAGAGGTGGAGGAGAGGTAACTACCAGAGCGGAAGGGAGACAATGACGACGAGCGCGGGACTAGACAAGCGAGACGAGAGCGAGACGAGACGACAGCTGGTCGAGTAGAGAGAAAAGAGCGAAGCAAGAGAGAGGAAAAGAGAGACCGGAGAAGTCGAGAAGCCACAGGCCAGGGACGCTTGAGACTCGGAGCTGTGCTGCTGGTCGACCGTCGAAGATATGGATATGATTGACATCGTCGTCGACGACCTCGACCCCGGATGAGCGGATGGTGGTGCACGGTCTATTGCTCTTGAGTGGCGGCTGACCTATGGGGGAAGGGTACCCAGGATGACGCTACTCGCGGTCAGTAGGAGTACCGACAGCTAATGCAGGCATGACATACCCCAGGAACCCCTCCGTCTAGTAGATGAACAATCCTTCGTCGGCGTGCTTGACTTGGCAAACGAAGGAAGTCTTGCAAGGGTGGGCCATTGAGCCGTTGGAACCCAGACAAGATCCACAGCACCAGCAACCTTGATGTCCGAGTATCGCACGCCATTGAGCATACTATGCCGGAGCAGATGGGTAGTGTCGGAGGCAGAGTCACCTCATACGACACCGAGCGCGAGAGAGGGAGACATGAGGAAGGGGTCGCCAGTCCTGAGGGGAAGGGTGACCGTCGAGAACGAAGGGACGATGAGGTCCAACTAGCAGCGGCAGCCGTTCTGTATACCCAAGGGGAGGCTGGCGAGGCTGACGATCTGCAGAGACCGATCGTGGTCAGCCCACGTTCTTTGGCGCAGGAGGTTCAATTCGATGTTGGACCGGGCATCATGCTAGTCAGAGCCGCGAGCAATATTGAACTGCCTAGGCCACTGATGGTCCTATTTTCTGAAGAAAACACAAGCTGAGAGAACCACGAGAGGAGATGAGCGGAGGAGATGACGGTGCACAACGAATCCCGACCCCTCCCTCGATCGAGAGGGTCTGCGCAACATCCAGCACGGCCCCGCGTGGGCTTCTCGCCCCGTGACCGCGTCTTCATGTGGTTCTTCGTGCCATCTCAGCGTCGTGCTTCTAATTTCTGCGTGTACAAGCATCAGCCTTCCGAGTCGATGCATCGTCCCAGCAAATCTGACAGCGAAGTTTAGTGAACTCACCACGACCCGAAAGCAGTTGTCCCCACCCGACGCCGGCGTTCATACACACCTGCCCATCCGGGACAGTACTACGCACGCGGTACGGTGGCACGGCCGCAACCTCCGACGTGCGTGCGGCAGCCCCCAAAATGCACGGCTCCCACTCGCGCGGTCGCCCGCCCGATGGCATCTGCGCCGTATCAGGCCAGGGGGGCCCTGCAGCCCGCATGCCTCCTCCATCCGGCAGGCACTCGCACCACCCACGCTCGATCGTGTTTCCGGAATGCTGTACGCGAAATGAAAGCCCCCCGCTTTTGGGCGGCGCGTCCTGAACCTGCGCTGTGGGTCGCGAATCTCGCGATCGGCGACAATTGAATGCATATGACGAGGCGCGTGGATGGACGCGACGGCGATCATGCGAACGGATGGGTATTGCGTGAATGCATTTCATTGGGAGGGCTGTGGTGGTAGTACGCGTATAGGAAACAAGGGGAAGAGGGCGAGGCAGATTGGACACGCCACTTCGGTATTTCGTACTACGATCCACGCCACGTACTTGGGGCGGTCGCTCGACGCAAGAAGGTCAGGAGACAAATACATCGTATCGTATTCGAGATTCAACGGAAACACAGAAACACAGCGAAGCACGACGCGCAAGAGTGAAGGCAGTTAAGGATACGGAAAACATAGAGCGGGGAGCGGGGCGGATCGGAGGATGGGGGAGGGCGAGTTGGGCGTGGCGGCTCGCGGCGGCGGGGACAAGAGTGGAGGGGAGCGAGGGGGAAGGTATGAACAAGAAGCGCGGACCAGTATGGAGAAGGGAACACGAGCAGCCGTCATGTACAGAGAGATTCGTCGTCGTCGTCATCATCATCATCAGGAGCAGGCGGTACCAAACAAGCGACCCAGGACACACCACGAGCAAGCCTTTGTCCATCCAGGCAGGGTCCGTGTGTCTTCCTGCCCAGCAATCCAAACACCTGCGACTCCCCGCGTCGTCGCCACCGCCCCTCGGGGCGCACTTCTCCTCGTCTTACCGTCTCGCGTACTGCTGGTTGCCGTGCTGCTGCACCGGCTGCCACGGGGTGCCCTGCATCCCTGGCTGCTGCCCAGGCGCGCCGCCTTCGTGGCCGAACCCAGGGTAGGGCTGTGGTGGCCCGCTGGGGTACCCTCCGTGTTGCTGCTGCTGGTGCTGAGGCGGCGCGTACATGTTCGGGTCGCCACCCGCGTTCGGCGGCGGTGGGTATCCCCCCGCGCCGGGCTGCGCGTACTGGGGACTTGTGGGCGTCGCCTGGCCCTGACGAGGTGAGTGCTCGAGGGGCATCTGCTGCACGCCAGGGATGGCGAGCGGTGGCGCGGCAGGCGGGATCGCGGTCGGGCGCTGGTGGGGCGACGTGCTCGGCCCGCCAGGCTGGTTCTGCGGCGCGCCCGCAGGTGCGCCCGCGTTGTTGTTCGCGGCACGAGCGCCCGCGGAGGACGACGCGCGCCGGCGCTTGCGGGGACGGTCAGACGCGTCGCCCGCAGCGGCAGGCGCGTCCTCGGCTTCCTCATGCGCGTCATCCTCCTTCTGCCCCGCGCCTGAGCCTATGGCGAGGCCGCCGGGGACATTGGGAGGGTGATGCATGGGCATGGAGGTGCGGTTGATGGGGGTACCGACGGGCATGGAAGAGGGTAGTTGGCCATGGGGCGCGTTGAGACATGCCTGGATGAGGTTCTTGCCCTCGGGCTGGGTAACGAGAGGCTGGAGCTTGGCAGTGGTGAAGGTGTAGACGAGACCGGTCTCGGACACGACAAGGAGAAGTACTTGGGTGCCGGTGAGGGTGGAGAGCTCGTACGCCTGCAAGCGACGGCAAAAGAGGCGAATAGGGCGCGCGGTGAGGATGGAGTGAACTCGCGCGCGGTGGAGGAGGAACGGACCTTTTTCATAATGCCCGCCTTTCGTTTTGAGAAGGTGATGTGACGTCTGGACTTGTCCTGGATGAATTCAATCTTGATCTTTCTCCTTCCGGCCTTCTTGTCGGATTTGGGCTTGTCATCGTCGTCGTCGTCGTCCTGGCCAGACTCGCCGGCGTCGGGGTCGTGGACGAAGCCGTCGTCTGCGGGGACGGAGGGGTCGTTGAGGTCGTGGCGGGCGCGCTTGGAGGACATGGTGGGGGACGCGGCGTCGGCGGGCTGCGGCATGGGCTGCTGGGGGAGGTTGTGGCCCTGGGCGTCGAGGGACGGATAGGGAGAGGGGTGTGGATAGGGCGGCGGGGGTTGCTGGTTTGGGAGGTTTGGCAGATGCTGGGCCCTGCGAAAGGCCATGAGCTGGTTAAGAGGACGGCAGGCGGAGGACGAGTGGGAGGACGGGCACCCCCAATTCGGACGCGTACCAGAAATGGAGAGGAGCTCTGAGAGGGAAATAAGATTCCCATTTTCGCTCACCCCCCATATATACCCATCAAACAAACAACGCCATCCGCCGCCCGGCGCACCCCGGGGCTCCCACGCCACCGACCCTATCTTATCACGCTCCAGGAAAGCGAGTGCGAGTGCCTCTCCTGGCCGCCTTCTTCGCTGTCACCCCCGCTTTCCTTCCCTGTCCCACGCACGGCCCACAGCAGCTGCTCGTGACTCTCGCAGCAAGGCACCCGCCCCAGATCGAGCACCCACCCCGCCATAACGGGTCCCCTCCCTTTCCGAGCTAGCCGAAGATCGACCTCGTTGCCCCCCGATTAGGCAGCCGCCCAGTTCCGTCCGCCCGTCCCTCCGCCGCGTTCTCCATTTCCGTCGCCCCCTCGCGCCCGCACGCCCCCCCTCGAGGCACCTCCCCTTGCGTTTAGACTATGCAGCAGGCCCATGAGCCGCGGCGCGCGGTGCTGCGGACGAGCGCGCGGGCTGCATCGGGGGGCGGTCTGGGCAGGCTTAGACATCAGCAATCAACGGTGCTATACTTGGCACCGGTAGCCATACGCAACATGTTCCGATTGCGGCAAGAAAGTTGCCATGTTCGGCCGCGCACTCGAACGCGCGATTTGCTTCCGAGCTTCCCCCCGCGCCACCGTCCGAGCTCGATCTGCGCGCGACCAGTCCGAGTCCTCCAGTCCTCGAGAGCCCCGAGTCCCTCGCTCGCACACGGTGGTCCGACATCCCGAGCATCCCACCGGGCATGCGCTACAGCTATGCACCGCAAGCCAGCTGGCTTGCACCGCCAGGCCGCGGAGACGCACGTCGAAATATCATATTCCATCCGCCCAGCGGCGCATCGGCGTCCGCTGACAGACATACGTGATTGGTCTGACGGGGCGCGACATACTCGCCGTCGGAGTGCGAACGCGAGTGCTACTCGCCCAGCATGCATCGGTCTTTTAGGCTTCGGAGGCGCGTCGATGGCCCGGTCTCAACTCGCTGCCTTCCCGCCGGGAGCCTGGAGGATCGAATGCACCGAGATCCAGGCCCCCGTGCCAGCATCCACCCGATAGCACTCCTCCTGCCCCCGTCGCCCTCTGGCGCACACCCGCCGCCCTGGACGTCGTATACTTATACTAGACAGCCGGCAACTGGTATCGGCTATGTAACGCACGCCCGGTAGCGGCAAGTACAAGGACAAGTACAAGAGACGGTCAGTCTACCACCCTTCAAGCAAACCTTATACTCACTTTATACCAACCTTCTAGGGCGCCGTCGGGCTGGCGGAGCATTCCCCAACTCACACAAGGTTCCCACCGCTGCCTCGTTGGCACCCCGTCTCACATATAATACGGTGGCGAGCAGCTCTCCCGCCGCGCCCCCGACTCCCGCCCTCGCAAGCACCACTCCGCTCGCTGCAGCCGCGCATTTACCGCTGTAAGACTAGCCATCAGCATACCCTGACCACCCACCATCTGACTTTCTGCCCCCGCAGACCCGTCCTGCCATGCATGCACAGAACAGCGACGCGCCATCGCCATTGCGTCATACCCTCCCTGCTCGGCTGCCCGTACTGCAGCCGCCCGCCCCTATCGCGAATTCGCTTCGCGCCCGGGCCCTGCCTGCCATCCCAGGCAGGCGCAGGCCCGTGCCGTTCGTTCCTCGCGGTGCCTTCGACTCGCGCGCGAGCTCTGGCTTCCATCCCCGCGCCCGCTCTGCCGCCGCCGACCGCGAAGACCGAAGGGTGTGCAGCGAGCCAGGGTCGCCGCGGATCGCGTGCCGCCCGCCGCGCCCTCCGGCTTCTCGGACAGAAGGGGACGCCATGCGCTGCTGCATTGCATGGCACCCCGCCGCTTGACATTTCCGGGGACCGCGCACGATCGGGCGCGTAGGCACCGTTCGCCTCTCGCGCGCGTTCGTCCTTCGCGCTGCTATCCGCACCACCGTGGACTGCAACAGTGGTGGCAGCCTTGGCGGTCTTACGCTCCTATCCAGTGGCACAATTGTCGCGCAGCGTTTGTTCTAGCCAGGACTTGCGGTATGTCAGCATCGCGACATGCCCCCCGCTGCGCGCGAGCCAGAAGACCACACCACCGCACTGCAACACACGCCCGCACCCCTGGGCCCCCCGCACCATCGCGCAACCCAGAGGCTCCTCCCCACCGGTGCGCACGAGTCAATTGTCCCTCGCGGAAGCGTGGGTGCGTCGCCCAGATCCACCGCGCACTCCGCTCCATTGTTCTCAGCCATCTAAGTTCTCAGCCTGGGCATGAATCGCATCCCAATCGATGGGCCGCACGGACGCATACGGCACCCGCGCTATTCCAGGCCGCGCGGTGGGTGTGCGCGCGCGTCACGCGCCGCCCGCGCCCCCTGCGCGGCCGTCTTCTCGTCTGCCGTCTCCCACATCCTCCGTCCCAGTCGCACTCCCACGCCGCCACCCGTCTGGACTCCGACGACGTTCGAGAGGTCTTTCGAAACCGGCGTGACGTCTGGGTCTTGACTCTTTTGTCGCTGCAGTACTTCGCGTCGTCTTGGCGACAGAGGGAGGGCATGCGGCCGCGGCGGATGAATAGCATCAGTGGTGGCATTTTGCTTTCATTCATCGCGCGGGGAGGGTGCGGGCGCGGGCTGGGGTGATCTGATCCCCCGAGCCCGCGCGAGCGCCAGACCACTGAGACTTCCCCCATGGCCAATCCGACTCCGGCCAGGGCACAGCTACGGCTACGTGCTGATGGGAGGTCCAGAGCGGGGGTTAGAACGCCGACATGTCGACGACTCAATCAATGTCAGGACGGGCAGGGCGCAGACGCGCTGGCTGCATTGTCGATCCGAGTCCTGACTTCACGGGTGCACTGGTCGCGGCTGCTTTCTGAGCCTGACGCGGATGGCTGAGCCTGCTTCGCTCGACACACCGCGCCATAGGTGCTGCAGCGGCCTCTATGCGTATCGATACTACACCCTGCCGCAGAGCATCATATCGCCGTGCGCGACCGTACGTACCTCCCTCCCGCACGTCTGGCAAACTCTGCCCACCACATCTCCGTGCAGGCGCAGCGGTGAGAGGCCCGGCCGCGCCGTGGTGCGGCGAACGCGGAAGGCCTGTCTTCGCTGGTGTTCCTGGCAGTAGCTTATTTGAGGGCCATGCCGTTCCTGGCCATGGTGTCGAGGGCTCGAAGCGGGCGCAGGCCTGCCGGGTCCAGGAGGGCCCGGCCCAGCTGTGTCCGCAGGCGTCAGCTGTTGGTAGGGCAGGGTGTTCTAACTTCTAATCGGGTGCTCAGGCGTAGCTGGGTTGTCGCCGCCGTGCGCCGTGGTATTTTTTGATATCTTGCGGTGAGTACCGTGCCAGAGCGCTCGTTACGGCGTGGAGGTGCGTACCTGTGTATTGCCCGTGCGTGAAGCGATTTGTGCTAACGTTATTGGCAGGGTATCGAGCGCTGCTCATACTCGAAGATGCTCCGGCGAGCCGAGGACAGAAGACGGTAAGCGCACGGGGATGCGTAGACTTACGTTGAAATGTGCAAGCGAGTACCCGACACACAATATGATATGTTCTCTGCTTTAGGAAACGACATGCCCTCATCTTGAACAGTTCCCTGGTTCAGACACACCGTACGGATGGTGTTGTGGATCTGGCGTAGAGGCATCATGATAGAGCCCAAGCGGGCTTTCAAGTACGCATGCGGAACGCAAACTCTTCCGAACCAGCATCCTCACCGGTGAGGTTGCATGGAAGGAGTTCCACACTACACGTGTATGACGCAACGGCTGCGACCTCCCACCTTCTCCCGCGGAGCATCGAGCGCGTCCAAGCCCCGTGCAAAACCGCATGCACATACGTCCTCGGGCGACCGTGCACCGAGGATTCTCGAGACGGCTCAGCGCGCGCGCGGCGAACCTTCCTGCCCATATATGGGCGGGGAAACGCCTTTTGCGGAACGCGCGCGAAGGCGTGTGCGCCGTGCCGGTCGTTGTGTACACACCCTGGATCGGTACTAGCAGCCTCCGCGCGCGTGTGTCAGTTACGCGAGATCGATCCGTGTGCCACCCCCACCACTGACTGCAGGTTCGCGCCGTACGGTCCCGTCCGTGCCGGCGCGCTGGGCAGGGGGTCCGCTCCCTGCTTCTGCCCCGGCGACATCTTGCACGTTCCCCCTCCACGGTTGCTTGCAGGGAACGCGCTGTAAGGTGAAGATTTAGATTGGAGAGCCTCTGGCAGAGGATGGGAAGGCGTCTCTAGTGTCATTGGATGTGCAAAATACGAGCGCAGGGATGGCCCAGAACGGGTGCTGGATGGCAACCGCGGGCTGGAGAAGGCTTCGCAAGCTCTCCTTCGAGCGGACCTCGAGCGGGGGGCGTGGCGGAGAAGCGTGTCCCAAACGGGCGAGACCTCTTGCGGTTCGGTCCGCCGGTGATTCTCCGCGAATGCACCTGGACGTGCGATTACAGAGAGGGATAGAGCTGCAGCGAGGTACATAAGGTGATAACGTTAGATAGAATAGCGGGAGACGGGCTGATAGGTTATCGTAAAATGGTCGTAGCATGGGGACACCGAAAGCACAAGTGTAATGTCAATAGCAGCCTAGGGATGCAGCCGGAAGAGTCTCTGGACCCTTGCGCACATCGAAGAATCGAATCCGAGCCTGTCCATGGAAGCGCGAACGGGAAGCCGCACGCATCCAGATCGCACGCCCGAACTCTCCGCCCAGGAGGAGAGGGGCTCTGCCCGTGGGGACAGCGCGGGGGGAAAGTGGCAAGTGGCGGCGGGCCTGAGAGCCGGCGCGCGCGGCGTCCAATCGTACTCGCGTCCACCCCCGCAGTGGCAGACGGTGGCGTGCGCGCTGCAATAATTGAGGTCCGCCCGGGGTAAGGTGTGCTCGGTTTTTGGGTTGCGTGGCACGCAGCACGCACGCGTGAGGATCGCCGCGGCATGCTACTCGATCGGACGATAGCTCGTCGTCTAGCGTGCGATCCCTGCTGATGCCGACGGGCGACCGTGTATTCCCTTGCCGATGCGAGCGCGGTAGCGGGGGTCTATGTGTGTCGCAGGCTTGAGGCTGGGAAGGTGCGGTGGCAGCAGGGAGCGAATGGAGGGGGGTATCGCGACGGCAAAGGGGGGTATGTCAGCCTCTGCCACTCCGACCTGGCGGGGACAAGGACGTAAAGCGTCCGCTCGTGGACGAATCCGGCTCCCCGTCCCACCAACATAGAACAATGGCACCATTAGGCGAACGGGACCGCCGCAGCGATCCGCGCCGCCGGATACGGTCAAAATTTGTGGGCGCATGGGGAATGGGCCAGGCTGGGCCTAGGATGCCCGGTCGCGCTGCAGCTGCGTCTGTTTTTGCCACAGGTTAAGCTCAAGCTTTCCACGCGACGAAGATGCGCCCGGTGCGGCTACTCGGCGGGGGCTCCTGCTCGGAAAGGGGTGGCACCGTCGCGTGTCCAGCTATAGGGCTAGAAGGCGCCGTCGCTAAGCCTGGCTGGAGCGGCTCGCCCGCCCCTTGTGTGGATCCGTCAGCGTCGCCAGTAGGAGATGAATCCGCGTGAGGATCAGCGGCCGCGGACGGCGTATCCCCTTCGAGGTCGCTCGGGCGAGGGAGCACCGCAGAGGACGAACCGTCGTGCGTGCGGATGTTGGGCGCGGACGAGATGCGGTGCTGGTATTGGGCCCAGGCGGCGCACATCCCCTCGAAAGCTTCGCGCTCTTCTGAAGTCGTCGGAGAATAGGCAGCCCATCCCAGACGCTCTTCTGTCGCTGCGGCGACGTACATGCGGGCCTTCATATCGCTGCAAATCGGATGGCAAATGAATTGGTTAGCTCTGCATCCGTGCGACGGATAGTTCCTTTGACACGCTGGCCTCCTGATGACCGCGCCCATCGATACGATACCGTCTCCAGGAGGCCCACCGGCCAGTGAGGAACGTGAAGAAAATCATGACGCACAGTTCGAAGCAGCGCAGGTGTTCGTCAAACTGCAGCCGCGTCAGGCTCATGAGAGCATCCTCTTTCGGATGACGCCGACGTCGAGGGGCCTGGAAGGTGATGCCGTCAAATGTCCGTCGCGGCGACATTGTCGCCGACGCGCGCGAAACAGTCTCCTGGAAATCGACGACCCAGTCCCACATTGGCTCGGCACATGCCAGCACTTCCTGAACCCGCAGGGCGAGAAGAAGGTTGACTGAACGCGGGTCGAAGTTGATCGTTTTGTTGGGGAGTGGGTTCAGCTTTATCGTATCGAAGATGTCAGTCTTTGCCGGTTTCGCAACGTCCACATCGCCTGACGTAGGGTCCCCGGAAACACTCACAGAGCGTGAGCGGGGTTGTCCAGGGAGGGAGAGCGAATGGCGAAGCGCCGTAGGAGAAAAGCCGCTGTATCTACTAGTGTCCAGGGCCACGAGGGACGACCCAGCTGTCAAGTTGTGTATGATACTGGGTGAGTGCGACTCCGTGATCATTCGGATGTGACTGTGATCCTCTGAATGTGGTTCGCCTATTATTGGAGTACTGCTGTCGACGCCGAAAGGTGTCGCTGCCGTGTCAGACGATGACGGCGGAGGGGGGAAGCTGACAACTATTGGAGGTGGTGCTCGAACATCTAATAGTGTTCGTCAGAATAGCGCACACATACACATAGTGAGGTGACCCACCTCGGAAGTGCAGTGGAAGAAGGTTGGCGAGCAGAGATAGAGGTTCAAGATTGATGAATCTTGCTGCGTGCATTTCGTCGTGGATAGCCCGGAGGAGCGAGTGGTCATGAGGGTTGACAGGGGGCTTCGCGACGCTACGAAAAATCATAGGCGTGGATGAGACGTTAGGGGTGGAAGGTGTAGGACGTATAGGCCGGACGGTGTCGTCGAGGGCGGCATGCTTGACCCGCGTCACATCGTCAAACGAATAGCTGAAAGTGTTGTCCCGATGGGGAGGCAGCGCGTATGTCAATGGTGGAAGCAACGCTTCCGGTTCAGAGGAGTGCGACGACTCCGTATGCGGGGGAGTTGGCGGATATTCGTGCACATGGATTGGCTCCGGCGATTCGATGATGGAGGCCGACTCGTCGCTGCATCCCGGAAAGTAAAGATCTTCTTCCCACATCTGGCACGTTTTTGGTTGGACCACGAGCATGCCACGAAATAAGAAACACTACATACCTCGAAGGCACCACCAGGCTTCATCACACGTGTAACTTCCTATCCGGGCACCGTCAGAAGTCGGCAATTTAAACGGCAGGGTCGCGTGTGACGAAATCGCACCTCGAGCAGACCGTCCCACTGAGGAAGGAGGGCGTCAAAAAGAGTCGAAGAACATGTACCTGATCTGGACCGAGCGTACCTTGTCCTCGGGTACTCCACGGGCGACTCGAACAAGGCGACTGACGGTCCCGCGCAGATCAGATCAGATCTCACGTACTTACATGCGCCAGATTCAGTGTGAACCTACTTACACGTAGTCAAATTCCTCGTTTGGGAAAGGCAGCCGGTCTAGGCTAACGAAGGAAGGGCGGTTAGCCGCGAGCGAACGGTCGGACGGCGGCTACTGTTTCCGCCCTGCCGTAAAGGCTACGGGGACTTACAAGTTTGCTTGTACCCAGGTGATACGGGACGCTAAGTCAAACGAGCCTACTTGAATGAGGTCTGGATGGAGCGGGACTACGTCGAGACCTGCAATTACGTTTCAGAGAGGTGTGGGGAAGAGAAACGGAAGTCGACGGACCGACGAAGTAGGAGTCCTGGACAGCCCAGCCGGGTCAGAAACCGTTTCTCAGTCACGATCCAAACCACCTGACTGACCTTCCACTCTCTGGCCGCGTTCAATATCCATGTGCCTGTCCCTGAAGGTGGTACAATTCAATACGTAGTCGAGGAAGACAATGTCATATACTTGCCGCAACCAAGCTCGAGGCTGGATTCCGGTTAAAGTCGCGTGAGTCGACCCGATCGTGTGAATGAGCCGCGTAGCGTTACTCACACTCTTGCCGGCGGTGTCTTGAAGACGTGCATGGTAGAACTTGCACCCATCTGATAATGCCACAGGTTGTCCCACACATCCCTACGGCGACTTTAGTCCCCAGTTGGCAAAGGAGAGATGCGTAGCTTACAGGTCTACCACTTGTCTGTCGTAGCTCCGGGGATACGGCACGTCTTCCGCGGGGAAAGCGTGGTACTTCCTCCCGCTTCGGATTACGAACTGCGCCTCCCGTGCCCGGATCTTCTGCCGCAATTCTTCCAGTATGGCGCGGTCAAGGGTCGAGAACGGCAGGTCGTTCTTGGCGCTCTCGCTCTGCATAGAAATCGAGGTGTCGCACTTGCTGGTTTTGCTCTTCTTCCTTTGCAGCGGGAACTCAGAGCCGCGCTGAAGCCGAGGTTCCCAATCACGTCAATGAGCCTCAGGCGACACATGCATCACGCAAAGCGTACTCACAGGAAGCGGGAACTCCCAGTCTGCCGACTCTCTCGCCGCCGCATGCGCCCCCACGCTGGTAAAGGATTGAGCCGCGGGAGAGCCCCCGAGCCCGGGGGCTTTCTCCATCGGACCCGAAGACGTAGATGGCCGTGAGTTCACGCGCGCCGGGTTTCGCGGCGGCCGCGGAGGGGGCGAGGGGAAGGTGGGAGACAGGGCAGCATGGTCGTCCAGCAACGGCCGTTTTTCCGAATGGGAGCTGGAGGGACGCTTTAGGCGAAAAAGTTTGCGCTTGCCCGACGATGCCCTGAGCAGTGCGTCGGGTACGTGCTTTGACGATGAGTGTAGAGCCTGGACGAGTAGGTGCGCTGCGGGTGGTAGGGCGGAAGCGGCCTCAGAGGCGGTAGTCGCACCTGCGCTATTCGAGCGGCGGCGTGGTGGAGTCGACTGTGAACGTCGAGCATTGAACTGCGAGCCTACGTTCGGTCGGACAATCATGACAACAGAGAGCAAGGGACGAGCGATACGAGAGAGCAAGACAGGTCGACAGCAGGAGTCATCGGGGGGTTAGGTGGGCGAAGAAGTCATGCAATCGCCAAGGCGCGAGGCCGCAGTTTTGAGGGAGGGGAAAACCAGAGAGCAGCTCAGCTCGATCGTTTGCTTATACCCCAAGCGTAAGGATGTGGTACGCGACGTCGAACGTCAGGATTAGAGGAACGATCGGAGTGAATGATTGACGCAGTTTGATGCCAGCACTAGTACTCGATCGATGGTGATGCGGACGGCGGGAAAGCAAGGCACGAGGAGGGCGCGCAGACGAGCGAGGTCTTTGGGAAAGCAGAGGAGAGGAGGGCGAGCATATCGCGTGCACGCTCTTGAGGCTCTCGGCTGCTGTGTAAAGGGTGAGACGGAACTGATATAGCCCAGCCCATGTGCTCACGCTGGGCACTGTGGGCAGTACGATCAGCGCCGGTGCTAATTGGTGTGCCTTCTCGATTTCCTTATTGAAGGTGAGTACATGGTCATGTCAACGTAAGGGAAGAAAGAGATTGCGTACCGGATCGAGATCTCGGTTGGTAACCATCCATCCAGTTGCCAGCCCTGATAATCCCATGCCTTAGCCTCACTGGACCCGGCATTAGCATCGCACCGTCATGCTGATGGGGTCCGCTACTAGACCGATCGTGGGTGTTGTACGAAGTTTGCGTGGCCTTGAATGCGTTTCGGTTCCTCGCCCGCTGTGCCAAGTAAGTATCCAGGGAAGCTTCAGAACGCGTACAATGAAAGGGGATATGCGGCTGGGCGACGACCGCACGGTCGAACTCGAAGCACCACAGGAAGCGCTTAACCACAAGTGGTGGCGCGGCGCGCAGCGGTCGGGGTTCCGTGACCTCGCAGATGCTCATGAATCAACGAGACGTACACGATGTCAAGTCGGCAACCCTGAATCTGACGCTGACGCTCTCAAGAAAAGGCAAGGGCAACCCATGGTTTGGAGAAGAACCCTGTCGGATTGCAGCCATGTCCATCGTAGAAACATATGACGGCATACCTCTGGCTTGCGCGCACCACAGCCGCCCGCTAGCGCCGGACTAAGCGGCTCGCTCTTGTGCCACCACCTCAAGGCCTCACATGCGGACTCACCTCGCTCTACTCCAATGCTTCGTCATGTCGTACGGGCCTCGATAACCTTGAGTCGTCCTCGATTTTCTCCAGGCAAGTGTGGCTTCATCTCCATCAGTGCCGTCTCAAGCTGGAGTCCGGTCCAGTAACCGACTAGCTGCTGGGACCAGAGCGTCACAATTCTTGTGTATGTGTATCGAAGGTGGCGGTAGATGAAATTTCGCTGCAGCTGGGAGCAAGAGATGGGTAGACGAGGAGCTCGGGACACGGACGCGCACTTTGCTGTGGTATATATAAGGAGTCGCTTTTCTCGTGCGTGTTCTACCGTACTTTGATGTCTGTCAATCTAGAACTTTAGAGCTCTGAACGAGGAATTACATTGCCCTATATGGCACCTGCAGGATCGAGGTGAAGTAGGGTGAAGTGATGATCGACGTGCACTCGGAGCCGACGACGATGTCTCGGATCTCGATACTTGCCCAAGACGGAGTTCAGGCGGAGGGCCTTGCAAGGCATGTCGCGCGAACTTCATCGCTGAACTCATACGCAGGTGAATACAGGGACTCAAGCGTACACGATGCATGAAACAGAAGTAATACACAGAGCATGATACACAGCAGTAGATTCTTCTTCCAGCGTCACCCAACGAACAGATCCAAACGTGCCTCTCAGTCGACATCCTGGTGGGGCGCGGCTTCCTCGCCCTCAGCTGCCTCTTCCTCGCCTTCGTCCTCCTCATCACCCTCGTCACCCGCATCCGGCTTCCTACCAGTCTCATCCCGAATGTCTCCGTCCGCGAAGCTCAGGATGCCCGCGACCTCGAGCAGCTTCACGACCTGCTCCGCCTCGGTGATGTTCATCGCCGCAAGCGCCTTGTTCACGGCGTCCAGGTTGTGGTCCTCCAGCGCCTTCTGCATCGGCTCGGAGAAGCTCTTGAACACGTCCCACCGCAGCTGCAGCGCCTTGCGCACGTCCTCGATGTCCACGCCCTCGAAGCCGGGGCCGTCAAGCTGGAGCTTCTCGGGGGGCGGGCCGTCTGGCACGTTGAAGTTAATCGTCTGCTCTGGGTTCTCGGGCATGAGCTGAATCTGCTCGGTGCCGGCTGCGGCCTCCTCCGCCTTCGATATCCGGACGCGCTCGACGAGGTGCGCGTACGTGTCCGCAACGTCCTTCTCGAAAACGCCTGTCGCGCGCGGGTCTCGCGCAATTAACCTACAATGCATTCTTAGCGTGATGCGAACGTGCGTGTACCGACATTACTCACTTGCGGAACAGCATGGACGGGCCGTCCTTGCCCAGCTTCTCGGAGTACTGCAACAGCAAGCTTTGGTGTACACACTGCTGGGCCCACTTCGCCTTGCCGGCACTTTGTGCGCGGAATGCGGCGACCAGGAGCGCGTCAGACGCGCCCGGGACGTAGACATCGCGATGCGCCTTGATGTACTCCCATGACTCCTCGTAACCGCGGATGGGGAGGTGCGAGAATCCCTCCAACGCTGGGGTGAGCTCAGGCAGCCCGTCGTCGTCTTCATCGTCTGCGGCAGGTGCTTTCGATGTGGAAGCTTCGCTGAAGGGGGCGGCATCGACACCTTTAGGGTTGAGGACCTCGATCTCCGTCACGGTCTTCTTAGGCTTGTCGGAGCCAATTGCGCCCTTGACTGGAGGTGGCGCGGGTTTGGGTGGCACGTACTGGGGAGCGCATATATCAGCGGGTAGCACTCAGAGAAAGAGCAAGTATACGCACGTGTGACTCGAAGCCCTCATGGAGGTCCTCCATGGTGATCTTCTTGTGTTGCTCCTCCTCCTCGTCCGCCAGCTCCTTCCGCATCTTCGCCTGGTGCTCGTCCATCCTCACCAGATGCGCCTTCAGCCCCGCGACGAGCGCCTCCGCCAGCTTCGGGCTGTCCTTCTCCACGCCCTTCTTCTTCGCCTCCTCCCACACCTGCAGCATGAGCGACAGCAGCATCTCGTCGTACGACTTCTGCTCGGGCGCGTTGCTGGGCGGCTTGTCCGGGGACGGGTTCGTCTTGAAGCGCTCGACGAGCTGCGAGAAGTGCGGCGGGCCCTGCGCCTCGACGTCCGCGGCGATCTGCACGAGGCGCGGCCGGAGGACCTCGTTGCACGCGATGTCGGCCTTCAGCTGCGCGATGTGCAGCTTCCGCATCTCGCGCTTCTCGTGGATGTCGCGCTGCTTCCATCTGGGCGGGGTCAGTGGTCTTGTCGGGGCTTTAGTGTGGTTCTACATACCGGACGAGCGACTTCTTGTCGACATTGGGATGCGTTTCGATGTCCGAGTCGTCTGAGAGCTACGCGCGCCTCTCGATCTTTAGACAATGAATTGAGACACGATACGCGTCGCGCACGCACCTCGAGTTTATCCCACTTTGAGTAGTTCAGAGGCATGGCGGAATACGGTGCGTGGTGGGGTGGTGGTAGGGTACAAAGCGTGAACGCGACAGTGGCTGCAGCCCATCAAGCACTTTGAGGCGTATGTGGGATGCGGAGCGTTCTGGAAGCTGCGAGAAAGGACGCCCGAGGACACCTTGTATCCGATTGCGCTCATCTTGATTCATACAGATCTTGTTTCTTGAGCTCGGTGTAGACTTTAACGCGCTCCTTAAGGCTCCCTACGTGTCATAGGGAGGGTTCACCCTTGTTTTCAAACAAGGAGGAGGCTGAATATGAACAAGAGCGGATCACCTCTAGCGCTAGTGTCGGCGCAGCGGCTGTGCACCCGTATACATGGGCGCTTCGTACTTAGATGTGGCAACGTAGTAACTCTCGGCGAGAGCTCGAGACAGTGACGGGCTTGGGTGGGCTGTTTAGGTCTAGAATCGGCCATACGACTTGCAAATTTAAGGAATATTAGGAGATGTAGGGCTCTCTGGCGTGCTACCCCATTATCACTAGCACTCATTTTACTGGTACTAACTAGATGCTACTCCGACTTTCGTTGCTTTGAAAACCGTATTCAGACAGAGTTTCCAGCTCACTGCGAACAGCCAAAATATTTGAAACAACCGGGAATCGAATGAGGGTGTATGTTCCACACCTCCCCTTCATGATCATGAGTACATTCTTCCGTTTCGTAATGACGCCAGTGCCGCGTCGCATTGATATATCCAGGGCTGATTTGAGTGCAATCGCCAGGGAAGGCTCACCACAGAGGCACTCATATCTTCAACTATACTAAGTTCCCGTAGGCGCGTCGAGGGTTTAGAATCCACTTGAGTCTCGCTGCGTCCAGTGCGACTTGGCGGTGGACGTGACCGTGGCCAATCCCGTGACCGTGGTGCGCCCCACGTGGCCAACACGACGCGGGTTTGGGATTTTCCCTTGACCTGTGACGCCGCTGGCGCAGCTCCCGATCCCCCTCTCTCCACCGCCCATCGGCATCGCGACGTCGGGGGGCCGTCGTCCAGCGCCTGCGCAACTTCATCGTACCCCAGTTCTCTGTCCAGGCCTACCAGGGACCCAGACCGTTACCCACTGCGGCGCGGTGACGCAGCCGGGAAACCTTGGTGCCGGTGCATTTCATCGCGGAATAGGAGGTGCGTATTTTCTCGGAAAAACAAACGGTATGTTGTCGGCGCTATGTCTCATCATCGTCATAGGCCGGTGCCTAGCATAATGAAATGGAATGTGGTGTAGTGGGTGACCACCATGTCGACGGCCCGACGTGTCTCTACGGGAGCAGAGCATCCTGCGGCTACCAAGTCTCATAGCTTTACAGGACGGTATGGTTAGTTTGGATATCCATGTGGCCCGCAACGTTCTACGACAGTACCCCCGCGGTACTCTCAGTCCGCAGCATGCAATTCGTGAGGGTACCTTGGCAGCCCTGCGCTCAACAAGACGCAGCATACGTCACGTTCTAGGCCTTCGTGTGTACGCCGGTTGCTCACTTCTACCTTGTGCATGGGAGCGGCGGTGTGTCCTCGGTTCACGCGACGCTCCGATCGATAAAATACTTTCGGGGCTGCGCTGCACTCCGGGGCTCTTCACGCCACACTGGCGCTCCTTCCTGGCGAATCCCGGCCGTCGGTTGTGTGTACTGCGCCATGGACTGGCAAGGACACCCAAACCCTCGACGTCGAGGGACTTTGACGTCCAGGGCTGGCGGACGCTCGCCTATATAAAGGCGGGGGTCCGCCCTACCCAAATATCCTCATCCTGAGTCTTCAGTTCTACGCGCCATCACCAGTTCCTCCGCCGTCTTCTACACGATCCTTCCTTCTCACACCCTCGCATTCGCCATGTCTCCCTACACCATGCTCCTCTTCGTCTTCGCGCTCGCGGTTGCCGCGTTTGCTTCGCCGGTCGACACCAACGGCACCGCTATCGAGAAGCGCTCCCGCACCGGTCGTGTAAGTTCCTGCCGCCGGCTTATTCAATGATGTAATGCTCATCCAAGTTCGTTCCATAGGGTACTTGGTTCGAGGTCGGCCTCGGTGCCTGCGGGAAGACCAACAAGGACAGCGACAAGATCATCGCGATCTCGTCCAACATCTACAACAACGGTGCTTACTGCGACAAGGTTTGTGTTGCACGCACATTGTTTACGGGAACGCCCTCTGACCGAGCTCTTCCGACCTTTATAGAAGGTCACCATCAAGAACACTGCCAACAGTAAGACCGCTACGGCCACCGTCCGTGACGAGTGCCCCGGCTGCGGCTCCAACGACATTGGTATATCATACTCACATCACCTCCCCACCTATCGTATCCTGATCACGTCGCACAGACATGAGCCCGTCGCTCTTTGAGAAGCTCGGCGACCTCGACACCGGTGTCCTCACCGTCTCGTGGTCGTTCACCAGCTAAGCTGGCACCTCCCGACGCCGCGTCGCGAGCGACCCGACCCACCGTCCCTACCGAGCCTCGGCGCCCGCACCCTCCTCCTCCCTCCAGCGGAGCGGACTGGTGCGCGGCCTACACAGCGCCCAGCGCGCTCGCTCTGTCACTATCGCTATTTATTGACCATAGTGGACCGGGGGCGACTTAGAAGGCAGAAGTTAGAACGAAGCTGTATCCATATACAAAAGGGCCATCTCTGTAGCATTAGCCTGTAGCTGCCTGTGTGCACGACTATGGTCCATTTCGCCGCCCTGGGGTCGGTGTGACAACATAGACGCATTCACTCCGCATCCTTTCATTTTCTTCTCGTGTGTCTAGCCGAACGACTTCCCGGCACGTTTAAATCCTTCCTATGGACGTATGTAGATCCACTCTGCAGGGCATACTAGTGGCCTCGTTTGAGATCCACCGGAGAGTAAGGAAGCCTTTTTAAATCCCAGACAATGCTCCGATGTATGAAGCAAACCAAGCTCAAGCTTAGGTACCTCATAATTTTGCAGATATGCGTGTGGTTGCGAGTGCCTTCGCCCCGCGCGCGAGAGCGTATTTATCGGACGCGGTCACGGGGTAGCCGCGTCTAGCGCGACACGTTTGCCGAAGATGTCGCGCGCGGGTTCCTTCCGCACCACCATGTCCGCAACGTGTCTCCTCTCGATCCACTCTTTTCTATCCTTCTCGTGTTCTTCAAAGACTGATACCCTGAGGCCTTATGCCCCTGCAGCTGGCGTTAGTAACATATGTAGCTCTGCTGCAGCCTTAGCCCAAACTCGAATTCATTCACCTACTGAAGAGCCTAGGCTGACCACGCTCGACCTCTACCGGATGCCAGCCTCTCCAGCCTCCTCGTAGGTATATGGAACGAGTCGTATCCTCTGTTGGACGTTATCGTCTGTTCGTTCTTGACGATCACCCCCCTTCCCCTCAGGACTGGCGATCTCTCACTCTTGTCTGGCCCTCGCGCTCAGTGTCGTATGAGGTGACTCTGCCTCCGACACTACCCATCTGCTCCGGCATATGCTCGATGGCGCGCGATACGCAGGCATTAAGGCCGCTGGTTCTTGGTCCCTGTCTGGGTTTCAACGGCTCAATGGCCCACCCATGCATGACTCCCTCCGTAGGCCAAGTCAAGCACGCCGACGAAGGTCGTTCAATCATTAGACGGAGGGGTCCCTCGGTATGTCATGACTTTACTCGGTGTCAGCACACCTGCTCAATATCAGTAGCTCCTTCCTGGGTCCCCTCCCACCACAGGTCAGCCGCCACTCAAGAGCACTAGACCGTGAGCCACCATCCGCTCATCCGGGGTCGACGTCACGGACCATGGTGTCAGTCATATCCATATCCTCGACCAGCAGTACAGCTCCGAGTTCTAAGCATCCCTGGCCTGTGGCTTTCTCGGCTTCTCGGGTCTCTCTTTTCTCTTCCCTTGCTTCGCTCTTTCCTTCTAGTCGACCAGCTGTCGTCTCGTCTCGCTCTCGTCCCACTTGTCTAGTCTCGCGCGCGCTGTCTTTGTCTCCTTTCCGCTCCGGTGGATATCCCTCTTCCACCTCTTACATGCGGCAGACACCGGCGACTCTTGTTCAAGCGCACTGGCAACACAAGTCTTCTGTCTTACTCTGGATAGCTCTCGTACTGCTCCTCGTCAAAACTCAACAAAGACCCTCACAACATCACAAAATTGCAATAATCTCGAACAACACTGCGAAACGGACGAAACCCCAGACATTTCTTTATCTTACTCTCTCTATACCTAATATGTACGATATAATACTCGGCGTAGCAGGGCCCGATCTCGCCTACCCTCTCTTGTCGCCCCGGTCCCTTCGGCTTTTCACCAAGCTCGACCTCGGCGGCATTGTTCACCACACTGTTCTCCCTTTCCTCCCTCTCGTCGAGCCCTAACGGCTCAATGGCCCGCTCGTCTGAGGACATGGCGGACACTCTCCTTCGACCACGTCAAGCACGTCGATGGAGCCGCATCATTCTATATCATCGGGGGCATTCATATGGTACGTCTGCCTGCCTGACAGCGAGGTTACATCTAATCACCGCATATAGCCTTCGACACGACCCCGTTCAACCTCACGCCGTCACCTTGAAAAGCTCGGTGCTGCTTACGATCTTACCCATGGCTCATCTTCCAAGTTCTCCCTCTCGTCGAACCCCAACGGCTCAATGGCCTGTTCGTCTGAGAACTTCGAGGGTGATCTTCGTCGACTACGTCAAGCACGTCGATAGAGGCTCATCGGAAGCATTGTCAAGGTATGTCTGCAAGCTTCGAAATCATCTTATCCACTTATCACATGTAGCTGTCAGCCACGTTCACCCTCATTCCGTCACCTCGCCAATCTCGGTGCGGCATCATTCTCAAGCCGGCATCTCGTCAAGTTCGACGTCGCTATCAGTTCACTACCAGCAAGCCAGTACTCGAGGGCCCCACCTGTTCTGTAATATCCGTCTTTTCCACCGTCGATACCCCGGTCCAGCTGGACGTCTACACCAGCTTTCAAGACCACGACCGTTCCACTTCTGCAGGCCTCCGGAGTCGTCGCCGGATTGTTTTGAGGAGTTGTTCGTGTCACGTCCATCCCTTCGATGGTCGAAGTCTTGCAGCACTGCTCTCCGAGTCCCAACCCTTCTGGCTCACCAGGTTCCTCTTGTTCTCGTCCATGTCCCGTTTCTCTGCGTAACCGTCGTCGAGGTTCTTCCGGCTCACTTCCTTGCTCAACCTCGAGTCCGACGCCTTTCTCTTGCTATCGTGAAGGAGCCGTTTCGTCGTCCGGCTTCTTCACTCGCTCTACTCATCCACGGCCCCCGCACTGGTCCCTCCGGCTCGGCCCCTAGCTCGACCCTGCGACACATTTCTCCCTTTCCACCGGCCGCATTCCACGACGTCGGTCAGGCGCCCGACCGACTTCAAGCTCGTGGTTTCACTGAACGCTGCCGTTTCTCGAGGGTCTTCACCACCCACCACCGGTGTCCCGCCGAATCTCAAGCAGACCCTGCTCTTGGTCTCCACGGCGCGGCACCTCGGTAACCGAGACCCTCTGTCCATTTGAGCCACCCTCCCCCAGCATTCGGGCATGCTCTCGCTATCTCGCAGTCTCAACGGTCACACTGCGAGCTAGTGGGTGCGTGTTCGCACGTTGATCCGCGTACCTCATCGTCATCCAAGCCCGACATCCCGACCGTCTTCGCCCGACTAGCGTTCACGGCCGACGATTCTCGGCACTCCCGACTCTTGAGCACCCTGGGCGGTTTGGCGACCGCCTTGTGGACCGTTCTTCGTCCACCTTTCTATTTCGTGATGTTTTGTTTCGTAACATCGGTATGTGCTCATGTCTGGTCTATAGAGCTAGGGACGATCTGTTCTTACCTCTCTTGTAGACCTGATCACGCGGCTCTTTGCCTGCGATCGCCGCTTTGCCCTCCCCCAAGACATGCTTTGCATCTGCTCGCATGAGGCGCATATCGTGACGCCGTTCATCCAGCGAACGCTCGTCCTTTCAGGTTCGCCCCGACCTCATCCAGTATAGTCGACTCTAGGCAGCATAGGCACGCACGCCCATGTCTGTCGATTGTAGGAAGACGCACCCACCGTCCTCTCAGGCATTCCAACACCGCTCGGACATGTCCGTTATCTTGCTCTCGCATCTGGTGAGTACTTCGACCGCTTCAGTACTGCACAGCGACTAATATCCTGCGTAGACTCGAACTCAGCCCGACAAGGGTGCATCCTTGTCGTTATGACGGAGAGAATGATGCCCCTCCACATCCTCTTCTGTGCACGGAAGATGACGCGGAGTTTTCATGCGGCATATCTTGTCGGAGGTCGACCTCCGACAAGGCGGCTGCAGCTCGTAAGAGCCCGGTGCAGGTACGTCTCACTACTGTGACTTGCCCAAAACGAGCGCTCACACACATCTTGTTCAGGTATAGCCTGCACCCACCTTTCGGCCCTCGGGAGGGCTCATTGCCTCTCAAAAACATCGTCCCCTATGGGATGTCTGGAGCAGTCTGGCGGCGGTGCCAATTTTCCGTCGCTGGGATACCGCTCACCAAAATCCTGCCGCTGCATGGTGGCATCGCCAGTCACCATCAGCGATGAGGAGTCCATACGCGCGCTCACTGAAGCACCCAGTGAGTACTCTCGCCTTATCCCTTCGCGATCGCATTCTGATAACGAGTGTAGAATCCGGTACAGATACGATCCCGGAGCTGTTTGGTAACCCGGGTCGCTCTCCTCCTGCGCACATCATCGCCGGTCAATGGTGCGCATAGGGGGAGAAGGCTCGGAGTCTCGGTCAGCTCGGTGTACTCAGATACTACTGGTCGGTCCTGTGTCCTCGGTTCGTGTAGGACGTAGGAGCTGGCGGCGGACGCGCTGTCAGGATCATGTTGATATACTTCATGGAAATCGTATTTGTCTCGGCGCAATATTCCTCTGTTCTGTCCGTTGATTCCGAGTCGAGGATTGTGCAAAGATAGTCGTCGGAAGTTCGAAAGTTCAAAGCACCGGGGCGGTTATGTGTCAAGTACTGTGAAGCGCTCATCTGAGCATATATGCGGTCTTGGCCGTGGTGGCGCGGCTGTTCGTCTCTTCCTACTTGTTCCCTTAACCTCCATAGGCACGGTTGTTTTGACTTGCATTGCATCATGGGAGAGCGTACATTCAGTGTGATTGCTAATCCCTACCGTATCCGAAGTCGGGTTTGATCCTGTCGCTCAGATAGCTACGGGATACTTTCTTCAAGACGACCCAACCGCGGACGGCGATGTTATCGGCGCGGTACGTTGGTGCCCTTTGTATATAGTCCTTGAGCGCAACTCATGCTATCCATTTATAGTTGCCCGATCGATTTGGGCTGCTAGATGACTCTGAAGATCGGTGGGGCAAGTTCGCAAAACACATCCAAGATTTGAACGATGCGGCGCCGGAAGGCACGCGTTACAAAGTGTTCTTTCTCGTTAGACATGGTCAAGGCTATCGTGCGTGTTGTCTTCTACTTTTACAGTCCTGTTATCTCACATCGATGCTTGTAGATAACGTTGCTGAGGCGAAATACGGTACAACGGTAGCCTGGCCATCACAATGCATGTCCAGATGGCAAGCTGACCGTGATCGGTCTTTCATCTACGCAGGACTGGGATAAGTAAGTGGCATCGTGAATCACAGTTTAGCGGACGCTACTGAATATTATGTCCAGCTATTGGTCCAAGCTGAACGGCGACGAGGATATTACTTGGGGACCTGACCCGGAGTTGACTGCCGTCGGGGTCGCCCAAGCAGTCGCAGCCCGCCAGCTCTGGGAGGCTGAGCTCAAGTACGGCTTGCCTTTGCCAACAAAGCATTACGCAAGTCCCATGCGTAGGGCATTGCAGACTTGGCGCGAGATTTTCGTCAACAGCGGCATGCTCCGTGACAGTGTGGACCGCGTAACCATGATCGAGGTACCTTCGTGTGTGAGATATGTTAATGCTTGCTCATCGACTGTACGGTTTAGAATCTGCGCGAAGAATACGGGGTACATACGTGCGACAAGCGCTTTTCGCGCGCAGTCATAGCGCGAGACTTCCCTCCACCGACGTACGAGTTCGAGGACGGTTTCTCCGAAGAAGATGAAATATGGCAAGAAGACGAGCGCGAGAGCAAACCGCATATCAAGCAGCGTGCACAAGGCGTACTGAGCCGTATCTTCGCGCAAGATATCGAGGAAGATTGTACGTAGGCTCTCCATCTCTAAGACAGCCGATGGGAGATGTCAATAACATGTCGCGCAGTCATATGTATCACGGCGCACAGCGGAATCATCAACGGCTTTCTTGCGGCGTTCGGGCGTCCGCGCTACCCACTTCCGACTGGAGGTAAGGACCAGAGCATGCTTATTGCGTTTATTTCTGCTGAATCATTCAAAGGAATCTTGCCGTTGGTTATAAAGGGCGTTGAGTCTTGATATTAAGGACAAACTGGGGGCACTTGACGCTTTTCAAAGTTCTGCGCTTATGTGTCGATGTCCGCACATGTACACGATGCGAATACGATTTTCGCTTACCACACGGCTGGTATCTTCTCCCTTTGTACACTGCAGAACAAACCATGTTGCATAGGAAGACCACGATATTTACGATTTAACGCAATTGTCTTTGTGTCAATCAGACAGCCGCGAGCGGCGTGTCTACTGAACCTTCTAAAATAGGCGCCCAATGGGTGGTCCGTGCGTGAGTCCGACCCGGTCCTCGTATCGTCCACATCGCTCTCTCCATTCCCCTTGCCCGCCGCCTCTCCTCTCCTCTTGGTTTTACCTTCTGCGCTTACGCGCCGTTCTTGCAATATGTCTGGGGCAGATCTGGCTGTTCATGCGCAGGACGCTTCTCCTCAAACCATGTCCACTACTTCTGAGGACTTCGCCGCCACGCTGAGGGCCGCCGCTCTGATGACCCTCAAATCCAAGAGGCGCAAGCCTACTGTCGTGAAGGCCGAGCCGGTTTCTATCCGCTCGCTTGCTGAACCGCCATCGATAGAGCTGGACTATGGTCAAGAAGAGCCGACGGGCACATCCTCTATCGCCTCGTCCCCCGTCATCCCGCCCGCCACAGCTGTGGCGCATGCCCGGTCGGCTTCGAGGGCTATGGATGTCGATGAAGGCGCATACAGAGAAGAGGGCGAGATAAGTGATTCGGAGATGGCTTCTGCAATGCCTCAAACGAAGGTCGAACCCCAATCTCCCGTTCTTCACAAGGCCAGTCCGGTCGTTCTTCAGACGCAAGTCGAGCCGCGCGAGCCTGTCGCATTACCTACCGCAAATATGGCCGCTGCTCCTCTTCTTCTCCCTCATGAAATCTTTGCGATACCCCAAGCTCCGGCGCTTGTTGATGAGAATCACGCCAGGCCCGGTCTCGCTAGTGAGTCGACTCGCTAGCGATGGGTTTGACACTCTCACCAACAATTTTACCAGTGACGCAAGCCCAGTATGAAGCTGCGAAGGACATTGTGCTTGATCTTCTTGGCTGGGGCGTGCCTCCCGAATACCTCGTCAGCTGTGGTCTCAGCCGCGAGATCGTGTTCTATGTCTTCGTCGAGTTGAACCTGCGACTCCCATCCAACCTTGATACCACTGGTCTACCTATTGTACCGGTACCGCCATCGGCATCCTTGCCAGAGCCAGTCTCCGCCGCCGATGTCTCTCGGACAAATATCTCCCACCCAAGCCTCCCTCCGAAACCACAACCTCCAACGGAGATGCAATCTATCGACCTCAACGCTTCTCATACGCTCTCTGCCGAGGCCCCTCCCTTTGTCTCTTCTGCATCTGAATCTGCTATCACATCTGTAGCATCATCATCAGGGACCAACCTTCACGACATGGAGCAGCAACGCCGGCAAGAGCTCTTGGCGCGTAAAGCGGTACTCGCGTCTCGGAAATCCAAGAAGAAGGCCATGCCCTCGGCGGTTACCGCCTCGCCGTTCGATGGTGGCTCGAATTCCAAGGCCAGCTCACTTGTGCCGACGAAGATGGTGGATGACTTTCTTCAAAGTATCGAGCCAGTCGCACTAGCCGGTTCCAGCAGCCTCTCAACTGGGTCCGTACCCCCTTCGACATTGCCTGCTCGCCCTCATAGCATGTACGACATGGACGTCGACGACGTTCCTGGTTTGACCACTGGGGCCGGCTTGATAACGGAGTACACACCACTTTCGCGCCCTCCGCCTACCAGCTCCGTCTCTGTCTTCAATCCAATATCCCCTCGTTCTCCTGCAGTTCTAGAGTCTGCCATTCCTTCTACCTCAGAATTTGCCTCAAACCCTCCGTCATCAACGGCGACTACGAACAGCTTCAACACCACGCCCCTGTCTTACGGCGGCGGCGATGACGACATGGATGCCATTCCAGGCCTTTTCCAACCCCATACCTTCGCCGGGGATGACAAGCCACTCAACTCTCGACGGGGAACCAAGCGACCTGTGGCTGCCGACTTCGTCGACCTGGAACCTGGACCCTCTAAACTAGCGAAAGGCATCCCGGACTTCTTCCGTGCCAACATCCGTCGCAAGACCGCCGGTTTTGCGGGGCTGACGCAGAGACGATGCGTCATCGATCTGAGCGACAGTGAGGGTGACGACAACGAAAGTACAGGACCCGGTGGGTTCCCTCAGTGGACCGACCCCCGTGCCTCCCAGGTAGTCACCCCTCAGGCTACTGCTGCGCCGACGCCCAGGATTCGTTCCCCCATCATCACATCTTCTATCGCGCCCTCAGTTCTCCAAGAGAAGGAAGAGGCCATTCGACGGATGCGCGAGCTGATTGCTCAACGGGAAGAGAGCCGCAAGAAGAAGATCGAAGTAGTAAGTGATATTGCATCTGCCCTCACCCGTTGCTCAACTGTTTTTAGCCCTCGCGGTCTACTCCGTCGTCATCCAGCACACCAACAAATGGCACTGTGGTGATTAAGCAAGAGGATGATGAATTTGCCGGTATCCGCTCGTTCGATCCTTCCCGAAGTTCATCGTCATCGACGCCTGACCGTACATCCAATGGTCGGCCGTACGATTCTCAAGACGAGCAGTCGGTTCTCGCTACTCTTCTACCTCATGGTATGTGTTTTGTGACGTACCGTGTATTCGCCACCCAATTCACGCTGTTTTCTACAGAGATGAACCAAAACGGTACAATCTCGCTCCCTGGTTCAACCTCGACAAGCAATGCCACGACTCCGATTGGTCCTCATCTCTTCGCAACGTGCTCCACGGCCTGGCCTGACCGACTCCCGACAGACGTTACTTCCAAAACTATGGAACATTCGACTACCGGCGACAAAGGCAAGTGCACACTCACTCATATCCAGCATGAGTCCATATTCCTCATCCGCGTTCTCGCTTCAATTCACGAAACTCCTCATCCTTGCGACCGGTGCCAACGGTTTTCTCGCACGTATTCGCGCACTTGCTACCTCACTGCGCTGCCATAGTTCTCACCGACGAAGCTCGATTTGAACAAGTGGCAAGAATCCTTTCCTTACCGTGCCGCACTGCATGCGGCCTGGAAGTGCTATGGTTAACGCATCTTGTTTTCTTTTTACCTTTATGCCTTTCATACCACCTTCCTATTTTCTGCCTTTCTTTTTTGTTATCATTTTACGCCCATTTCTTCGCTTCGGCATACCGTCCCTCTTTTTCGTTCTTTACAGGTTTCTGAAGCAGAAGAAAATCAAGAGCGCAGTCCACACGCAGACGTCGACGTCATTGACCATCATCCCGAGACGTCGACCCAGGTACGTGCCTATTCTATTCTGCCCTCCAATTTTGGGTCATCCCTCGCAGGAGACGCCCTTTCCCTCGTGCTCTGCTCATAACCCTCCCCAGATCGAGTCAAACGCCGAGAACAAGATCGACGCTCAAGGCACGCAGCAAACACCAGTGTTTGCGTCTTACCGTTCTCTTCTAGACAACCATCCACTCTTGCGTGATCACTCACGACTAGAGTCTGCGTCTAAGTCAGCTCCAGATTCATCTCGAAGCGGGTCGTCGAGCACGATCCCGCCACCTGATGTCGACTTGGGGCCGCTCAAGCAGAATGCGGTGTTGAAGTATCTGTCTAGTGGCTCGGGACGGATCTGCCAGTATGAAGTCCCGGGTGGCGGTGAATGTCGAGACCAAGAATGCGAGAACGTACACTTGTCCCGGCTGTCCGGCGTGGAACCCAGCGGTACGTCCGTCTCCCATTTGTGTCGGCTCGCTAATTCCTATATTTTGCGACTCATTCATCCACCTTTCGCCCCTGCACCCACTCCCCGCCCCTACAGACGAGGATACCGTGCAGTACCTGTGCAATACCCTCCCAGCTGGTCCTCGATACGGCGCTCAGGCGTTTCGGGATGCGCTTGATGTAGCACGGCTGCGCCATCCCACGATGCCCTTCGACGAGCGCGTTCAAGAGGCTTTGACGTCGCTGGGACTGCGATAACATCTCGGCGCGAAGCAGTGTCAAGACGCAGCTCTCCAGCTCAGGCCCTCCCCAACACTAGGTGGACAGGTCAAGACGATCAAGGAGATCTCAGTGAAGAGCGCTAGGCGCCACCGGCTGCCCTGTGGCAAGGGCGGCCGGCAGAGACGGAGGGGCATTCCAGCAGTAGGGGTGCCCCGCACGCTACGGCGCCCGACGTAGGAGGTGGATGTATACAATCGTGTAGGATGTTGTTGTCTCGCTTCGGTGCACGAGATTTGGTTTGCGCGCCCGCGCCCGCCGAGCGTTCGGTGTTTCCGATGCAGTTGCGTATATAGTTGTATTCGTTGTTGCATATCGCTTTGAATTGTATTATGGCCTTTGGCTTCGCTGTTCTTGAATTCTCACTGCATGAAATCTCAACGCGCGAGGTCTTCCAAATACATCATGATATTTGAAGTAATACAGTGCGCAGATGCAAGCCAGAAACAATGTTAGTATCTTCGTAAGATCGTGCGGTATGGTACATCATGAGATTAAAGTTCGTCAAATGACCCAAGCAAAAAGCAGTCGGCCCTGCGATCATCAGAGAGCGAGCGCGAGGAACAACGCTAAGCAGGACCCCCAAAGATGCCCCTGGACAGCAATGCGCGATGCGCCTGACGTCCCAGCAGCCGCGCTTGCACTCCCGCTCGGAGAAGAAACCGCGGCAGAGGTCGCGTTTCCTGCCAGGACGCTCGCGCTGTTCGTACCCCCGGAGAGGCTCGACGGCGGGGGGTTGCTCCGAGCTGTGGTGCTGGAGCTGGGAGAAGTAGGTGTAGCAGAGACCACACTAGTCGTAGCAGTCGTAGCCGCGGGGGCGGCTGATGACGCTTCTGCAGTGCTCGCGGTCGACAATGCGGGACCGCTGAGCGATGGGGCAGAGCTCGATGGAGCGCTGGAGGGCGCGGCTGAGGATGAGGCGTCGGTTCCGATGATTGTGAATGTAGGGCTGATATCGTCCGAAGTCCCGAACACTATCAGCAAGTCAGTCAGTTACGCCGACGTCGATACCTAGAGGGAAGGGAGACGTACGGCACACGATGTAGGTCTCGCCTGAAGGCACCGAGGGAACCGTGAGGGTAACGTTTCCGCCCAATATGGGGAAGCCCTTCGCCAGCGGAGTTTCTGTGGGCGCGCGTCGATCAGCGTGTGGACGCGGCGGGAGAGCGCGCGCGAAGGGGAGCATGGGCGGACGTACGGAACATGAGGTGTTCATCACCGTCGGGGGTGAGCGTGCCGAGGATGATCTGCGCCAATGGGTTCGAGGGTGTTGAGCCGTTCAGCGCAGAGACGTCCCTGCGCAAACAGCAGGGTAAAGATTGGGGGCCAGCGAGGATAGCAGGGGGACTTACCAGGTCACCGTCTGCGTCTCTCCGGCCCTCCACACCGTCTGCGCCGTGGGGTTCGTGATAGGTGGGGCGACGGCATCGCGATTGGCCAGGTACACGGGCTTCGCGCGCGATGCGCCGACCACAAAGGCGAGGACGAGCGATGCAACTTGCATGATGGATGAGAGCATCATCATGGTCGGTCCTAACGCGTGTTTGACAGCGAGCACTGGTATATGTTCTCTGGCGCGAAAGCGTGTCGAGCGTGAGGCGGTGGACGTAGACCGGAGCGTGTCAATGTCGAAGCCGAAGTCCCAGCAAGATCCGGATGGGAGCTCACTCCGCCTCGTGCGTGCAGGGTCCGGGGCTGCGGAGGATGTGGTCGCGCAAGTCGAACAAGGAGGAAGACGCTGGGGCGCGGTTGATATATGCCATGCCGGCAGGTCAGGGGATGGTAGGTCTGTTGCCGACGGTAAGGGCGTGCGAGTGCGCCAGATAAGGAGAAGCACGTACCATTGATGTCCCGTATCCGCGTGGTAATTATTGCCACGCTCCTCCTCACCTCTCAGATTCAGATAGCACACCGGAACCTCTGACTGCTTCTCAGTGCATTGACTGTAGGAGGAGGCACGGGAGTAAGGCAGAGCGCGGTGCGATACCATTGCGAGCTGGAGAAGCGCGAACTCTCACAGATCTCGGCTGGATGGTACTTCCTCATCATGTGCCTATTTCCGGAGTCGCCACACTATCATTGACTCTGGAGGTTCGCAAGGTCCGATAGTTATGACAGGTGAGGCAATGTCGATCGAAGATGAACATCAGGGGAAGGACACTTGGAATAGGACAAGCTGATGAGCGCAGAGCGCAAACATGCGAAGGATGTAGGTATGCTATGCAAACCGAATAAGTACGGGAAAGATGTCCTTGAACGAAACCGGAGAATAATGATACAATGATGATTTTCAATGAGCCAAATGTCCGCCTGCAAAAATCAAGGGTGACTGCGACGGAGTGCCTTCGTCCGTATCGACTCCTATGATCGTGAATGCGGCGCTCGTGTCACGGGTGCTGCCAAACACTACCAGGCGTCATAAGAATTGGAGATAGCATCGACAGCAAGATGAAATACGTACCGCATACGAAGTAGTTGTCCCCCGAGGGAACGGAGGGGACAGTCAGGTTCACATTCCCGCCCAGAATGGGGAACCCAGACGCGAGGGGGTCGCCTATGGGGAAGAGGTTATCACCATGACGCGACTAGACCGAAAGCTGGGAGTCAACGTACCAAGCATGAACTTCTCCCCCCCTTGCGGGGTAACGGTGCCGAGATAAATTTTGGCAAGAGGATTGGATGGGTGAACGCCGTGCAAAGCCTCGACATCCCTTCGGACGAGACGCATCAGCTTGTAGACATTGCAAAGCCAATGCTGGAACGTACCATGTAATCATCTGCGTTTCCCCGGCTCGCCACACGGTGCCCGCAGTGGGGTTCGTGATGGGTGGAGCTACTGAGTCGCGGCGCAGCCTCATATGTAGCGGATTTGCGAACGACGGTACCACCGCGGCGAGTGCGAGCAGGAAGGATGTCGTCCGCATGATAGAGCTCTTCTTGGGGGCTACGCGCGCTGGGTACTTTGCGAACTGGGGATGGTGGGAGGAGTGGTGTAAGGAGCGTGAGGTGGGTGTGGTAGATATCGGGGAAGATCGAGCCAGAGTGCAACTTTATACCACAGAGATGAACCTAAACAGCCTCAGAAGCCAATCCTACAGCTATTCTGGCAGCCGCCGTCGTAGGGATCGCAACAGAGACAGCTTCTCACAGCTGACAGAGGGCCTCCACGCTGATGAAGGCGCACCGATGATCATCGTCCTGTACAGGCTGACCGACAGAGTGTTACACCAAGCCAGGTGAGACGTTTGCGGCGCTATTGGGAAACCAAGTCGCGCAGTAGGCGGTATCCAGATTACTGGGCGTGGTCGTGCGAGCCCGAGTACGATCCCCAAGTCCCGGTTCTAGCTGGAATTGTGGCGATTGTTTGCCAGAGCCCTAAGATCGCGAGATACCGCCAGCATATAGTCCACCAGGATTGATCTCGAGGCATATAAGGCGCGAGAATCCGAGGTAACGCTGGAAGTGCTTGTGAGGAGCGCCGACGCTGATCATGGGCGCGCGAAGGAAGGAGGTGGTGTGCATAGGCGCTTGAGCGTCGAGCTGCTCCTGTGCACTGACGGCCATCCTCGGATATCCTGTCTCTCAATGGCCATGAATCCATCAATGAAATCTATGCTAGGACCCCTATATACTATGAAACCGTGTTCTCTCGGAACCCCCCTTCCCGACCACAGTGTCTAACGGCTCTCATCGACTCCTCATGGCTTTGAGTATAGCTTCTCGAGCTGTAGTGGTCGCGTTCGCGGCTGTCAGTGCTCTCGCGCTGCACCAGAGTGCCCCCCGCGCAGTGTCGCCAGTCATTCTGCATCCTAACGCAATGACGCTATGGTTCCTAGGCTCGGTGAACACTGTGCAGTGGTGCGTCGGCTCACTCAAATATCTTGACAGGCTCAAATATATCACGAATGTCTTATCCAGGGCGACGGATGGCCTTGAACTAACGGACGTGAACGGGACTGTTCTCATGGGCTACGTGCAGACCAACGGAAGCGTTTTTCTTTGGAAAGGTACGCTGCAGGCTATGGCTCGGACTGTCATTTGCGGCAATGCTCAGATACAGTGATATGTAGATCAGCCTCTCGCAGTAAATGTGCCGCTGGAAGACGGCGTAGTGAATGTGCGTTGCCCGTTCAATCTTCCTGTAGTGGCTAGGCGATACGTCCTCGCTTGTAAGTCGCAAGGGCTCGTATCGTATATTGCAAAAAATCCTGACGTACTAACCGTCGCGTTTAATACTTTCGCTCAGTACTGGGCGAGGAGGACAACGTGAGCCCGGCCTTTAATGTCGAAGACGCCGCCGGCAACATGTTCCCCACCGCCGCCTTCACTCCCCCTTTGACGCTCGTCACCTCAGGCAACGTCCCGTCAGCAACGATTTCGATAACCAGCGTTATTGGGGAAATACCACCTCAGGCGACAACAATGTCGCTAACCCCGTCGATTGGCTCGCCTTCGTCGGTCATGTCTATCAGTGCGGAACTGGTACCAACGGCCAGTACTGCTTCAAATAACGGGGCAAGGGAAGTGAGGATTAACGGGGCCGCTGGCGTGACGAGACTAGTTGCAGCTGGAGCGTTGCTCTTCATGCGCGGAATATTCATATAGGAAAGTGAAGTCTTTGTATTACTCTACATACGGGAGCGAAGCTAACGAAGGCATATACAGGGCGCTGTGTACTCTTCCTAGCATGCACAACCAATAATTATATGACCGATGAGTGTATGACCAAGACGTCCGGTAACCATTCTGGGGTGTTTAGAGACCGGACGTCTCTAAACGCCCCAAAATGGTTACTCGCGGCGGAGTACGGCTATGTGATCAAGGGGGCAGACTCTACGATCGACGTGAAGAGCCCGCAGGTGGTGGTTGAAAAGTCGATCACCAGAGAGAGAGCCAATCACCAAGTTCAAGTTGAACTTGGTGACGAACTCTTTCGGTTCCCTATTCAGCCCACTGGTATATGAACCACGGGCGCGACCTGGTCCCGCCATCTACACTCTCTGCTTCACACCACATCCTCAACTCAAACTCAAGCCACCCTATTCGTCCACCAACAACCATCAACCATGTCAACCTTCGCCACGAACACCTCCTCGGGGCCGCGCCCCAGCATCGCTGTTCTCCCGCACATGGAGATCCCTCGTCGCCGCAAGGCGTGCGAGATCGACGACGCCGAAGACGAACCATCCCGGCCCATCAAGCGGACCAAACAGTCTCACGGCCCCGAGCAGGCAAGTACATCGTTGCGACTACTTGGAGTCGTCCTCACCAGTCTTCAGAACTATCAGCGTCTCGCCAAGATGTCTCTCATCGGTACGGGCAGGAAGCGTGTTCGCGGCGAAGGAAAGGCCGTCGGGGTGCGTTGCTATTCGTCTATGCATGTTTGCACCGCTGATGTTTTTGCAGCTGCGGAAGCGGTTCAACAAGTCCCTGCGCAACATCCCAGCCCAGCCCGACAACGCCGGAAACGCTCAATTCGCCTTCACCTTCGTCCCAACGCCCTTCGCGCCCCGCCAAGACGTCATGGAGGATATAGAAGTGTCCCTACCAGTCATGGACATCGACCTCGTCATCCAGAGCCCCGCCGTCTCCCCGCAGCTCCCGCAAGTTCCGATGTCGATCGACAGCCTGCAGACTGTGGGCTCGACTGAGATATCGGCCTCCATCTCCACCCCCGACATCGAGATGGAGATCGCGTTAGAGCATGTTCACGCTCTCGACGCTGCTGCCACTCCATTCGGAGACGAAGACAAGGTCATGGCCGACGCTCCCCAGGTCTCAGTCCCCGATACCAAGAGCTTCATCTCGCGCTTCCTCGCTCGCGCTGCTGCCGCCGCCACTGCCATTACTCGCCAGGCGACCCCCTTCAAGAAGACGATCCAGCCCAAAGGTGCCATCCGAGGTGTTGGGAAGACCTCATCCCGCAAGATCCATGCAGCCGCAACTCCATACGCCAGAACCGGGAGGCGTCAAGCCTTAACGACTGCCCCGCGCTCCAACAAAGCCCGCCGCACTGCGACCGACTCATCAGTCCTCGAGCCGCTCATACCCAGCGATGACCATGTCGCTTGGGCCGTGGAGGACGCCGTTCAAGGTGTCGCTTTGGAGATCCTGGAGGGATCTCCCGCCCCGGTCGACGAGATCGACTTGGAGGAGCTTCTGGCCGAGACCAAGCCCACCTGTGAGGCTCAGGAATTTGAGGTATTTTACGACGCCTTGGAGGGAGTGGAACATGAGGTTAGCAGCCGTGCTCCCCAACTATCAGTGCTCGACTTACAACCATCCAACTAGGTCACACACACGAGCCGGCCGCCATCGCCAGTGCTGTCGTCGCCGCAGCTCTTCTCGGCCACTTCGGCACCCCACAACTGCGATGACGACTCGTGTATCGCCTGCCTTCTTCTCACCACCGACGTCGCCCAAGCCCCCAACTCGCCGCCGTCCCTCTACAACACGAACAGCGAGGACTCGTCGGCGTACGCATCCGAGATCGATGAGTACTATATCGAGTCCGCGCTGTACAACGTAGTAGCAGACACCGCGGCCTGGTTGCCCCGAGACGTACCCGTCCTCCCGGGCCTGGAGGAGGAGGAGGCAGTAGTAGTAGTACCAGTTGAGGAGACGCGCAAGGAGGAGATCGATATCCTCCCAGTCGCGGACTCTTGCTTGGGATCACTGTTCGCTCACCTCGACAAGTTGTCCTTCGAGGACAGCGCCCACGTTCTCCCGACGGTCTCTTGCGCGGACGTTCTCATGCCCTCGGGTTCCGACGTCTGGTACGATGCCATGGACGACTCGGTCTCACCTTCTCTCTCTTTCGGCGACATTCAAATGACTTATGACGCCTCCTACACTGACTTCATGGACGGTATCATCGTCGACCACACTCACTACTCCGCGCCTCCGTCATCTGCCCTCCCTGCGTACAGCCCCATGGCCGACATCGACTACGCGCTTCCAAGCCACTCATACACGGCAATCGGTAACTACGACACCACAACACTACTGGGACCGCCCCTCGAACCTCATTGGACTTCCTCTTTCTTCCTTCCGACCTCTCCGCGCACCGCCGCTGACCCCCTTGGACTGGGCACTGACGCCTGCTTGAAATCGCCCATGGACCTCGACATCACTACCACCTCTTACATCACTACTGCTTCTTACAACGTCTTCGTCCCCGGTCTCGACTACTCTGTGCATCCTACGCCTGCTCAACAGCCTACCTGCTCAACCCGACTGCCTGGAGGCGACTCCGAGATGGCCATGCTCGAAGACTCACCCTCCGCGGACCTCATGGACTTCGCCATCTCGCCGGTCCCCGACCCTGCTCCTGTTTTCCCCGGCGCGTGGCGGGAGAACTAGGAGCTCGCGGACGACCTCCTCATCTAGCGACAACGGCATCTACCACGGCATCTCTCAACATCTACGACATCCGCGACGACAACATCTACAACATCCGCTACGACATCTACTACCTCTGCGACGACAACATCCACGACTAACATCCACGACTACAACATCTACAACATTGCTACGACATTGCTACAACATCACTACAACATCACTACAACATCGCTACAACATCGCTACAACATCACTACAACATCGCTACAACATCTACGCCACCACAGCATCTACACCCATATACCACACCACACCGCTCTATACCCTGTTCGAGCCAGCAGTATCACATCCTAACCGGCACGGTAAGTTTTTGACCTCCCCCCGTTTTACTCGTTCTGACCAGATCATCTTAGCTCCGCGCGCGCTCCGCACAACCTACAAACTCACACACCTACCACCGACCACGACCCGTCGCCGTCCTGGCCGCCGCTCACGGCCGCGACAACTCAACCGCGACGACTCGTCCTCCGTCGACCCGACCCCGGCATCCCGACCGCCTTCGCGCCTGTACACCGCGTCCACGGCCGACGATCTTCGGAACCACATATTCAAGAGCACGGGCGGCCTTCGCGACCGCTCGGGTGAAGTCGATCTGCTACACCGCCCCATTTTAAGAGACGACCGCCTCGCGTTCGTCTCACCCGGTTCACCCCGAGGTCAAGCCTTCAACCTGTCAACATCGGGTCATGTTGGCGCCTCCCCCATTTACGAAGAGTCCTCGCATCGTCAACATTGCGAGGATTCTCACCCACCTTCGCCCTCCTCGTTCTTGCGAGGGCGATCGACCGCCTACTCCGACACCGACAACTCGTCCGGGCGGTTCAATACCCGTTCATCGTTCACGGTTCATCTTCAGCGGCGTCAGGTGAGTACCACTCTTCCAGTCTTTTGATTCGCAGTGCTGACCATCGTCGCTCTACAGTCATCTGCTTGAGGTTATAGGCATCTAAGCCTGTAGCTTCTTTGGAGACCAGCATGCCCCTGCGGTCCTTTCCGGCGTTCCAAGATCGCTCGGACCAGCACGCCCTGTTCATTTCGCGTCTGGTGAGCACGACTTCTTGCTGCCTCGGTCGAGCTCGCGCTCACACCTCTTCCTTTAGATCCACCCTGGACATCTCACGATTGCAAGCGTGGGGTTCTCAGCGTGGCTCGACGCACCGGCGCACCTTCCTCAGTCCTCAAGGCATTGAGACGGCGCGCCCACTCTCACACCCCGCCGATCTGCGGGTCTTCGCACCACCGCCGACCACCACCGCGGATTCTCGCGTCGCTCAACCTCTGGCGCCAACACAACCTACGACAGCCTACGACAGTCTACCAGCAACAGTCTACGACAGCCTACGACAGCCTACCCGCTACAGCCTACCCGCTACAGCCTACCCGCTACAGCCTACGCCAGCCTACCCGCAACAGCCTACAACAACCCACTACTGACGGCCCTCGACTGCGACTACTCACGCCCTCAACTGCAATACTCACGTCCTCGACTGTAATACTCACGCGCTCGACTGCATCACTCACTCGCACACTGGTTGTCGCCTCACTCTGCTTTTCGCCTCACTCTGCGCTTTGCTGCAACCCGCTCTCCGCCTCACTACGCTCTCCGCCGCACCACGCTCTTCGCCGCACTCCGCTCTTCGCTGCTTTATCCTGCGAACTCTGCCGCTTTACCCTGATCATCGCTGCACTCCCTCTTCGCGCTTCCTACTCGTCGCTTCTCTACTCGTCGCTGCTGCTGCTATCGCGCTCGACTCGACTCAACTACCCACACCGTCGGACTAGTTCCGACCACGCGTATGAGATTCTGAGCATTTAGTACGTTCTTCTCCTCAGCTATTTCTCTCCGACATCATGCTTACAATATCTTTCATCAGGCCGCTCTGGATCTCTTACCTTCGCCTACCACCGTACTTTACATTCTCAGCTCGCACCGACTCGTCCTCCATCTCCGGCTCTTCGAGACGATGGACCGTGGTCACGGTAGACGTACCATAGAGTTGCGTTGATACTGTACTAGTCCCATTTTGTTCTGCAATGATAACATCGTCGAGATATCCTGGTTTGTGCGTGCTACTCCCGGCATCAGCAAGCGCGGGAGAACACAGAGGCTCGCCGCAAGCCTCAAGTACTTCGCACTCTCGCGTTCACCGCGCGCGTGTGACTGGACGCGACGCGATAGCACGTGCCCGCAGGTCACCGCTAGGAGATCACGTCTGTCCTCGACGCTCAACTCGATGCTCTTCAAGTCTCTGTCATTCACCGCACTAGAGTGTCTACTCTGCCCACGCTCTCACGCGCCACTGCTCGATGCTTTGAAGTTTGAAGCTTCGAAGATGATGGACCTACGTATGAACCGGTGTCCCTTGTATGGCAGTCGCAGACATGTTTGGTTGCCCAAGCTAGTCTGTTGGGCGACTTGTGTTACAATCGTGGTTCGGTGCTGGTGGCAAGAGACAGACGTGCCGCTTCAGCCACCCGGGCGTGGCAGACGCTTTGCCGACCAGATCTCAGATCTCAAATATGAGCGCCTGTGAAATAGCGTGGCCCGACTTGAATGCCCTCTCAACCATGGCCAACTCTCCAAGCTATGCTCAGGATATTACTTCAAGAATTGTCATTTGCTAGCATATCTAGGGCATATATGGTGAGACGGTGTTACAAATTAGTGCAAGGTATGCGGCGTCATGGCTGTCCGAGTCCGTCGTATGAAGATCTGCCTCCGGGCTGTCCTGACAATCGTAAGCGATACGACTCAGTCTTGGTAGTAAAACGAGAAACTCACCTCTGTAGACTACGAGTGGCTGCGACTGGTTTCATGCAGGGAGGTATACGCATCGAGGATTTTGCGATGCTCTTCGCTGCCTTCCTCGAAGCCAGTGATCTCAGCGACAGCCTTCCCGATACCTTGCTGCTCAATCTTCTTCTGCAACTTGACGCTCTGCTTGTCGTCTGGCACGTCGTACAGGAACGCTGCCGCAATTCCCTTCGCGAGGTTATCGATCGGGAGCCCGTACTTGCGCGCCATGTGCGCGGGCCCGAGCAGACGGTCGCCCTTCTCAAGCTTGCGCAGCGGCTGCCGGCCGACCCGCACGATGTCGTCCTTCAGCTTCGGGTTCGCGAAGCGGTCCAGCGTCTTCTCGACATACTGCCCGTACTCCTTCTCGTCGAACTTGTGCCGCCTCCGCAGCGCGGCGCCGCCCTCGTTCAGGAGCGCATTCCGCACCGCCTCGCGGATCTCGTCGTCGCGGATCGCCTCGTCGATGGTCGCGTAGCCCTTGAGGAAGCCGAGGTAGGCGGTGATCGCGTGCCCGCAGTTCAGGGTGAAGAGCTTGCGCTCGATGTACGCCTGGAGGTCGCTCGTGAGGCGGATGCCCTTGAGGCGCACGTTGAGCGGCGTGTGGTGCAGTGCGTTCTCGTCCACGACCCACTCGTAGAAGCCCTCAACGCCGACGTCCAGTGCGGACCCGCCATCCTTGGGGTCGAATGGGGGCACAATGCGGTCCACGGAGCAGTTCGCAAACCCGACGTTCTCCTTGACCCACGACTTGTCGTCGTCCGCGAGCGCGGCGAAGACGTGTTTCCGGAGCGTCGACGTCTGGTTCACCATGTTCTCGCACGCGATGATATTGAGCGGGCCCGCTTCCGCTTCGCACCGCATGTGTAGGCCGCGCGCGATCGTCGGCGCGATCTTCTCGAGTATGGCGGGCCCGACGGCGGTGGTGACGATGTCTACTGCAGGGTCGGCGAATGCGCGGAGCACGTCATCCGAGGTGGAGACGACGCCAGAGACGTCGGAGATGGTCTCGTGCTGCTCGTCCTCTTCATCGAGGACGAGGACGTCGTAGGAGTCTTGGTCGTTGAGTTGTGCGATGACGTCTTTGTTCACGTCCGCGAAGACGACGTGGTAGCCGGAGTCAACGAGGAGGGGCCCGATGAAGCCGCGACCGATGTTGCCGGCGCCGAAGTGTATCGCTTTGCGTTCTTGTTGAGACATGTTATGTATGTGAGGGGATCTTATAATATCCACTGCATGTACGCGCGAGTCGCGAAACACTCGTCAGCTTCGTGTTGAAGTTGTACAGCGCATGATGAGATTCGAATGCCAACGATGCTCACCTTCTACTGGATTATATTCCTGATGATATGGTGGATGAGTGTAAGTGGCAGGTTGTGTTAGAGCGTTGCATAACTTAATGGTGTATAAATGGGTGCTCTGGAGTGGCGTAGGTGCGTAACTGGCACAACTCCGACCACCGCTTGCACACCCATGACATCATCGGCGTACTCCCCGCGCTTCGGGGCGTACTTATCCAATGTCTGCCATATAGCTTGCGCATGCGCTAGGGGGTAGTCAAACCGGGTTGATACTAGTGCAAGTCAGATGCTGGATGCATGTGTGTTTATGAGTGAGTAAGTGAGATTAGCGTTTTTGAGTGGTTCAGTACGAGGGTCTGTTACTTACTTGTCCAGCGCCGGAGCGCCCATGAAGAGCTCGGGCAAATGAGCGCTTGTTTCATTTCCTTCGCTCTCCGGATCCACCACCATCTAGTCAGGCAGTTCACCTCCGTACTTGCTCCAGAGAAACACAGCCATGTACGGGTCTGCTTTTGGGAAACTAATCTACGGAAGCTCCTCACGAACCAGGCTTACGCTGGCGGCTAACTGCTGCGTGTGGAACTCGTGGTGTCTGGTGGCGTTCAACTTCTCGCTTCGTAAAGCGCTCTCGTCACCTATAGTAATATAAATTTCTTAACATTCCTTGGACTCGCTCCGTTAGGTCCCATCGCTGACCTGCAATGTCTTGTTGTTTTCAGATCTACAACTTGAGAGAGAAAACCTGCACCATCAAACACTGTGCACTACGGGTCTTACCTCGACACAGCTCGACATTCCGCGTGCGTATGATATGGGCGTGAAGAGTCAGCCAACGGACCGAGTTGACTACTGCGCGCACATGCTCTATGTTCCGGTGTCCATCGGCCTCGCCAGCCGCCCATCGACACCCCTTAAAGACCCGCCCCCGCGCCCTCAAGACAGGAGATAAGGTCGGCACACAGCCCTTGCGGTTAGTGGCACTCGGACCTGTGAAGTGGTTGTGGGCTAGGGCTGCTACGGATGATAGATATAGCTGATCGCCCCGACAAACTCGCCTTCATCCCCACACACAGCACTTGACGGCCGCTCTGTGTCCATGAACGTCGCACACACCTCGTTTATCTTCCTGCTGTTGACCACCCTTACCTGTGTCTTGTTGTCCGCCGCCGCTGCGGCGACAGCATGCGATGGCATCAAGCATTCATCCACTAGGTATGTTGCAATGGCCGCCATACTTCCTTCATGACAGACGATTGTCTCACCTGCTGGCGCGGACGCCGACGCGCAGAAGCATAAGCCCTACCAATTGTACCGTCTGCAGCGACAATCCAAGCCCAGGTCAGCTAAGAATCGAACCACGCTGCTGTAAGCTGTCTTCAATCTATTCCCCGAGCCGCGTCCTCACACAAATCATCCGAATCTTGGCAGACGTCCATCACTCTGACACATTGTTGATATACCAGAGGAGCCTATTCGATTCCGTGAATGACGACCCCTCGCTCCCACCCCTGCTATACCCCATGGACACGCAAGTCTGCCACGCACCGCCCGCGATGCTGCCACTAGTCGTGCCTCACCGCAACCGCCCTCCGCACCCAGCGTCCTCCGCTGTCATCTCCGTCCCACCTGACGGAAACGAGAGCAGCTCGCAGCTCGCCGCCCTCCTCCGGGCGTGCAGCCTGTGGGAGCTCGTCAGCCTCGCCTCTGCGGTGGCGTGGCTCTTCGTGTGCATCGCCACCTAGCTAGCGCGAGGCCCGGGGCGCGGACGCGGACATCCTCGTTATGTGAAGATGGCCGCGGGCGTGGGCGGAGATGACACGGGGCGTTGGAGCGTACATAATGATCCGCTTTCCGTTCGTGCTGCAGCTGCAGCCCGGGCAGGCGCACCACGTTTTCCCCATGTATTAGCACTGTATTGCCTCTCGGCCTTCTCCCCGCGCGAGTCTGTTTTCTTACCCTGGTGCGCGTGGTGATCGGTGCGCAGCCAACGTGTATCCCCACTCTACGTCCGTGCCCCAGCCTGAGCGTCGCCGCCCGCGACTGAATGTAAACGTGTACGCGCCTCGTGCGCGCCATGCGCAGGCTTCGCGGAGGCAACCCCGCACGCGTCTCTGCCCCGTGAACTCCGACGGACGCACTGGCATGAGGCGCGCGTGCAAAGTTCGCGCCCACGTCCAGCGGCACCAGATGACAGTCTGGCTCCGATTCCGCAACGCTATCATTCCCACCAGCGCAAAGGAGAGTCTGCGATGATGCCATTCGTGAACAGGCATCCGCGTCACTGTGTGCCCGCCGGCCCAAGGCCAGCCCAGCACCGGCAGCATTCCCCGTCCTTTGCGCTTCGCGCTTCTCCCGTCGCACTTCTTCAATTGAGCCTCCTGGACCTCGGAGTCCGACGCAGCGGTGCCCGCTCATGATCATTCGGTGTTATCGGATTCGCACAAAGCACGCTTAAGCGAGAGATGGACGGGCCACGGAGGATGGGACAAATGGCCTGGGGGCCCGTGCACCAGCGGGGGGCCCGGGCACTTCGATTGCCACGGAGCAGAAGGCTATACAAAACACGCTAGTGCTACACGGCCGGAAGTACACGCTCTCTAGCGAGCTTTTCGTACACTCTATGTGTCTACAGGGGTGGGGGAGGAGGCAGGAGGAGGGCGGGGCGTGCGCGTCGCGTCTGCTGGAGACGCGAGGGCGCACGATAGATATGCGGGCCGGGACGAGGCGGGTCGCGCGCGGCGCGAGTCTATGGGCGCAAGCCTCCCATGACCGAGGATGGGGGGACCGGGGGGCGGACAGCTGATAAATAGCCAGAATAAAGACCGAGAGGGGGAAGGAGCGGGTCGCCTAGGGAGGCTGGGGGAGAGACGCGGCGCGGAGCGCGCGCTCACGGGAGCACGAAGTTCTTGTTCTCGAAGTGCCAGGAGACCTTGAGGACGCCGGTGTCGAGCGAGCCGAGCGACTGGAAGAGCGAGGGGCTCATGTCTGTCGGATGAAGGGCGCGTCAGCAACACATCACTAGCATCAGACGGCGCAGGCAGAGGGGACTGACCAATGTCGCCGGAGCCGCAGCCGGGGCACTCGTCGCGGACCTTGCCCCACGCGCTCTTGCCGTTCGCGGTGTTGGTGATGTGCATGTACTGGTCGCAGTTGCCGCCGCTGCCGTAGATGTTCGACGAGATGGCGACGATCTTGTCGCTGTCGACGTTGGTCTTGCCGCACGCGCCGAGGCCGACGTTAAACCAAGTGCCCTATGAGTCAAATATCAGCACGCGTCCGGGGCAGTACTAAGACGAAGGGCACTTACGCGACCGGTGTGCGTGACGCGCTTCTCGAGCGTCGAGGTGGTGCCGTTGATGGGCGAGGCGAACGCCATGCAGACGAGCGCGAGGGCAAAGATGAAGAGCGTCAAGGCAGACATGTTAAGGATAGTAGGATGGTGTGAGGGTGGAGGTGAGGGTGGCGTGAGGGTCTGCGAGGGGTACGGCGGCGAAGGGCGGGGATGAAGCGAGAAGAACTCGTGAGGAATTTAGGCCCTATGTCGAAGGTCCTTTATACCTGGACACCTAGCGCGCACGCCGGTGCCGCTCTGCAAGAGCGAGGCTTACTTCATTTTTCGGGCTTTGCACAAGGTACGACCGTGCCAAGGGCAAGGAGCCCAGTGTGGCAGGCGTATTTGCCCAGGGCCAGGCCGAGATTCCGGAAAACGCGGTGGGCGTTACTGGCAACGGCAACCCTGGAAAAATTGGAGGGGCCGGTGGGATGATTACCTTTTGACGTCCGGGGTGCAAACGCGGAGAAAGGCTGGAACGCCGGTGCATGCGGTATCGGGGAACGCGCGCACGGGAGGAATAGAGGGCCGCGGGTGATGGGGAAGGCTGGTTGTCGGCCTGGGCTAGCGTTGCGCAGCAGCCTCGAGTCCGCCATCTGCGAACAAAGCAACGGGCGCGGATGCGTGTAGGCAACGTGCAGCTCGAGGATGCGCACCGGGACGCCAGGCAGGATGAGCGCGACGCCGAGCGTGCCTGGGCACTGGAGGGGGTGGCGACGACGGCCAGGAAAAAGTCCACGGCTGGGCCCAATGCGGTAGCTTACCTAATCGCAGACAAATATCGATCAGGAACGGGGGGACCGGTGTCCTCCCTCCCTCCGACCTCGGTGCCGCTGATGGACCACGGACCGCGCGCACCGCTGAGCCGCAGGGAGAATGTTCAGCACTAGCTTTACACAACAAACGAGGGCGAGGAAGTACGCACATAAGCCCCGAGGTCTAGACTTCAACTCTCCGGCGAAGGTCCGATGCTTGGCGCTCATTAACACATAGCGCGTCCACTCCCCCTCTGTAGAAAACCACACTGTAAAATGAAGGACCAGTCGGCGTTTGCCGAAGCGCCTGGGGCCAATGATGAGCAGACCACCCTCGCACATCCATGAGGTCCGGCGACGAGGGCAAATACCGGCTCCCCACGGGATGCATAGCCAGCGCCTGGAGCTGGGCCCGCTGAACAGCAAGGGAGGACGTTGACCCTGGACCTGATTTTCCACTTCCAAATGGCGTCCTGGTAGAGTGACTCCATGGGCATATGCACACTTGGCTCCGAAACGGGGCGGTTATGGCAGTAGCAAGGCAGTCGGGCGCGCCTATACTGGAATACATTCGGCCGCCCAGGCATACGTTCCTTGATGTTCCTGGAAGTAAGCAGAGTCAGAATCCACTGACGTCAAGGACGGTGCCTCTCTGGGGGCAAACGGCACGGGAAGTACTGTACTCACTGACGGTTGCGGTGCTGAATGCCATACGGCGGTGGAGGCTATACCGGCCGGCAACTTCCATGGCCAGTCGAACGGTCGTCCACAGGGAGGCTACCAAAACGCGGACCTAGAACGGCGACGGCGAAGTGGAGACTGTATTATTGGTAGTACTTACGGCCGCGTGCTGTACGATCCAAGGAACGAGTGGCGCTAGGAGCCAGAGGCCTGGGATTTGCCGGGCACTGTGAGTATTCATGTGAGCGCAAAGGAGACGCAGACTGAAGTCAGACTGCAACATCGAATAAGCTCGAGAGACGCATCAGATTGACAGAACATATCAATGGGAAATTTTATGGACGTAAGCCTACGAAATGAAAGCCACGACCTCTTTCCCATACTATTGAGTCTGCTCAAACATCTGGTCATGGGCATGCAGTCTCACAGCAGATTCCGACGGCATGTGGGCACCCGCAAAAAAGTGCCCCGCCCCAACAGTTCGTCGGAACCTCTTGCGTGGTCGGCTTGCCGCCAACGTGCTCACATGATACCACGCTTCCCCAACGCAACGCATACTGAGGTCCCCTTCCGCTTTACGGAAGACATGGGGGGAACGTGCGGCACACCACCGCACCCGTCCCCACATGTCCTGCGAGCAGGTTCTGCAGGCGTCTCAAGGCTGACGCGTGACCTGGGTTCATCGCGTCTTCGGGACCACAACGTCGTAGAAGCCGCAAGACAGGAAACCTCCTTACCGCTGGGAGCCGCGAGCGTATAGCTGAAGAGATACATGATGCAACCGCGGTCCCGCGGCTTTAAGGGCGCGGTAGACAGCGCTGTGGAGTGGCAATCGTGAGCGTATTTACGGGAGAGAGCGGGACACCTCTTACCACCACCTCTTACCACCATCGACGCTCTACCAGAGCAAGGAAGTGTTTTCGCAAGCCGTGCCACTCCCAAGCTTCTCTGCGGGCCTTGCTGCCATGATACTCTCAGCTTGCTGAGCCCCTGGCAGCCGGGGGTTCCGTAGGGCGCATATCATCGTCTCTGGACAGGCAGGGCGAGATACAGGCATTCAAGCAGGAAATGACATGCGATTTGTACGGCGTCTCGGCCGATATAACAGTGAGGGTGTGCTAAAAGCTCCGGCTTGGTGAGGAAACGGTGTGTGTATGCCGGGAGGTTTTGGCCAGCTGGATTAGACGTCCTTGCTGTCACGGTGGGCAATCAAGAGCACCGCCTACAGCTCAGAGTTCAAACGTGGGTCAAGAGCGCCTTCTGTGTTCGATATCGATATCGAGAGGTCTCGCAGAAGAACGAAATGCATGAGACGGGACAGTCCGGGATGAGAGGCAGAGCAGGGAGCGGGAAGGACCAAGATGGGTGTGTGAGTCGCGAACCTGCATGTTTGGTAGGCGCAGCACGGCAATCTCCGGCGTAGATAACCCGCCTCAGCGCCCGCAGCACCGCCCCAGGCTGTCCTTGTCCCGCCCTCGTCGGCGATAATGTGTGCAGAGAACCACTAACGAGGGTGTTTTTGGTGCTCCCCTCCAAGGCAAAGGGTTAAATATATTTTTGGTAGAAATGTAGGACGTTGAGAGCGGTCTTTATTACTGCAAACTCGGGGAAGTGGTGGAAGCGGCGGGCGCTTCGAACTTGGTCGGGAAATGAAGGGTGTTCCAAATAGGGAAATACGGACGAGTTGCCCGATCAGAATGTACAGCGCGGTCATGATTTGTGCAAGTCCGCGAGAGCGTCCCGCCCCATCGTCCTCTCACCAACAGCATCCGCTGTCTGCTCTCTATCGTGCCCGAGACCGGGCCATAGACATCAAAGGAATCCGTTCTCAGGATCTGAATCTCCGAGGATATGTCTGCGAATGGCGGGCAAACGTACGGACAGCATCTCCCCGTGCGTTGTTCCCCCATCAGGAACCGCGTGACTGCACCTTACAATCACCCTATGGCAGGATCAGGTCGAAAGGATATCCGCTCTATCCGATTCCCAATTAGAGCTCCTTGCGGATGTAAGTCCCACGGACCGTACGCGCGGTCCGACAGGCTACAGCTAATCACGCCGGTCGGTCTTCTATAGGTGCGAGAGCTGCATAAGGAACGAGCCGCCTTGGAGCGCGAGTATGCGGCGAAACTGCAACTTCTCGCGAAGAAGGCAGCGGATAGGAAAGCGAAGAAGATCATCGCACTGGTAGTTGGCGGCGAACCAACGAAAGCTTGGGATGAGAGCACGCCCACCAAGAGGTTTGTTCCGCCGTCGGGATGCACTCCGAAGCACCCTATTTAATTGGATTGAACAGTACACTCGACAAGGCTTACACGCAGCTCATCGCCTCCCTGACTGCGTCCTCCCAGGATCATGTCAATCTGGCTGACGCGCTAACCAGCCAGGTCATCGAGCCGCTCAAGGTGACCGAGCGGAAATACGAGGACTCGAAGAAGAGGGAGACCCAACACTATCAGAAGCTGCTTGCTGAGAGAGATCGCGTGTACGCGGATCGGATCAGGGTTCGTGTGATTTATTGGCCGGGCGTGGCGACATATAACTGAATTCCCCTATACAGAACAAGCAGAAGGTGCCCACCACCCCACGTCACAGTCCCTTTGTTCTCTCTGACGATTTTTTAGTACGACGAAGAATGTGCGGAGGTCGAAACCTATCGGCAAAAGCAGGTAAATATACGGACGATCATTCTCCAGAATTCGGGACTAAATATCCCTGGGTAACAGGAACGTTCCGCCGACGACCGCCATGCAGAAAGGGCCGCGCGGCAATATGAGCAACAGCAGGCCGACATGCTTAACAGCAAGAAGTACGTCGCGATCCCACCCTGTGTGACTCCGGGCTCGTGTAATAAACCTGCGTTGTTAGCGCTTACCTCATCTCTGTTACGGTCGCGAATAAGGTCAAGGACAGGTTTTATGCCGAAGACCTACCCTCTTTGGAAGATGTGAGGTCTTAGCTATATCTACGTTAAATTCTGCTGACACGTCTTCTCATTAGGAACTTCGTGCGTTCCTCGACCATGCCTGCTGTAACCCTTCTCTGACCTCCAAGTCAAACAGAGGATTTGCAATCTCGTCTCCTGACTCGCTTCGTTGACATTCTCAAGGGAGCGCAAGACATACAGATTAAGCACCTAGACGCTCTGCGGACACACCTGACGGACACCGAGGCTGCTCTAAATGCCGTCAGTCCACAGGCAGACCAAGACCTCTTCATCGATTACAACATCGCACCCTTTACGCCCCCACCCGACTGGAGCTTCGAGCCATCTCCCATTCATTACGATCATGTAGGTGTGTTTACGCACTTCGCGAAGTGGCGACTGAGCGTTCTCCAGGGCGATATGAGCGTGGAACCTACGCCCAAGGTGTATCTACAGAACCGGTTGAGCCGGTGCAAGGCGAAGTTGATGGAGCTCGATCCAGTATTAGCTTCGAAACGTAAGGATGGCACTTTACGGCAAGAAGCAACTCTTCAGGTCGGCGATACTGATCGTGTCGGTCGACATTGACAGGCAGGGAAGCGGAACAACTGGAGAAACTTGTCGCTGCCTACACGTCCGACGAGACTTTGGGTAATCCTGGGGAAGTTCTTGATGTGAGTGCCTTCTTGCGGGTGTGGGCGCATGGGAAATTCGTCGCGCACTGACCATACGCGCCCTCTTTCCGCAACACGACGCCCTCAGAATTATCTAGATGCCCGGCACGAGGTGACCTTCTACGGGATTTCCCGCCTCGTTCTTTCTACTGAGTCGGAAACGATTTCTTCCGCGCTGAACGGTACGGATCTCCCTAATCTGCATATAGACATAACTGCCGCGTGTGGGGCTGCTGGGCCTCTGTAGCCCTCCTCGCGGCAGGGAAGAGCCATCGGCTAACGAAGTCGCCACACTGACCGATCCGCTGATAGGGGACGAGGGTGCGCAAAGTCCGCATTCGTTCAAGAGCTCTTCTTTCTCGATTCCCACCACGTGCGCTTACTGCAAGGTCGGTCTGCGCTGTCCGTGGCGTGATTTTGGGGGTTTCCGCTGAGCGTTTTTGCAACACGCCCTGGTCGTCGGCCTACAGTCTTCCATATGGGGCCTGAGTAAACAAGGCAAGACGTGTAAGGCATGCGGGATCTCAGTGCACTCGAAGTGCGAGCTCAAGGTGCCCTACACACTTCACGTTCATCAGCGTTACTTCTAACGCATTCCTCCCAGCTCCCGGCGGACTGTACCGGTACACGACAAGGTGGCCGCGGACATGGCCTCTCGGACTCTGTCTCGTCTATTTCATCTATCTCCAGGTCTTCTTCTGTTATCTCGCACGGGGACACGACAGGTATGTTCTAACATATCATCTCTCCACCTGATGTTCACGCGCCGTTTGTCATGTGTAGATTCGTCCGCTCTAGCCACCCCTACGCCGTCTTCTTTCGCTCGCACCTCACATGTGGTGGAGGACAAAGGACCCTCGGCGCGCGTCCTCTTCGACTTCTCTCCGACCTCGCCGTTCGAATTAGCAGCATCTGGTACGTCTCCCGGACACTCGGACGGTGTATTTATGAGCGCGCGTCTGACGATCACGTACTTTCTAGCCGAGAGCATTGTGCATGTTCTGGAAGAAGACGACGGCTCAGGCTGGGTGAAGGTAGCCGACGATTCTGGGGCCAAGGGCCTCGTTCCGGCGTCCTACCTTGAATTCCAGGACGCAGCATCAGCGCCGGACAGCAGGGCCTCAACGCCAGGTCCGCGAGCTGCCCAGTCGGCGGACGATTGCGGTATGTATTCGTGTATAATATCGTTTCAGCTGCTCACTACCTCTACAGTACGCGGTATATACCCCTACAAGGCGCAAGGCCCCGACGAACTGGACGTAGAAGAGGGTGCAATGATCCGCCTAACGGGCGGACCGACGGGCGGTCGGAACTACGCCGATGGCTGGTGGGAAGGTACGCGGGTTTGCTGGCCGTACCCAACGTACTCGAAGGCTGATGGTCCGCTTGATCCTGGGTTCAGGGGTGGACGCGAGTGGGAAGAGAGGCATCTTCCCCAGCAACTACGTAAAGCAGTTATCTATACTTTCTCGGGACGCTCGTACTCACTCGTCCGGTGCAGGTGGAGGCCGCATAGATTCGCACTTCGGCTTCGGCGTAGGCCAACTTCCGGCCGTCAAGGAGTCGACATCGCGACATTGAGCATAGGAGGACGTTACCGCCAGTCCGGAATCCGGATTTTGGGCCGCGCTGATGCCCTGCGAGCGCGCAGTGATCGCGATGGCGGGCTCCCAAGAGCAGCCGCATTCCATCTACGCATTCTGCCCTTTACATAATATACAGTTTCTCCCCGAGCACCGGAAAGGCAATAGTCTACGTGGCCACTCCCGCGTGCACCTCCGGACAAGACTTCGATCTCAGACTCGATCGGCCCATATGTGGCGACCGGCTAGCACGAGGAAGACGAGACCCGGTATTCCATGACGGCTCCATGACACGACCACCCTAGCAAGAGGCCGTGTGTGCTCGCTCCTAAGCCTCCCGGAAGACTTGCTCTGGTCCTCAACGTGTCTATGGAGCGGGGAGTCGAGGCTCTAGATAAGTTGCAGGTTGCCCTAGGCATAATGATTGAAGCATAGCCGCGGCGCCGGGCGGAGTACAATCTCAACACGAGGCCACCGGCGTCCTTACTCACCCTTCAAAATCGCGCTACTCTGCAGCATGCCCCGTCAATCGACGGCACCATCAGTCACGCATAGCGTGCGACTGGCCTTGGCCTGTCCTTTGAGCAGCTGTCCGGCACCTGAAGTTCATGTACCTGCAGGGCTGCCCGACCCTGCAGAACGTAAGGTCCGCGCTCGAGCGCCAGGCGGCTTGTGTGATTCTTGAAGAATGCTTTCATGACATGTATAACCCGTGGGCGCGGACGGGGTTCGTGGTATGCTCGGGCTGCACGGCCGCACTCAGAAATATTCGTGGTCTTCTCCATCAACATCCCGGCGCGATTGTGGAATGATACGCGCCTGCAATGGGGAGGCTCGAGCATGAGGCGGGGGCCTATTCATGCGCAGGCTTCGCGGCCGCCACCATTCGAAGTTTCGGTCTCGTACTCTGTCATTGTTCATTACCTCAAGCACAAATTATGGTTCAGCAATGGGCATCGCGTTCAAAGTCCGAGTAGCGGAGGGCGAGTCGTCCGCGTATATAAGCCCGTCCGAGTCCCCTCCATCTGTTCAGCGCAGTCCTCCCCATCTTCGCCTGTGCCTTGCGTGCCTCCCTTCATCAGCGCTGTCCCGTCATCGACAGCGCCCTGGTCCTGCCGTGGCTACATCATCACACCGGCCCTTTCACTCTCGACGCCACCGCGATCGCCAGGTATCGCGGGAACCCACGGCATATCCCGCAGAACAGGCGGACCGCGGGGTGAGTAGCGTGATCACTCATTTTACCACGCGTGAGGATGGTGTCTGTCGCCCGTCTCGACCGACGCATCGTTATCGTCAGTCCCATCGTATTAGCGGCGCGTTCGAGCTCCGCATGAGTACATGCGGGCGAGATGCATCGCTATTGCGATGGATGACTGCGACGACGATCCCGAAGCCGGGATTGACGCGCAGAAGCACCCTCACTCAAGCTCTGCCCTTCTGAAGAGACCGGGTCAGCGTACTCCGGCCAATTTGTGCCGGGGTGCACTGACCGGTGCTCGCTCCGGTGACCTAGCCCTATTTTCTCACTCACAGGAAGGAACGCACCCCATAATAAAACCGGATGGTGGGCATGCTATATTTCGCGGTCGAAGGTGCGCCACCAGTTTAGAACCATCGACTGGCACTCCTTCTGCGTACCCGCGCACGCTAGATAACTTCGCCGATAACACAGAGTTCAGCTATTCAGGAATGTGCGGCTTTTCTGTAACTCACATGCCTGTTTTTGTCGTAGTCTGCTATCAAATGTTGAGAGCATCGGTGTACCCTCGGCGAAGTTCCATGAGCCGCGAGTACGTACGTGCGAACGCATGTAGCGAATATGCTGGTGAGCCCGTGACAGCACCCTGTGAAGATTTTTCTCCCCAGTGTGTATGATACCCGAGGAAAGCTTGAAACCCCCAAGAAATAAGAAAGGGCAGGAACAAACGAAGCTGGGAGTAGCAGCCTCCTCCCGCGGCGGGCGGGTGAGAGAGCCCCAAATTGGCGCCCGTGCGCGCGGTTGCGCGTCGGTCCAAACAGAGCACAACTCGCACCTCTCCTTGCTAAGTGAACCACCCCAGACTGCACCTCCCGCTCAGCATCTCATACACTCCTACCTGAACCTGTGGAGGGCGCGCCTGGACACTTAAGCTGCTATGTCTCGGATACGGGAGGTCTGGGCTCCGAACCTGGAGACAGAGATGGCGAACATACGGGATCTCATTGACCAGTACCCCTACGTCGCAATGGTCCGGCAGATCTCACGCGACTCGGCCCCCATACTCTGGCTTATGCATTCTTTCTCCTGCGTAGGACACTGAGTTCCCCGGTGTGGTGGCGCGGCCCATAGGATCGTTCAAGACGTCGTCAGACTACCATTACCAAACGATGCGGTGCAATGTGGACCTCCTCAAGATCATCCAGGTCGGACTCACGCTGGCAGATGAGGAGGGAAACTTCCCCCAAGAGGTATCTACCTGGCAGTTCAACTTCAAGTTCAGCGCGAGGTGTGTGGGTCCAGACTCCTTTAGCGGCCATAACCTCCTCACGTCGGATGGAACGGCTTACGTAATCATACAGCGAGGACATGTTCGCGCCTGAATCTATAGACCTACTGCAGAAGTCGGGCATCGAGCTGCAGCGGCACGAAGAGATGGGAATCGAGCCCAACGACTTTGCCGAGCTTATGATCACTTCGGGACTTGTACTGTCACCCGACACGAAGTGGATCTCGTTCCACAGGTGAGAGTTGTTGATCCCAGTTTGTGCCAGTGATCGGGACGTACATTGTACGTCGCCTATGGAGACGAGGCCAGCCGGTCGAGAGGGAACTGCCTATCTTGGAGTTGCTAGGCCTCGCTAGTCCATCACTCATTACCGTCGTGGTATGTGCATCGCTCATAACTACACATTGACAGCGGCTACGATTTCGGGTATTTCGTCAAGCTCCTCACTGGGGAAACATTACCCATGCACGAGGAGACGTTTTTCGATGTCCTGCACACATGGTTTCCAACCATCTACGACATCAAGTATGTCATGCGATCATGTAAAGTCCTAAAGGGCGGACTACAAGATGTTGCGGATGACCTCGGAGTTAGTCTCATTATTACTCGCTGGTATCAACGTCATAGAAACTCATACTCGCATTAGGTGATGCGAATAGGACCCTCTCACCAAGCTGGCTCCGACTCTCTCCTCACCGCCTCTACGTTCTTCAAGATGCGCGAAATCTACTTCAACGACAAGCTCGACGAGCCAGAATTCAACGGCAAGCTCTACGGCCTCGGGCAGACGTTCACGCTGCAGAACGGCATCGCCGAGGCTGCGCGCGCCGGCGCCGCGACCCTTGCAGAACGCGAAGACCGCGCCGGCCCCGGAGCGCGGGAAGCGCACAACCAGACACCAGGCCCGCCGGGTCACGGCGTCATGGGCATGGGCGCGACCCTGACGACGCCGGTCATGGCGGGCGCAATGCCCGCACAGATGCCGACGACCCCGTACGGTCCGATGTCGAACGGACCTTATATGCGCGCGGCGATTGGCGTGGGCGGCGGCGGGCGGTAGTGCGGGTGCGTGAGGCGTTGGAGAGGCGTGGGGGAGGCGTGTGTGGCGTGTTGTACGCATGATATATCCGCACGGGGTGGTGTGCGATGTACGATTCCAGTGTATCATCGTAGTCTGTTTGTCGTTGTCGAAGCTCTACGTGTCTGTGTTTTGTTCCAATGCAATCCTTGATTCTCAATTTTCGCCCTCTCCCCGCACATACATATCCGCAGTCGAGCGTGCAGATGACGCGGCCCAGGGACGGCCTACTTGTGCATCTAGTGCAACGGGTCAATCAGGCGGATCACTGGACGGAGCTAAACATACTAGCCGCAATATTGCTTAATGGTCGCCCCGTCTAGACCGCACAAGCGATCCTTCTCTCTCAAGCAGCGGAAGCGCGGTTTCCCATCGCATTGTGTATATCCGGGAACAAGGGTCATCACGAGGATACGCCCACTATGACCCGTAGCGTACCGTCGAGGCTCGGGCTATCAACTGACTGCACAACGCTGGGGACAGGCCCTACGCACACTCCTATCATATCGCGTCTGTGGTCGGCGTGGTGATACGCATGTCGCAGGTGTGAGCGACCCCAGCGGCCCTGTCCAATCATCCGAAACCTGCGCCGTACAGGGCAGGATCAATCCGGCCGCTAGTAGTAGAAGCGCATGCGGAACGTGTGTCGCGAGCTTCGAGGCCATTGACCCTGGGGGCTTCGACTGGTGGCCAAGCGTCTTGTTCGTTTCTCGTCTCGGATTTGGCGTCTGGACGTGGTCGTCGGCGATAAGTAGCGCTGTTCAGAAAAGCGAAGTTTCCCTGGGCTGCGCGTGCGTTATTGTTGCCGGCGAAAGTCTGAAGCCGGCGATGGGCGAGAAGGAAGCTGGAAGCGAGTGTGGTCGCGCACCGGACGGTCGACCCTCTTCGTCATGGGCATACCGGCGTAGCCCCTGTCTGTCATCTGAACCGCTGCTCAAGGAGCTTCTAGCAAGGAAGGCGCAGCAGGCCACTCTGAGATGCCCTGAGCGAAACAGCCGGATTGCGGCAACACGGAGCTCGGGGGCAGAAGATAACATTACCTGCTACGTCAGCTGCCGCCATCAATCCGGAAAGCAAAGGGCTCACCGGCATTGCGCGAATGCGCTCTGCGCATCCCCGAAGCGCGATGAACCTAAGACAGGGTGGGGGACAGGGATCAATAGGCGTCAGACTCTCCGCGCCCACGCAGTCCAGCGACGTTCGAGATTCCCCTTGAGTTCTGGGGGGCTGCGTGCATCAACGTGGGGACGCGCAGACGATCGCGGGCGATTGGCTAAGTGCGAGCTTGCTTGGGAGAGTTCTGCCGTGGTGCCACGCCCACAAACGGCCCTTGCACACTGGCGCGGTGCACGAAGAGCGGCGTTCGCACAAGGGTGGGAGCTGGGGCGAGGAGCGAAGCGGCACTGCGGCTCAGCGAGTGATTCGTTTGGCCGGGCACGGGGATCGCCTCGACTGTTAACGCTGTACATACGAGGCAAGAGCCACGCATAAAGCAGGTGGACGTCAACATGCGTGTCGCAAGCACCACCCTGCATAATCCCAAGCGGACGCTGTCTTTGAACTCAGTTAAGGACAGACTGGAGGGGAGGACTGAACGTGCCTGGAGTTCTCGCGGGCGGGAGAAGGGTCTATGTCGAACGTCAGCAGCTGGCTATTGGCTGGACCAACGCACCCGTCCAGGGTGGTGAAACGAGCTCTCACCTCAGCCGTAAATTATGGGACATGGGAGTAGGGCCACAGAACGAGACCACGGCGCGCGCAGTCTAACGCTTGAGCTTGTCCATCCCTCCCCGCGAAAGGCTTGCGCCGGGGATGGATGTCTGAATGTCTTTCGCTGCTGGAGGTTGCGCTGGCGTTAACCCGGGATTCTTCAGTCCCCACGGACCTTCGTGCGCAGACTGCCATCTAAAGTTTCATTGTGGCGGGGCCGGGAGGGGTACGTAAGAGGAGCGCCGTTCGGACAATGAACGCGGGATACCTGGGTACGACGTGGGCAGGTCTGGCCAAGGCCATTGCTAGGTGCCACGTCGGGGGAACAACCGCGACAGCCTCTTCGCGTAGACCGCGCTGAAACAATGAAGAGGGTGGGAGGTAGAACGTCGGCGCCGCCGTTGGAAGAGACGGACGGACGACAACCCAATGGCGTATGGTGAGCGGCAGAGAAGAGTTTCAAGTTGGTGCTCAAGATGCCCTTTATAGAGCCAGATGTATTCCAGCGGGGTATGGGCGGTGTCCAGCTTAATTCCGCCGGAAAGAGGTTGGTTCCGGGAGATCTGACGGACGTGGAAGCGTTCATTTGCGGCCTCCAGACGAGCTATCGACGGAGGCGGTCCGCACGCATGCTAGTGAGATCGGACATGAGGAGGCGGGTCATGGGGAGAGGGTGCTCTGCGCACGGCCGCAGAGAGTGCAGATTAAGGCGTAGGAGCAGGAAGCGTCTGGATGCCTGGAAGCATGGTAGACGTGTGTTCGCCATTGAGTGCCGCCGGGCCGCGGAGAGGAAGGTTACGGTTCGCGCGAACGGGCAACGATCCCTGGACAGATAGAGCCGCGATTGGGCGAGATATTTGCATTCATCGTGGGGGAAGACAAGGAGTATGGGAAGGGACAGACCTGCATGTTCCGACGGACGACGAGGGCCGCCTTCGAGCTGGACCGCGGGGTCGAGCGCCAGGCGCCAGGCCGTGTGGGGAGGCTCGTCGCCCGGCACGCGCACGACAACCTTGTTCGATTAAAATTCTGAGAATCGCGGTGGGGATGGGTGGGCCTCGTCCGGCTGAGGAACCTGGCAACCTTGTGGGAACGTCTAAATTGCGATGGAGCGACACTTGCCACCCGGAGGACGCAGCGAGCGCTGACGGGTGCGGTGGCGGAATGATGGCGAAGGACAAAGGCCTTGTTCCCGTGCTGCCGCTGCGGCTCTTCCGCTTCTGCAGCGTACAACGACGCCTGCACGGCTCGCGCTGCTGCGTGCCCAATAAATTCTGGATACGAGATGGCAGTGGATCAGGGAGATCTGCAGCGCGCGAGCCTGAGCTGAGCCCGGCCGGGCGCAGGACGAGAGGCGATCGAAGGAGCCGGGTCTGATTGGAGAATTGCTGGTATTCGAATCGTTGAAAAGCCGTCCAGCCCTCCCCGCCCTCCGTCTCTCTCCCGGACGGCCACCATCGTGTTCGACGTCGAGCTCGCTCCCTCTCCCCCTCGCCGCCCGCTGCCCCCCTGCAGATGCTGAGCACCTGTGTCGCGTACAATGGACACGCCCCAGCACTACTCCGGCCTCGTGTACAACCCACACGCTCCCCAGCCACACCATATCGCTGACTCCTCCCTGTCCCAGTCCTATCCGCAGGACATGGCCTGGCAAGTCCCCCAGCATCCCTCCGCCAACGTCAACACCCTGGGCCACGTCCAGATGCAGTCTATGATGCCTCATTCTCAGGAACATGTCGAGTATGCCGTTCCTTCTGCCCAACAGTCCTTTCTTTCACGCCATGCACAAGACTTTTCGCACCACCAACCCCCTTCACCTTCTGTCGATTCCAGCACCTCTAGCAATCTAATGTCCTTCGATTCCCCCCAAATCCCTGGCAGTATTGGCCCGGACAGAAACCTTTCGCGTCGTCGTCTTCGCCCGCCGAGCGCAGGACAAAGTCGCGGAGAGCTCTCAGAGTACGCAGCTATGACTGAGCCTCACGACGTTCGTTTCACTCTTTCCTCTCTCTGTTCAGCGCACTGAAAGCTGCTTGTATGCGCACAGTCCGTTCAGCACTCCCACTACTCCATGCAGGGCTCGCGCCCTCAGACGCCCAACGCCACAGGTGCACCAGAGCAGTTCGTTCCGCAACATGAACAACCTCACTTTCGTTTTCCCACCTCAACCGTGGCGTACCCTCGTCCCGACCTGCATCCACCCTATGGCGAGCCGCCGCAGAACCCGTACCCTAGACCTCCGGGCTCGACCTCAAGTTCAACCGCCTCCTCGAGGTCCAATCCACGCTCCGCCTCCCCAGCTTTGAGCACCGCCTCGGTTATGACCTCTGTGTCTGCGGAGTCCGGCGTGATGAAGAACTCCAAGGCGGATTCGGAGTGGGACCAGCTCAGCGGGCGGAAGCAGAGCAAAAAGACGCGCCTTTCCAATCTCGATCGCAGGAACATTTGCATATTCGCGTTGCAGAACCCCGGACACAAGCAAGAGGATATTGCTAACCGTTTTTCCGTCGAGCGAAGCACCGTCAGCAAGATTCTAAAGCAAAAGGAACGCTGGTTGTCGGTGTCGGTTACCGAGCAATACGAAGTAATAAAGCTTAGGTATTCTTCTCTTCTCTTAACGACGCGTGTCCTATACTTACTTTTGTCAGGCCTTCCAAGTTTCCCGACCTTGAGTACCGCCTTGCGGAGTGGGTGGAAACCGTCTCAAAGGACGGCGTCGTCCTCAGCGACGCGCTCTTGCGGAGCAAGGCCCGCGAGATTGGCAACGCAGTTGGATACACCTTGGACAAGTTCAAGGCTAGCTCTGGCTGGTTAGAGAACTTCAAGCACCGCCATGGCATCAAGCGCGGGGTGTGGACGGGCTCCGGGACCTCCCTCCTCAAGGCGCGCGCGTGCGCCTTGGACTTTCAGCCTTCGGTCCTCGAGGATTGTCCACCTGGACCGTTCCTCGTCGACAAGCCTTCGGACGCGGCTGGGTCTTCTCATACCGGGTCCTCTCGCACGGGTGGATCGGCGCAGCAAGGCCCCCAAGTCATGCATCCATCAGCGTCCCTTAACGTTCAGCCTAGCTGGTCGCGCACAAACGAGGCAACTTCCAACGATCATGCATCGACTTCTGCCCTCATGTACCCTCCGAGCGATCAGTCGTCTTATGCGATCGCCTCCGAAGACCAGCAACCGGTCGCCGGCGCGACCATGCCCACCGCAGAGCCAGTAGCCATCTCGCTCGATCCGGAGGACGGTGGCGAGGGAGGCCAGACCTATGTCATGCCCAACATGCCCGAGATCCTTGAACGCGAGGACGTCCCCAGTGTCGATGATGCGGAGAGGGCGATTAATAAGGTCCTGGCGTACGCCCGCGCCAACCACGGGGAGCTCGAGATCGACGACCCCGGCTTCGAGAAGTTGCTGGAACTCAAGTACAGGCTTTTCTATAAGGCGACCGGACAGCCGTTCGATGCCCGCTGCATGCCCAAGCACGCGTCGACATGACTGGGCAGCCCACATCCGGTCCGCGTTGCAACCTCGGGACGCCGTGCGCTCCGGTGCTGACCACCGAGGATCAGCGACGGCGTGGTCGCGCAGGGCGGGTGGACTGTTCGCAAGGTTTGTATGACCAAAAAGGTTTCCTGCAGTGTATTTTGAACTTTCATGTTGGGCTCTCGTCGTCGTTATTCTTGCACATGGACTTGTCATCGTCATCATCATCATGCATTGTTCCCCGCATCATTCCACTCCCATTGCCATCCACTCCACGATTCTCGTTCGCCTCATACCATACGTTCCCTTCCCCCTCCCAGATACGACACGCCCGCCATTACCATTCACGAACCGTCTCTTCTGCATCATGCATCGCATCATCGCCATTGTTCCACCACCGCCATCACATGTCATCCATGTTTCCTCTAGCAAGTAGGGTACACCTGTCCGTTCGTCATGCCATCGCATTTTGTCCCCAACATCGTCTCCGAGTCGCTCTCACCGTTGTCACTCGCTCTCATTATGTCGCCTTGTAATACATTGCATTCGAGGCGCGGCTTCGCAGCCGCGCCGGAGAGTAGCCTACAAAGGTGTGTCGCAAGAATAGCAGAATGTTCTACAGCTACGTGATCGTCTCGTGTCTCCATGGTATGGACGGGCGTATCAGACACTTCCAAAATAAGTGCTGACGCAAGATGTGTCGGAACTGGCATAGTCGCATATCCGAAGAAGTGGCCCGCAATAAAGCAGGGCGGTGTTGCACGATCATTTCCGCAGGGGGCCATTCAGTGGCTGGGGGCCAGTGCGGTGTGGAAGCAGCTGCACGAGGCCGACGTCGGGCGGAGGACTCCGACAATCTGACTATGCCACCCTCAGCGTCATTGCGAGCGGGTAGATGATAGGAGACGCACCTCGAGGACGACATCGCCCTCGCGGGTATTGCAGGAAGAAGTTTACGCCTTCTTCGCCTTCGCGCTCTTGTCCGCAGAAACACTACGGAGTCCGAGCTTCGTTAGCGACTCTCGGGCGTACACGAGCGTGGAGCGACTCACCCTTCCATCGCGACGTTCCGCATGATGGTCAGCTTGCCCGAGGACGCAGCGGTGGCGACCTGCTGCTCGATGCTCCGGCTGATCTTCGCGCTCAGTTTCTGGGCAGCGCGTTCGCGGACAGTCAGCGCCGCTCTCGTTCCGTCTTCCCCGACACGAGCGGGGACAGCGGGACGGTGCTCACCTTGTGCAGTGCGACCGACTTGACTGCCGCAGCCTTCTTGGGCGCGACGTACCGCTGGCCCTTCTTGGGAGCGGCCGCGGCCTTCGCGGCGTGCCGGCCACCCGAGGCCTTTTGCTTCGAGAGACCCTTGATCTGTCCTTGCGCCATGAGGGGTGTGCGAGCAAATGTGCGGAGGTAAAGGGAGCCGAGGTGCTCGGTACGCGTTCCAGGCAAGTCTGAGCGGAGGAGACGAGGATCTGTGACAGGTTGCGGCGGATGGCTGGTGGCGGCACTTGCGAAAAAAGCTGATCGCGGGGTGGAGCGCTCAACGAGACCTAACCCTAAGACAGCTTCTTTGGGATGCTGTGCACAAAACATCCACGTTTGGGCATCGCGTTCTTGAACACCCATCGGTTGTCCCGGTGCGCCCACGGTATTTGTAGGGTGAGCTCGCCTCGGGCGGCGACAAGAGGGTGGTGGCGTCTTCAGCCGAGGCATCTCATAGCACAGAAGGTGCACCATGTGGGACAGGCCAGGGCGAGTCTGAGAAAATAGCTGACTGGCATGCCTCGTTGTAAGCCGCCGCCTATGTTCGCACCAACAGCCGAAACCCCTATGCGTCCAACAACGGGGATTAGGAACAGGTGCACGACGCTTGCAGTATATATGCAGCATGTTTACGTCCCGTATGTCAGAGGTGTTGACCGCTTGGGACCAGAGTGCCCTCTTGGGCCCAGGATCCGAACACGCACACTGACAGCAAGCCCGCGGGCGTGAGTCGTGTAGGGGAGTCCTTTTGGGGGTGGCTTTAACATTCCATACAGGGAGCATTCTGCTCAGCCGCCGGCGGAGCCAGATGGTCGCGGCTGCGCACTTGATGCTCTCGCACACGGAACCGAGCGTAACATGAGTATTCTTGGGAGACTCCCCACGGGGTATCGTAATAGCGCTCTCACACATTAGTCGATGAGAGATGCACTCACCAAGAGACGTCAGTTATCGGCCAAGCCGGTGCGTTTACTGAACATGTCTTGATGAAAGGGCTTGAAGGGACTGCTGTAGTGGTCGATCGTGATGGGACAAATCTGACTGGCTGAGTGGCATTAGGCGCCTGTATGGGCGCACATGCAGATGTAGCGCCCGTCGGGATCTTCCGGTGAGCGACAGGCGCCAGAGAGACGTCTTGCTCTCCGTCTGCAACGTTGGCCAAGCTATGTTGGCCGTCTCCTCCAAATGCGTGCGCCTACCACGCACACTTACTCAGAACAAGGTCAGATATTACATTCTACTACTTTGGAAACCCTCATAGTGACCTTTTCCACACCAATTTCAGCGCGCTCTCCATGATATCACCTCTTTGCCGTCGAACAAGGCTGCCATCGCACAAGGACCCCCAGGGCGGAGTGCGACGACGGGGCACGTAGCGACTGTGTTCGGCTGCACGGGCTTTCTGGGTCGCTACGTCGTAGCGAAACTCGGTACGTCTTCCACCCTCCTTGACCCCACCCCGACAGCTGTGTTGAACTATGGGGTCGTGGAACAGCCAAGGCGGGCACACAGGTCATTGTTCCGTACCGAGACGAGGACGAGAAACGGCACCTGAAGGTCACTGGGGATCTCGGGCAGATTGTATCCATGGTGCGTGTATACCGCGAACTGCCAGGGATCGCGAGACGGGGCCCGCTCATACGTGCACACGCGCTAGGAATGGGACCTTCGCCGGCCTGACCAGATCGACGAGTGTCTGCGACACTCAGATATCGTGTACAACCTCGTCGGCAGGGAGTACGAGACCAAGTACGCCTTTCCACTCCTCGAGCGCTCCGCGCCGGCTCAGTGTTCGCGCCAACAGGAACTTCTCCTACGAGGACGTCCACGTGAAGGGCGCGGAGGCAATTGCGAGTCTCGCAACCCAGGCCGGCGTTGATCGCTTCGTGCACGTCTCGCACCTGAACGCGGCCCATGACTCTCCCTCCGCGTTCTATCGCACGAAGGCCGTCGGGGAGGAACGGGTCAAGGAGGCCTTCCCCAACGCGACAATTATCCGTCCCTCGATCATGTTCGGCTACGAGGACAGGTTGCTGAACAACGTCGCCTGTGAGTGCGGTCTCTCGTAACGCGGAACCGTGCGGCGACTGAAGCGTGCGACTGCAGTCTGGCCGATCTGGTGGAAGCTAAACCACATGAGGACGAAGGTCCGCCCCGTGCACGTACGTCTTTCGCCGCCTCCGCTGGCCCACTACCGAGTCTGATCCTGTCACAGGCGCTGGATGTCGCGCAAGCACTGGCGAACGTTATCCAAATTCCGTCCATGCCCGGCACCTACAACCTGCCTGGTCCCTCTGAGATGACCTATGAATATCTGCTGACGCTCGTCAGTACGGTCACCCTCAACCCAGTGTCCCCAGCCCCCATTCTGCCGAAGTCCGTGGCGCTCGCGCTCGCGAAAGTGGCTCAAAGGGTTTGGTGGCCGGCACTGAGCCCGGACGAAGTTGTGCGCAGGTACATCGACGACGCGGATGTTCCGGGCGACTGGGACAAGTTTGGAATTACCCCGGACGAGATTGAGGAGCACGCCATCACGTACCTGAGGAGATACCGATCCGCGTGAGTTGCTGGTCCGGCCTGCCACCAATGGAGGGGCCTGGTTTGCGTTCTTCCGCGCAGAGTTCGCTGATATGAACCGTTCACAGGGAGAACTTCGCGCGGCCGGTGGTATTCCCCGCTAACCGGGAAACTTCTTCGGTGAGTCAAGCCGTTAGCCCACTTTTTGAGTCATTGTGCTGACTCGCCTGCCCCCGTCCGCGCAGTATGACATAGTGGCATGAGGGGCGTCGATCACTAGCTAGCTGCTGCTCGTCTGTTGGATCGTTTCGGGCGATGATTGCGACTCAAAGCTATGTTTAACTGCCACTCATCGGCGGAGGTGTGAATTTGGGGTCCGTATCGAGAGTGGTTCGACTTCGAAGCCGACCGAGATCTGAAGAGAGTAACTTGCCGGAGAAGGTGCGCGGAGAGAAGAGCAAGTGTTACCCGAGCTGACGGGCGGGGACCGCGGAGCGCTGCCACAGGGCTGCTGCGTCTGATACATTCTGACGATCGTGGACTACCGCAGGAAAGCGGGAGCGATCAAGTGGGAGTCCGTGAGGGGAGGCATGGAAATAAGGTGGCTCTAATATACAGTACACGTCTGCTACGCATGGGCTATGGGAAGTAGAGGAGGCGCGTCCGGGGCGATCAGAAGCCAGGGGGAGTGACCCCCTTTTGCGGTTGGTTTGAGGGGGGGTACATGGAGCCCGGAGGGGCAAGCATCTGCGGAATTCGGCAGCGGGTGAGCATACCGGCGGCGGAGAGCGGAGGTCCCGAGACGAGACACGTTTCAACGCACCTGGGCGCCCTGCTGCTGAGCGAGCATCTCCTTCTCCTGCTGCACGATCTTCGCCTCGTCCTCGAGCACGAGGGCGAGCGGGAGGCCGACGAGGAGAGCGCTCGTCGTGAGGATCCAGACGAGGTTGCCAACGACCTTGCCGGTGCCCTTGAGAAGGCCGGCGGTCTTGCCTATACGGCTCGAGATGCTCTGGCGCGTGGTGGGCGGGATGATGTCGGCGAGGGCGACGATGCGCTCGTAAAATGACTCCTCGCCATCGAGCTCGGAGCCGACTGACGAAAGCGAGACGGACGAGGATGTGCGGGACGAGGCGGGGGAGGAGTAGGGGGAGCGGGAGTCGTGCTGCTCCTTTTCTTCGACGATTTCGACCTTGACCATGGTGGCGGCGTGTACAGTGAGCACAGCTGGCGGTGCAGTCGTGCGCGGCGCAGACAGCGGGCACGGGCGTTTGGCCAGATCCGGTCAAAATTTGGCGTGACCCGGGTGACCCGGAGGTGACGGGGTGAGTGTGACCGGAGGGATGCGTGTCGGTGCCGAGAAGCGTCAAGGGCTGCGCGACGGAGGGCGCTTGCTGGGCGCGTATGTAAGAACGCGGGGTCTGTTCCGCGTTCGAGTGCTATATCGTCCATTTCTCCTCATTTCTCCCTCCTCCCCCGTCCTCCCCCCACCCCCACCCCCCCGCCGCACATCATGGACCGCCCAGACCTCGACCAGGAGGCCTCCGGCTCGGGCTCGACCTCCCAGCGTGCGTGTCCTCCCTGTTCACCCAGCGCACACAAGCCCTGATCTGACCTTGTCTCAGCCTTCAATTTCTCCTCCCCTACCATGCAGAACCAGATCCACGAGCTGGCGAAGACTCTGCCACCGCCCAGGAAGCAGAACACTGCCTGCGATGCCTGCAGGTCCGTATCCCGCGCCCTTGTGCGCATTCATCCGCAGACCCATCGTCATTTGCCTTCACAGAGCGCGGAAGGTCAAGTGCAATCAAGTACCCGGTCAAGACAAGGTTCGTCGCGCCCGCCGTAACCCCCCTGCCTTCCTCTGACACCCCGCTCAGTGTCAGGTAAATTGAGCGCGTCCCCCAACCTCCGTCCGCCCCTCCGCTCACCGGGCTCTCCACGATAGCACTGTCTCTCTAAGAACTACCCATGCACGTGAGTCTCACGCTAGAAGCCGGTGATGTGAATTTGTCTTACGGCTGTCCATGCAGCCACCTCATTCAGCAAGCGACCACTGAGAAGAAGCGTAATGCTGCTGCGGCCAAGAGACCGCGAACGCTTTCCGCGAGCAGCTCGAGGTGGGTGTTCATGTACCAATTAGGGATCTGGACTTCCCTCACCCCTCGGCAGTAGCCAGCCCTCTAGTTCACGACCGTCAGTAGAATCCCCTCCGTGTATGCACCATGTGGCTGATGCAACGCTAATGATTCAGCGGTCCCGCCGAGCACATGGCCGCATCCGCACTTCCAGGCACTGCACATGCCTATCAGGCCCCCGGGTCAAACTTCCCACAACAGGGCCAATTCCCTCCTGCGCATGTCATCACGATAGATACGCAAACACGCGATCTGTTGACATTCATATTCTCGCCGCCGGATCCAAGGTTTGTTCGGTCTGGCAATCGTCGCATGGCGTCTTCTGATCTCCGACATCCCGTCCAGCCCGGGGAACGGTTTTACGAATGGCTCGGCTCACATTCGTATAAGCGGTAGCCCATCCCCGTCGGCCTACGCGGATTGGGGTGCGCTAGCGCACCGCTTGAACGAAGAAAACTTTCGCATAGAGTGCGTCCCTGCTTTTAATTATCGCCGCGCCCGCCGTTATGGCACGAGCGCCCCTTAATGATCGGCTACTGACGCTTGTCGTGAAGGTTTGCGCTTGACCTCGTGGAGGTGTTCTTCCAGATTGTGCACACCCGGCTGCCACTGCTCAACCCCGCGCAGTTCCGGTCGAGGCTGCACTACAGCCTATATGCTACCGGATCACAGAACGGAAGCACGTCGCCGAGCACCCCGACGGCGAACACGGTGGCGCAGCAACAACGTACACGAAACAGCAGCAGCCCGCTCGGCGGACAGTCGGCGCAGTACCCGCCACAAAGACCACTTCACCCAGCGTGAGTCTATTCACGTACTTTCTGTGTCTCGATGCGCCGATGATTGAACGCGCGGCCCTTCTTTGACTTGCGATTAGTCTCGTCGCCACCGTCATCGCATGGGGCGCCAAATTTTCGGAACACCCCTTGTTTATCGCCGACCGCCACCGAAATGGGGACCAGAGCGCATTTGCGAAAGTCTTGATTAACCGTGCCCGGGATCTCGCAGAAGACATGAAGGTGCACCGGATCCCAAATGCCGACCACGTAGTGATCGCACTCTTGATCGAGCCCCTGCAGAGTCGTAAGTTGAAACGTGTCGCTGTTATTGTATCTGTCTTGTTGACCTCGCGCCTATCCATACAGAGAGCCTGGAAGACAATGCAGGTACGAGATATTCTTAGCGACTCTGACTTGGTCTCAACTCTGCTAGGTTTCCATGGCTTCTGGCTGGGGTCCGCCATCCGTCTGCTTCTTGATCTACAGGTCAGTGCTGCACAGGTCTCTCCGGAGAAGCACGTCTCATCCCGCCCACTACGCAGATTAACCACAAATCAGTCATGTCCAACATTCACGACCCGGAGGCACGAGGAACCATGATCTTTGCTTGGTGGATGGCGTGTCTCGCGGATGCGTACCGCAGCGTCTACTACCGGCGAAAACCTATGCTGTACGTCCGCTTTTCCTCCCTTGGTTTCAAAATAGTCCCGCTGACGGTGCCGCCCACTATGAATTGCTCGTAGAGATGACGATGATTACGACATCGACTTCTATACAGTTGGGCCAGTGCCCCCCGATATCATCGAATCGCACTCCCCGCAACCGTCGCCGAGGGAACAGCTAGAGGTGCGCCCACATCCGCCCCCGCAGCGCACCCTATAGACTCCGCTAACATCCTCCGCTCCCGCGCGGATTTACAGTTCTTGGTAAGGCATCCCTCAACCGCGCGCAAGCCCTTCTCTGGTCTCGTGCACCCGCTGACCGATGGACGCGCGCTCTATACTCAGGGTTACTACCGCGCTGCGCATGCACTGGCACGTATCGCGCGGCAGATGTCCCGCCAACTGTGGCGGCCCGCCACCGAGTCGGACGGGATCCCCATCGACGTGTTGACAAACTTCATGACCATTCTAAACGAGTGGCGCGATGATCACCTCCAGCACGTCGGTGTCCCGACCAACTTCGAGGCGGAGTGGGACTTCGTAAGTGCTGTGACAGCTTGTAAGTTCCCAAATAGCGGTGTATGACATATAACCGGGCATGCTGATGATGTGCATTCTGTATGCAGGTGCCAGCGATGCGACCTACCATATCATGTGGATCGTTCTCTGCAACGCGCTGGACGACTTTGGCATCCGCGAGGCGAATGTAGGGCGCGCGGGCACTCCGGACGCAGCCGTGATTCAGCTCGCAGAAGAGAAGAAGCGGAAAGTTATGGCCGAGGCGTTACATGGGGCGTTGCGCATTGCGGGTCTGGTCAGTCCGATGCACGCCATGCAACGTGCCACACAGCGCTGACGAACCACGCATCTCACAGGCCGGTGTTCTCGCGACGAACGGATACCTGGTGAGCCCTTCACATTATCTGCCACCAATGACACGCCCGCTGAATGCAATCCGGCAGCGACTGGACTGCGCGGTGATGCACGTCAGCTGTATCCAGGCGGGCATGCTCCTCGCGCGGCTGGGGCGTCCGGAAGTCTCGAACTGCATCACCGGGCTCGAGCAGTATGCGTACGCGTACGAGGAGTGCGCCGATCAGGCCGCGGAGATCAAGCGCGTGTACCACCACGCGCTCGCGGGCGAGACGGAGCTGAACCATATGGCGTCCGCCGTGCCACGCCCCGGGCAGGAGAACGCGATGAACGTCGACCAGCCCATCATCTTCGGTGGCTTCCAGTGACCGGTCGCCGTCGTCGATCCGGTCCCCCTTTTTTCTTGGTGGGTGGGTGGCCTCCCCGCGAGGCTAGCTCGTTCAAGATTATTTTGGATACGCCGCTCTCTGTCGTCGTCATCGCTCGCTCGCTCGTGCTTGTCGCGTTATCTTGTCTCCAGACGCTCTCGGATCATTGGAACTGTGTTGTAGTAGCATTTATATCCCTAGAGCATACGTACGTACGGTTGTAGCGCATTGGCACCCCCATGGATTAGATTGTGCAGATATAAGTATTGTATTGTCGATACTGACACCCCTCTCCTTGTTGTGCGAGATCCCGAAGAACATAGACACGATGACAATGCAAAATGCAGCAGCGGCAGGTATACAGTGTGGTGTAAGAACAAGCGAAGCAGGACTACAGGCGTACACCCTTGGCGGTCTGCGAGATACCTGTCTTCTCTCCGGCGTACCTGCTCGCATCCATGCCGCCCTTGTAGGTCGCCTTCTGCGAGGACACCCGCTTCTTCGCCTTCTCGTACTTCTGACGTTTCTTGACACGGGGGTTGCGCACGCTCTTCGGACGATGGGGCGTGAGGCCCTTGTTCTTGAGGATCGCCCGCGTAAGCGATCGGGGACCGTCCGCTTCCTCCACCTCGACATACCTATGTGGTTCACAATCAGCCATCTAGCCAACGGTAACAGAAAGGACAACAGAACATACCGTCCGGCAGCCTTGACGGCGTCGTGTTCGTGCTTCTTCTTTTCCTTCGTCTCCTTCGATTTCCGCTGGACGAGCTCGTAGTACCCGTCCGCCGCGCCACCCTCGCCGTCGCTCCCGCTCTCGCTCTCGTCCCGTCTCCGCTTCTTCGCCTGCTTGCCGTCCACGGGCATCTCCGCCTCGGGGTCGACGTCGTCCAAATCCGCGCCGTCCGCCCCGCGCGTCTTTGCGACCTCCTTCGCAAGCCGCGCCTCCTTCGCGCGCTTGCGCTCGCGGTACGGGATGTCGTCGTCGCCCCCGACCGCGCCGGACCGCGCGCCCGCACGCCGCGCCGCCGTGCTCTCGATGCGCGCCGTGTGGAACCGCAGCGTCTTCTTGCGCGCCTGCTTGTCCGCCGCGTCCGCGACGTCCAGCGCGGACGCCTCCCCGTACACGTCCTCCGCGCCCGCGTCCTCGTCCGCGCGCCGCTTGCCCTTGCCCTTCGCGGTGGATCGCGGGGCGGCGAGCTCGGGCTCGACGAGGTCGAACACGGGCATAGCGGGGACCGGCTGCGCGCGTGCGTCTGCGGCCTTGCGCTTCTTCTTCGGGGGTTCCTCCGCCGCGGCGTTCTGCCTGCGCTTCGCCTTCTTCGGCTTGCTGTCCGCGCCCGCGCCCGAGCTGCCGTCGATGAGGTCACTCGCCTCGCGGAGCAGGTCCTCGAGCTCGCCGCGCTCCAGGCCCTTGCCCTTCTTCTTGAGCCGGCTCCCGGCCCACAGCTCTTCGGCGTCGGCCATGAGGTCTTCGCTGTCCATCGCGTCCTCGAGCTCCTCGTCCTCGCCTTCGTCCTCATCTTCATCTTCGCCGCCGGAGAGGCCGCTCATGTCGGAGTCATCGGACGCGGCGAAGTCGAGGTCCTCGAGCGTCGCGAGCGACTGCTTGAGCTTGAGGAGCCGTGGGAGCACGGGGTGCGCGCGGAGGAGGTCCGGGCGCTGCGCGTATTTTTCGCTCGCGCGGAGGTGGAGGTAGAACGCGAGGGTGGTGGCGTAGGTGAGGAGAGCCTCTGAATGGGACGCGTCAGCATGACCGTCTTTGACGTGCCGACGGAGCGGCGGAGGGACGTACGGTGATGGAGGTGCATCATGCTCAGGCCGAGGGCGCTCGGGTCCTTCGCCTCTAGTCTATTCGGGGACGTGGTTAAGCAAGGAGCGGTCAGACGGGGCGGAAGCGGGGCGTACTTTGCGATCTTGGCTTGGGCGTTCACTAGGCTGTGCGCGACGTCGTCCCAGTCGTTTGCCAATGCGAGTGCTTCGGGGTTGGTCTTCTCGAGATGTCGGAGCAGGGACTGCTTGTCTTGCGGCAGCGGCTGAGCAGCAGGTGCCGCGAGCTCGTCCACAAGCCTGTCAGGATGTGATGTGAGTCCACGGCCGCTTAGAGAGACACGAGCGCACGCACCCATCTGTGTCAGGGAGCCCCTCCACGACGTCCCCAAGCCCAAAGTCGTCGTCCGCCATCGCGTCGCGCGCCTTCGTCTGTAGCCGCTTCGCCTCCTCCTCCTCGAGCTCGATCGCCTCCTCGTCCTCGCTGTCAATCTCCTGCGCATTTGACGAGTAGTACGCGGCCTTCTGCGTGCCCCAGCCCTCATCCTCCGAGTCCGACGCGGACTCCTCTTCCGAAGACTCGGCTTTCTTGCCCTTCTTGCCCTTCGCCTTTGCTTTCGACTTCTTCTCTTTCTCCTTTTTGGCCGCGGCCGCGGCGGCGTAGTGCACGTCGTCAATGTCGTCCTCGTCGTCCTCAGCCGCTGCGCCCTCGTCTTCGTCTTCGGAGCCGTCTGACCCCACGCCTTTCAGCGCGAACACCTCGTCCTCGTCGCCGTCGTCGGACCCGCCGTCCTCATTTCCCTCCAGCAGAATCTGGTCCCTGGAGGCATGGACTGCAGCCGAAATGAAGTGAGCAAATGCCGCTGCACCATGACGCGGGCTGAGAGCACATACACTGGTCTTCCTCATCCATAGGCACGTCCGACGCTTTGTTCCACTTCCGCATTTTGCTGTCCTTGCGGTCCACACTCCGCGGCTTCGAGTGGGAAACCTTGCCCTTCCCTGATCGACGGCGTACCATGGCGGGCGAGAATGTTGGATGGGCGGGCTGAGCGGAGCACTTTGTCTGGTTCACGCTCACTGGCAGAAGCACACAAAATCTTGAGGCGCGCGCGCAGATAACCACGTGGCGGGGTCGATCATTGGCGCTTATGTGCTCAGATCTACGATCCAGACGAGCGTTGTGAATATTCTCTTGGACGCTCCATGCCTCAGTGCAAGAAGGAACGTATGTATATACAGTACTGGTAGGAGGATGTAAGTCTTCTATAGAAATGTCAACATTACATATATAAATGTGTCCAGTCCCAACGGGCGCAAGATGGTGTGTCGCTGGCCTAGCTGTTTCAAGGCGCAGGGTTTTCATCATCGTGCCAGTGCAATTTCGACAGCGAGAGGCCCTGCAGGATACGTAGACCTGCCTTGATTCAGGGGAGTCCTTAAAGCAGCTATACCCACGTGCATTTGTGGATGCAACGGGCGTGTGCAGGGGTAGAAGGACCTACGTGCCCAGTCATCATGCGTAGCCTCACCTAAACATATACACTTGGTGAAGGGTCGACCGTGACCGAGCACACAAATGGAGAAGAGCAACGAGCTCATGCCTCTATATTAGGGCGCTATACACTAGCAATGAAGGCAGAGGCAGAGACCGAGCTGCACGGGGATAACACCCTGCATGACAACTACGTGAAAGTAACGAGGTCAGTTTCCGGGTCCCCACCATAAAAACACACAAACACACCTCGTACCATGGACAAGCAGCGGTCTCTACCAGAACTCCTTCCTCTTCTTCCTGATGTCCGCCTGGAGCGACTTGCGCTCGCCCCACTTCGCCCGGTCCGCCCCATGCTCCTTCTCCCGCTGCTCCAGCGCGCGCCGCCGGTCGGAGCCCGTGAGCGACACGAGCTTGCCCACGAACCACGGCGTGCAGTCGAACTCCTTCGCGAGCCGCCTCCGCGTCCACGTTATCGGGTCCTTCCTCCGCAGCGTGCGGATTTTCGCGATGTCCTCGTCGCTCAACCGTGGCTTCTCCCCCCTGTCCTTGCCCAGCCGTGGCGGGAGCGCCCCAGCGCTCGACGCGGGCCCGCCCCTCAGAAGTGGGGAGGAAGGGGAGGTGGTGTAGGAGAGCGGTGAGGGCGCGGTGGGCGGCGGGCGGTGGATGAAGGTCAGCTTCTCCGGGAGCTCCTGGTAGACCGCGCGCGGGTTGTTGAGGAGCGGGTCTGGGGGCCGGTACGGCGGGTTCTGCGGGAGGCGCGTCGCGTACGAGCGGGTGAAGGGGAGCCTCAGCGAGAACGGCAGACGGGACTTCATGGCGGACGGTGGACGACCGAGTCCGCGTCCAGCAGCGACTTCAGCGGGAATTCTGTCACGAAGTCACGAGTGACACGCTGTGACACGCAAGCGCGGATGCACTTCGCGCCCAATTTGGCAGGTCGGCTTCTCGAGCACCATCATGCTCAGATCATGCTGCAGTCCACCACGCGGGCAGGCCTGCGAGCGCACCCCGGTTTTCCTCGTACTGTGTGGCATATGTCCCCAATAATGCTAGAGAGCGTGTGGGTGCGCATGTGAGCCGTACATGCACACGCTTGCAGTTGACGCGATAAATTGCCTGTGTGCTTCCCGCGCTTATCGTCCGCGGGGTACATGCGCGTCCACCACGAGTCTCTCGAGCTTCTCCATCTCAATCTCAATTCGCGTGAAACGCGGAGGTGAGGTGCGCGTCCAGCACACCTCCGCGTTCGAATCGAAATTCTTCGAAGCCCGTACCGATCAGACATGGGCTCGTTTCGCGCGTTCGTGCGCTGGAAGCTGGGTCCTCCGCGCGGCGAGTGCGCAGGCCCGTCCCCTCGCTCGCACGAGCGATCACTGGACACTGTGGAAAGTATAGACATTGAAAAAAGGTGTTTAAAACATTAGGCGGATCATTGTTCTGAACACGATTAATCAATGTTTGCGAAAAGTGTTTAAAACAGTTCTTTTGGTGGAACTCATTGTGCAAAACATTGAAAAGTGCCAATCCAACACCTCTTTTCAATGTTTTGAACAGTTCTTACGATTCGCTTTTTGCGGGGTCCCAGTAGCTAGAGCGGAGCGCACACCATATTTCCGTCACATTATTATGCCAATAAACATATATTAAACCATGCTATGTGATACAGTACGATCCGTACTACAATGACCAGAGACAAGGTGACCGAGAAAGCAAACCTGGAGGAGAGAGCAGGTCGTGCAGATGACCGGGAGACAGCCCAGCTGCTACAGTAAGGGCACTAGTCGTCGACATAGTAGGCAGCTATAACACAGACTGTAGAGGTGTCGGGACGAGCAAGGGAGGCGCATAGACAGGCAGAGCGTCATGATATAGATTGTTAGCAGCCGGGCGTGATCGTGTCGAGGCGTCGATGTGCTCCAGAGCGAAGCCGGGGCTACAAGGTGGAGAGGGACTGATAGCGGCGCAGGCGGATTGGCGACGTACCTACAAGCCGATAAGATCGGAGAACAAACACGTTGACGTGCGACGATGTCGTACTAGGCTTAAAACACGGCGAGAAAATGAGTGCTTACTTGGCAGGTACTGCGTACGTAGGGCAGGCGTGCCCTCAGCGCGCACAAAGCTGCCCCCCGCGTCGCCGATGTCTTCGACGACAAAGCTGCGAATAAGAACGCGATATCCCCGCGCGACGTCAGTGAGCATCCACGGCGACTGGTGCTTCCGCGCGTAGGCGGAGTCCGCGGTGGTGTTCGCGACGATGAACGTCTTGAAGTATGCGCGGAGCGCGAGCGTGCCCCGTATATGAGCAGGTAGGTGAGTAGTAGGCGAAGCGTCGCGAGCACCGCCCGGCGCACGGTCCTGTCCGATGTACCTATGAGCACCAAATGTTGCATCGGTGTTACCGAGAACTATACCGTCCTCGAGATCGCCGCCTACGGGCCGTCCGTGTGAACGCACCTCGGTGTGTCTCTTCTCCGGCTCCAGTGCGATCCCCTGGTGTGCGACGATGGCACTACCCAGATACACCCCTCTATAGCGCTCTTCTGACCCCTTCATAGAGGCCAGCCCACCGTCTCTGCCGAAGCGAGCCCATCTAGGACCCGTGTCAGCTAAATCTCACCGGATGTTGCGTGAGACGGGGCGCCCACTGGCACAACAGACTATGGGTTTAAGCTCGTCAGCATTGAACACGAAAAAGGCGCATATAGTCACTTACCGTGCGAACTGGGAGTCTTAAGCGGCGATCGCGAGCGCGTCATTGCGCATATATGGAGGCCCACCGATTGTAGGCGACACACCCTTGACCGAGATCCACGACGCCGAGCTGGTTGAGCAAGGTGGTGGTATGCGGCTAGCTAGTCACAGTCCAGGTAGGTGAGGATGGAAGCAGGAAAGGCGACATGGTCGTGGTTGTGGTCCAAGGTGCGAGCGGCATGCGATGACGTCTCGTTGAATGTGAAGGTGTCGCGGCGGAGATTCAATCTGAAGGTATTGCCTAAAGCGGGCAAAGTTGGGCGCTACGTACTTGGCGGAAATTCTGGAGAAGGGTCCTCATGAACCGAGTAATGTCCAAAACACTGAATAGAAGTGTCACATAGATCTGACAGTTATATTCAATGTTTTCCAGATGTACCGTTTAGAACCTCACTTTAGAATACATTGAATGACACTGTTTAAAACAGTACTTTCCGTAAACATTGAAAAGAACTGCCTAGAAAAACAGTGTTTCGGACATTGAATTTTCGATAGTACTGTTCGTAACACTGAAATTCAATGTGTATCACATCCACAGTGTGGACGTCCTGTGGCGGGCAGGGAATGTGTGGAGTGGAAGATGGTGGAACGGTGATGTGCGTATTACACCGAGGCTTCTAGTTGTCCCCCGCTGACACGCCCAGCTAGCCATTTCGGACTCAGCGCGCGCGCCTTCCCGCCCGATTCCCGACGATGGTCCATGGGGTGTGCACTGCCTTCCTGAGCTGCTCGACTTCCGAGGATGCGCAGACGATGCGCAACCTCTTGCAGACAGGCTCCTGGTCGTCGGAGGCTTCGAGTACCAAAGTGTGGGAGGAGGGGATCGGGGGACGGGCGCAGAGCATGCAGTGCACGGTCTGCAACCGAGAGATTGGCAGCCTCTAGACTGGGGTCACTCCACCTGAGAATGACGTAGGGCCAGGGCAGCGGCTGCGTTCGTCATGGGCCCTGTAATGGGAAACCACGCTAGGCTCGGCTCAGGGCGAATCAGCTCACATGAGGCTCGCAGGCACTCCCTCCTCCTGCGCATAATTGCAGAAGCTTCATCCGCGCCATCGACGGCCTCTGTCCCGCCCTATCTCGGACGCTGCCACCCGGTCTCCCCCACACAAACCTAGTTAACGCCTCGGGTGCCCGATCCATTATAATTACACCTCCCCCGCATCCTGCGCCTGTCCTCCAACTTGTCCCTCGCGCACTCTCTGCCCGCCGTCCCGTCCACCTCACCGCCCTCCCTACACACTCTTCGGACAGACTAGCTATGCCTGAGCCCATCGGTGCCAACCACCCCCACTTCGCGCTGCTCGAGTACGCGCGGGACATGCATCAGTACACCCTTGAGCTCTGGAAGAAGCTCGACGACGACCACCCCGTCCCCCCCTCCCTGCCCCGCAGGCATAGCACCCAGGCTGACTCCCCGTCGGATAGGCCCAACAGCGACTACGATACTGAGTCTCCTAAGGAGTGAGTACCAGTCTTCGTGCGCTGAGGGCCGCTTACTGACCCCCGCTGCTGCTAGGTTCTGATATACGAGATGTGGCGTAGCTTTGCCCGCCGCCCCCCGATATATGCCACACTTGGCTCATGCTTGTACGTCGCCCGTCGCATCCCCAACCGTACCGACAATGCTCACCCTGGTCTCTTCCCTAGTTCGTTTGCTTTATGCTTTTACCACCATCTCCACATCATCCAGGCTGGGCCATGCTCTCTTCCCCTCACGCCAAAATATCTTTATCATGCATCTCTCTGGGACGTTGTATTACTACCGCACGAATATTCAGTCTTATCTTGGGAATCCCCCCGCCGGACGCTCTAAGATTCAGAAGCCGCACCGCACATATCGGCCGACGACAGAACACCTGTCAGTGTGATTCAACCCGCCTCTGCTTCTGACCTGTCTACAGGGTACGCAGAACGCAGCACAAAGTAAACGATACTTCTATAACGTACGTATCACGATCTCGACCCCTTCCACCCGTTGATCCTTGCCCTGCGCAAGGGCGGACGATCCGCGATGCGCGCGACAGGGCCATAAGTACGTCCGAGCCCCCGGACGCCGATCTATGGCACCTGCATCCCCGCCTTCACCGCGGGCCTCTCCATCGCCCGCTCGACCCACGCCTGCTCGCAGCCCATCCCCGGTCAATACGATTCTGAAGCACGCTACCAGGCCCAGGGGGCAGCACGCACCTTAACGTTCGGCCACTCATCCAGCGTCTCGATTTCGACGAACCCGTGCACGCTCACCCTGCAACGTCCGCAGTCATTGTCAGCCACCCCTAGCACTGCAGTCATGGGGAACGGCGGTGCATACCATGGCAACGCGTTCATGTCCGCGATGCTGTACGTCCCCCCGTCGCGCCCCGCCAGCCACTCCCTGCCCGCCAGGCGCGCATCGAGGACACCATACAGCCGCTTCGTCTCGTCGATGTACCCTGGCGAAGACGAAGACGAAGACGCGAACGCAGGGGCATCAGTGTCTAATCTCTATGGCCTGGGACCGCACGCGCGCACGCACGCTTCTTCGCATACGGGATGTCCTCTGGGGCCGCCCGCACGAAGTGGCCCGCTACAATGCGCAGGGCGCCCGGTCAGTTGAGTACGCATCGGCACCGGGGGCGCCAGAACGCTTCTCCCCGTAGAGCCGCAGGAGGTGCGTACCTTGTCCCTGCATAGGCCCGATGCCGCCGTGCTGCGTGAATGTGATGAGCCCCCGCCAGGCACCCCGTCAGCATCATCGTCTTCTCTCCTTTGCACCACCGGTCCCAGGACAACGGATCCGGCGGGAACGTAGACGTGGACGCACCGTGAAGAAGATCCACTGCAGCACCTCGCTGTACGTCTCCGGGTCCGCCTGCGCGTCCGCGGCGAACTTGCGCAGCGTGTCGTAGTGCTGCGCGAGGTACAGCAGGATCGCGCCCGACTCGAACACCGCGTGCCCATCGCCGCCGGGGCTGGGGCGGTTGGCGTCGACGAGCACGGGGATGCGCCCGTTCGGGTTCAGGCGCGTGAACCACGGCTCCTTCTGCACGCCTGTTGAGATGTCCACCGGGTGCGCTCTGCGCGGGACCGGGTTGCGGGGGCGGAGGAAGGTATCAGGAAGTCAGGCACGGCGACGGCAACGCGGTAACGGGGTGTGGGGAGGGGGCGGGGTGCTGCTTACTCGTACGCGAGGCCGTACTGTGCCTTGAGTTCCTCGAGGAAGATGGAGACTTTGCGGCCGTTGGGCGTGCGCCAGGTATAGAGCGAGAGTGGCTTCGCGGACGGAGACGTCGCCGTCGAGTAGCGGCCCACACCGCCGCCGGTTTGGTACCGCAGGGCGGGACTATTCGCCGCGGCGGTAGCGGTATAGCCCCCACGGCCATAGGTAGCTTGCTTCGCCAGTCGGTGTGTGGCAGCACCAAGCGGGAAGGTCGGTCTTGCGAGTGACGTCATGATCGCTGTGTATGTCTATCAGCACAGCGACTCTGAGCGCAGCGGGCTAAACAAACGCGGCTTGAAGCTAGCCTGACGGGCACCTGTACTCCTCATCCCGGCCGAATCGGATATTGCGCGCACGTACCTGAGCTGGGGCGCGTGCACAAAAGACGAGGGACGGCAGACGTGTCAGGGCGCGGTTGAAACTTCTCGGAACTCCACCGTATGCACGGACTCTATATTGGGCTGCGAACCGCGCTGACAAAGCTCGGGTTCCTAGCTCGCCGCCCAAGCATTTGTCAGGGAATGATCATCGTAGAACGTCGCAGAACCGCGGTGATGTCGGTCTCATGTCTGACGGTCTGGCACCGCGATAGACTCGGAGGCCTGCGGTATGCTGAAGGGGTACGTACATACCTCTATACCTCGCGTGCCAGAAGACGAGGTATGCAGCAGGATCTCACTGGAAGGCAGGTCGAACGTGCTTGCCACGGCCGTATCAGACGACGTTCTTGCGTCACCCTTCCAACTTATCGGCCCTACTTTTCTGGGCAACGCAAGCACCGCCACCTCCACACGTCGCGGGAACCACGAGGCGGATGTACCGTGTATGCGAGCCCGACGGGAACACCATCGGGCGCAGCGTGCACACGGCCGGCGGCATGACCCAAAGGGTGTTGCAAGGAATCTGATGGTCATGCCGAATCGGTGTGCAACTCGGAGAACCCATACCATTTCTGTATATCGGGACAAGCTTGTGGGAGCAGCGCAGCTGCGTGGGGTAGGCCGTGAGTCTCGCGGCGCAGTATACGTGCAACAAATTCGATCACTATTCCCTGGTGTCAGACGGGCGGGACACGCATCTACAAGTAGAGCCAGATATGGTGAGATACGAATTAGGGCGAAGAACAATTTCAAAGTTAAAAGACGAGGACTGTAACGAGACCTAGCAAAGAGGTCAGCAGCCAGCCGAGGCTCGAGTCAACCGTTGGCTTGCATGCCCCCGAAGAGCCCGAGGACGTCGTTGAAGGTGATGCAATCGTGGACGTGGATGATGGCGACGTTGTAGTCGACACGGACCAGCTACTGGATGAAGTCGCGCTTGACGAATGGCTCACAGTCGCCAAAGGAGCAGTGCTGACGGCGAGGCTGAACGGGAACGTGGTATTTCCCGGGGTGCCTTCCGTCGGAGCGGCAGGGTCGACTATGGAGAATAGCGGGCTTTGGTTCGCGGCGTTCCCAGTCACTAGTGTCCAATACCATCATCTTCTGCATCTGGAAGACGGGGACAGGGGCACACTCACAGGCAATCCAGTAGAAGTTGCCGGTGGGCACGGCAGGCACTATCACATTCACCACCTCGTCCGCGAGGGCGAAGCCGTCTGCGAGTGGCTGACCTGAGGTGGAGCGTTAACACCGTTCTTCGACACCCATTGAACGGCCATTGCACGCTTACCGGGAAACTCCATAGTTTGGCCGTTGTCCGGATTCTCGAAGCCCAGAAGCAGTCGTCCTACTTCAGTAGTGATGCCCAGGCCATCGTTGCTCCTACCATTCGTGGGCTTGCAGTCAGTACGAAGCGAGGGCGGCGAAGCTGCATTAAAACGCACCAGCGGATAGTTGCGACGTCTCCGACTGTCCAGACATCCGCGCCGTTAGGCCGCAGGATGCGCGGTGACTTGGAGGGATCTACGGGCGTGAGGGCAGCACACGCTTCCGCGAACACAAGCAGGGCGAGACACTGCACGACAGATTGCCCAGAGAACATAGCGGACTCAGTCGGGGAGAGAAGAGGCAAGAGCGGCCAGCGAGTCGAGGACAACGTCGAGAAAGCATGGTGGGCGTCGCGGAGAGGATTTGCAAATATTCTTGGGCGCGTTGATCCTCTTGAGCGAAGCGAGACCGCCCGGGGATGGCGGCGTGCGTTTCTTGAGACTGTGACCAGCAGCACGTGCAAACGCGTCGCGTTCAGTCACGCGTAGGCGCGCGAGCGCAACCTGGGCATCGCACTCCAGCGCCGCTTCAGCCGTTTTGATGTCACTAAATCGTGAGTTCGCACTATTCATAATCGCGCATATGATTGTATTGTCCCCGACTCAGAACAGTATACTAAGGAACCAGACTAATACATAGCTATCAACGCGACTCTATGGCATACTATGACTGTCACTCTCCATCGTCTCGAGGAGCGAGAGATGGAGAACGAGCCGGTGGGAGCTGAGAGTACATAATAGTCTGGTGATTGGCGAAGGTAAGAAATCCAGAGCGGCCTGCGGGAAAATGCGTCAGTCCTATGTCGTCGCGTAATCGGAGAGAAGGGACGCACCAAATGCTCAAGATCTCATGCGGGTGGTCGGAACCAGTCCGAGGGTGATGAAGGTCGAGGCGGGCGCGAGAGTCGAACGGGATAGCAGGGCAGTCAGTGCGGCCAGAGTGTCGGTTGTCGTTAGTAGCAGTGCGGGTCTTGCGGGCAGGCGCGTCGTCTCCATGCATTGAGACGGTGCGCCTGTGCACCCGGCCGCCCCAGGAAATGCCACGCATGCATTCGTGATATTTCCAAGGGGGTCTGGGAAAGATAGGCTCAGCGCGAAGATCATTGAGCATAGCTAGATCAAGTACTCACCAGGTGCGGAGATGAACGAGGTGTGCTGGTCCGAGCGGTCTTGAAACGCCGGGAGGGACAGCGAGCTCCCGAAGTATACTCGTCTCCAGCAAGAGACTACAAGCGTGCATACATGTAATCTCAAGTAGAGAGCTGTGCATACAACGATGAGCAATGTGATGTCAAGGAACTGAAGAGCAGTGCTTACCTGATACCGCTGGAGATGAACGATGAGCAGACGTTGGGTCGCCCGGACAGATGGCTGGTGTCGGAGGGGGCGGTCGATGGCCCTCTCATGAACGAAGAGGGGGAGGGAAGGTCTTCACGCGTAATTGACGGCGTAGTAGACCAAGGCATACTCATCTCCGAAGAGGATCCACGCGTGCATGCATGTACCTCAAGCGGAGAACTACGGAAACGACGGTTAGTGGTGGAATTTACAGGCGGATGAAGACTCGTGCTTACCTGATGCCGCTGATAAACGATGAACGATGTATGAGTATCGCGCTGTCCGGACGAAGTTGTCGAAGTCGGGAGAGACAGCCGATAGCCCTCTTAAGAACGAAGAGGGTTGAAGTGAGGAAGATGCCTCGCGATGTTGACGACGCGAGAAGTCTTCCAGAGGGGGTGAGGTGTGAGCGCCACCAGGGATTGGCAAGTGGAAACCGCGACCTCACAGGGAACGGCGGCGCAGAGGAAGGCGTCGGAAGGGAACTGGTGAGGCGAGAGCGTGGCGGTTGTCTCAGAAAGAGGTGGGCGAAGCAGTGCAACTTCACCCAGGTGGTCGTTAATACCGAGGATCGCCGGTCGTGAACGCAGTGACAAGTTGCGAAGACGGCCGAGATGTCGGATTGGCGACGGAGTTTGGGGATGATGCGGAACGTACGTGGGCAACCTGGCGACGCTTAGGCGTAGCGTTCCAGGAAGCGTTGTGCGTTGAGCATACTTGACAAAGAGAATGATGAGACAGGGTCGTCGGTACTGAGTTGTCGTGCGCGTGAACGGCGGCCGGGACAGCGACGAGCCGTGGTCGGTAGCAGTCGTTGAACGGCGGTGGATCCGCCTCAGGGATCCAGAGCCGGCCTCGAAACACCTCCGACTTGGCAAGGTAGGCGAGAAAGGGGGTCATTGCAGCCGAGTTTGAGCGCTGGCAGAGAACAGTGGGCGAGTCGTCGGGAGCGCAAAGCCAGCCAGATGTCGATGTCGTCGTCGCAAGAGGAGGCTGTATCGTCGACCCAGAGAGCGCCCAGAGTAGAAGCAACAGACCGAGAGAAAGCAGAAGAAACACAGAGAAAAGGAAAACGTCTAAGAGGAGAGAGATGAGGTCGTCGAGTATCGCCGAGGGACCGTCAGAGTGCGTCGCGGATGCTTGGCAAGAAGTTGACCATTGCCATGCACCTGGGAGGGACGACAGATCCGAGCTTGAGGATACTTGAACATCGGGCGGACGTCGAGTTGAGACGGCCGCAGAAAGATGCTGAGGAGAGTCATCGAGATACCTTGGAGTAGACTGAGGAGACCCGATCGGAGACCGAAGATTGACAGAGGAGTACACAAGAGAGTCGCAGGCAGTAGAGTTGTAGAAACCGTCCGTCACCTCGAGGGCTGGCACGCTACCAGGAGGAGGAGCTCTGTGGGACCAATTGACCAGAGCCCCTATGGACGAGGCTAACTCTTCGTCCTCGACTGCTTGTTCTCCGGGTTGACTATCTTCGCCTTCGAGCACGTCGACTTGCTCGCCTTCTTCTATCTTGTCAAACTACGAATGCTGTTAGGCGGGGATTCTAAGCGAATGGACGAGGAAACATACCACATGATGATCAGGTATAGAGACCTCTTCAACGCCTTCTCCCACAGCCCATCCATGGTCCGACGAGCGACCTCCCTCCGAGAGGACCGAGATGTGCGAGGGAAACCAGTCGTTGTTGGAATCCACCTCCCCTGGTACTGTGATATCTTCAGAAGGACTCGCAATGACGTGCGAGTGCTTGACGTCGGAAACGAAGCCGGGGACACGCGCCTCCTCAACATCCTCAGGATCGTCTACTTCCTGAGGAGTCTCGGTACGAGCGCGGTCTATGGCTTCGGCGACGTCGACTTCTGGGACATCGTGGCTGACAGCCACTGGGGTCGGACAGGCGGATGGCGACTGGGGCGGGGAGCCTCGAGCGGCTGGGAACATGAATGCGCAGGTGAGGCCTCCGCCGTCGGTGGACTTGACGATGGGCAACAGGGTCATCTCAGAGTTGAGACGTTTGCGAAGCTGCATCTTGTCAGCCATGCTCCTCACACCGAGCAGCTGCAAGGGACTCACTAGGGAAACCTCCGCTTCCAGACGTGTGCACCCCTTCACCACCTGAGGAGAGCCGGGGGACGGGCGCTCGAAGCCAGCCTCCATCCAGCGGGTCGCGAGGGCAGACCCGCCCGTGAAGGAGGTTAGGGTAACAGAAAACATACTCGCCGCGCGAGCCATCTGAGAGTAGACAGTGGCGGTGGACTCGGAGTGAGCGTGAGTCGACATGGCGGAGGGGGAGAGTTGCTGATCTTGAGGGGCGGTGGTGGTGGTAGAGAGGGAAGGGGCACGAGAATCAGTAAACGCAGAACGCAGGCTCTATATTCACGGAGGGTGACTCTGAGGCGGGCGGGGGCTGGCAGGGCTGACACTGCTGTCAGCTCTAGATCTTGCCTCGGTGAACCGAACATCTTCAGTTAGAATTTGGAAGGAGTGCGTTGAACGTTCACCGAACCCTTGCACTGGATCGCGGGGGACGATTGTCCTTTTTTGAACGTGTTTATGAGTACGCCAGCTTGTACACCGACATGGGGAGGTGGCAAGTCTGCACCTCCGACTCTCCGAGAGAGAATTCCGAGCGAGATGGTAAAGCTAGCTTTATCCAGTCATGAATATTTGTGCAGGCTGCCGGCAGAGGTGCGAGACAGGATAAATAAAACGAACGATGTCGCCGCTGCTACGAGAGATCCGACGTGAGTGGGCAGCGTGGGGGTGCGGAGACATTAATGACCGAGACTCAGACCGTGACTATGAGCGCCAGATCATGGCCGTGACCTGATCACGTGGTTTAGTCGCGTCGCGCCAGCGTCACGCAGCTCATACATTTCAGCAAGCGCCCAGATCCGAGCCTTGCGCCTGTCCACTCTCTACTGCATACATTCACACAGAACGTTGCCGGATGAGCGTGAGCTTTTGCGGCTGCATATATCTTCCGACGGCGAACTCACCGTGACCGGAGCTGGCAGGTCCAGGAGCACGCCAGTGTTTTCAGCAAGTCGTGTCCGCACGACGGCTGCACCTACGTATCCAAGTCGACGTCCAAGGCGAGCGCTGAACACAACCTCGGATCTCACACGTCCAATGTTCATGGACAGAGGACAAAGGTGTGGTACGGTGGTGAGTGGCCGTATACTCCCCTCTTGTCGCTCGCTGTGCTGATAGTGAGCGTGTGGCTGCCGCAGCAACGCAAGTCACCATTCTCCGAAATTTGAAGACCAAGACGATGTCGTGTCCCTGTGGGAGCTACAGCCACCTCAACGCCGCTGTCGTACGCAGTCACGCTCTGAAGAACCACAAGGGCAGCGACAGAGTCCCGCGTGGGTCCAGTCCCGCTGCCTCGTCTTCCGTCGCCGAGCAGAGCGCTCCTTCCTCCCCCGGTCCCATCGAGCTCCTTCCCGCACCATCTGCTCGGAACAAGTCCTCCACACGTATGATTACGTGCTGCAACACCGTCGTTGTTGATGTTGATAGCTTGTTCGCAGGGCCGACCGCACTTCCGACGCATGTACGCCCACAGGCAGAGTTACCATCTACCTCACTGCCGATCGTCCCAGTCAAACGTATCAGCGACGTTCCAGATTTCACGCCGTTGAAGACGGGTAGGAAATCTCTGCCAAGTGCTCCTCTTTCGACCCCGGTTGTGAGCACTTCAAATCCTCGCCAGTCCGCTCAGAAATCTGCGTCTGTAGCCGGATCATCGACCAAGGCACGTAATTCCAGCGATGCGCAGCCGGTGTCTGCGTGGAGAGAAAGGCTTCTTGAAAGTATGAAAAAGCCTTCTGACTCCAAGAACAAGAACGCCAGCCCCTCCCGCCCCCTCCCTGCCCCCTTCGCGCCGGCTGCTGGATCAGGCTTCCAAGTTAGCAAGCGTGTGCGGGAGGAGGAGGCCGAGCCCGGCCGGCCTGCGAAGGCACCCCGCGTGGAGAGCGGATCTCACTCTTGGAGGGACATCATCATGCCGATGACCCTCACGCAGCAACTTTCTCGGCCGAAGCAGGTCGCAAAGAAGTCCGGCCGACAACCCAACGCGCTATTCCGCGACCTAACTCCAGAGGAGGTCGAGACGCCGGACTTCGAGTGCGGGGATGACGAGCCCGCATCAGGACAACCAGAAGCGGAGCCGCCAACGTTGAGCGAGCACAAGTGTACCGTCTGCTTACAATCCGTCAAGACTTACCTCAAGTACTGGAAGAACCAGCCCGAGTTCGTGTGCTCCAAATGTATCTTGAAAAGAGCCGCCGCCGCCAAGACCAAGGCCCCCGTCAGCTTCAACGCGGAGCCTAGCACTTCTCACATCCCAGTGGTCGTGCCCTCTCCCGCAAGCGCAACTCCCCGTCCTAAACCGAGACCGAGGCCGCGAGTCAAACGGAGTGACGTCGCATCTGTTCCTGACGCGCCCAAGCAGCCCGCCGCCGTCGATCGTCCCACACAACAACCCGCCGCCTCCTTGGCGGGCCAAACTGCGCCCCCGCGTCGTGCCGTGGTGGACCCCCCGTCTCCCGTAGCCGGCACCTCGAGCGAGCCCGAGGGTCTCGCGCACCCCTTCGAGGCTCCTTCCGACTCCGAGACGGAACGTCCACAGCCAGCCCCCGAAAAGCCCAAGCGGCGGCGCATCACCAAGAAAATGCGCGCAGGCGCGTTCCGCGGCTGGTTCGACGGCGTGCTCGCGGACCTCCACGCGAAGCAGGCCGCGGGCGACACCGCGTTCGCACTCGTGATAGACCGCAACGACTACCTCAAAGTGCGGCTGATCGAGCAGCAAGGCGGCACGGCGTACACGACGCAGGAGCAGTTTCTGGCGGCCCTGCGGCATTGCATCGTCGCGTTCGAGCGCGGGAAGGCGGAGGGGAGGCGTGAGCGGATGGCGTTCCGCGCGGGGTACTCGATCGTCGCGCAGCCGAACATTAAGCATAAGGAGCGCGGGGAGAGCGTGATGCACCTGTTGCGTGCGATGGGGCTGACGTGAGTCGCCGTTTCGCGGCGGTTTTTTGCGGTGGCGGGTATCCGCGGACGGTTTCGCTGACGTACGTGTCTGCAGGCTCGACGAAGCGGGATCGCAGGACATGACGTTCCATAGCACACACGAGTCCGGGGCGTTGGAGGAGGAGCATGTGTGGTCGTTCTTGTGCACCTGCGGCGGCCCGCTCAAGCAGGGAAAGCCAGCCTCGGACCTAGAGAAGCGGGCTTCGCCGTGCGGAGGGACGATTGGGTTGCACGTTGGGGACGACTTTGCGCTGGAGGCGTACGGCATCAAGGGGCAGTTCATCCGGCTCGATGTCAACCATCATTATCGTGCGGGTGCCAGCGGCGGTTCGCGAGCGTAGCGGGCGGGACATGCTCGGTCTTGGACGAATTAAGCGAATCGGACTTGTAGCGGTGGGCTGTATGACGATCTTTCTCAAATATACGCTGAAGTTTCTGCTAGTTTACTCTAGATATACGAGAGGTCATCGGACACGTTTCGTATCATAGCCGAGCTACGCTATACATCAATATTCTACGTTAGCATTTCTCTACATCGCGAACTACTTCATGCCTGTGAATCGACAAGGTGATGTCACCGCGGACCCGCCGTCCGCGTCATCTGTACGGAAGGCTTCATCTCACGGTGCGTACTCTTTGGGGAACTCCATCGTTATTACTGACGACTGGCTATGGCACGCAGAGTCGGTCAAACGTATGAGAAACATCCTCGAATTCGAATTGGACCTTACGTCTTTGAAAAGTCTACATACTACGCACACGCACCATTCCGCCGGGAGGACACCTTTCGGTTCCTAGACCACATCGCCAGCGCCCGGCAGCAAGCGTCGGGGTCGCGAGCGAGCATACGCCGTCCGCGCGGAGAGGTGTCTCCAGTACCGCTCCGCGGAAAACGCAGACGCGTTGCCGCCGTCTCTCCGCAGCCTGAGGTGCGTATATGCGTGTTATGTACGCATATACTCACACCAGAATGAAAGGGAGACCACCTCCGCCCAAACCCTAGGCCTGATGCAGGCATTGACAACATCGATGATCCGGTAACTATAACGTACACATTGGGCATTTTCGACTAGGAACTGATCTCAGGAAACAGGTCTCTCGCTCCCCTCCGCAGCCCCTCCCTGGTCCCGATTCCCCACCTCCAGCCCCGGAGCCCGCCGACACTGATAGCCCTATCTTCCCATGCGCCGACCTGCCTACCGGCACTCCGAAAAGAATTGAGCGTGCGGTGGTCCACACTCAGGACTTGGTGAGTCCCAGCATTGTAACCTCCACATTAGCTATCGGATGACCTGTGAGTGCCGCGTCCTGATCGTATTCAGCATCTGATTTTGCATGTTTCTACTAGCGTCCACACTACTGTCACCAGCCTGACTGACAACATCGCTGAGGCCCTGACAAGGCCGCAAGTCTTGGTAGTGGCTGGGCCGTCCACGGATGCAGCCACAACCGCAGCCGCTGTGTACGCAGCGTCTGCGAGCTCGTCGGTGCGCGCGAAGGACTCGACCGTCGACGCTGTGTCGCTAGCGCGGCCTGCGTTCGACGTGAAGGTATCGCCTCAACCGACAGCGAGAAAGCCTCATCAAGCGAAGACGCGAGCGTGGCCGCCGTCCGACAAGGAAACTGTAAAGAAGTACTATGCGTTCTGTGATCGCGAGGGACTACGCTAACGAAGCTACTAGGTGGCAATATGCGTACGACTGGCTCCAGACCAACGCTGGCGAGACGCTTGAAGCGTTTGAGAAACATCTCGAGGAAGATTTCACTAGCTATAGCAGGCGGGTACGTGAGATCCAAGCTATCCCCTCCCCCTTCATGCTGGCAGCCCTCGGTCCGCGATGTGATGTGCTGGATCGCGACGACGCAACTCTCCGACGGCGACGCTGCCCCGCGACCACGACCTACTTCTCTGCGCGACTCTGGGACGATGCAACCTTGCGATCACGACGTGACTCTGTACCGTCTGATGATCATGCGGCGACTCTCCGGTGGCGACGCTCCTCTGCGACGGCGATCGAGCAAGTCGTCTGTGGTCTAGCGGTGTGGCTTTCTACGAGCGACTGCAATACGGCGACACAGCGCTCTCCGCGTGAAGGCGCTCGCTTCGTAGAACACGGTTCTCTTTGCACGACGCGGTCTCCGCCTCGCTGCGTTGTCCTTGCTAACGTCCTCCTATCAGAAACTCTTGGACCAGTACAAGAAGGAGGTAAGTCGCCCTCTACGCTCAACTGTGTCTGTTACTGAGGGGCGTCACCTCGTTCGTAGAAGGCAGCAGCGTGAAGGCCTTGTCACGCACGCGAGGCCTGAGGGTACGATAGCGGATACCCGCGAAGAGTGGTAGCAGCACGAGCTTATGGCGGCAGGGTTTGCAATGGACCCCATGAGCGGGCGGCGGTGGATAGCGGCGGAAGGGGCGCTCTCAGAGGCTACATACAGGAACTTTACTGTATAATGCGGTCCCGCCCGATACAATCCGCCTGCATACGATCATGGAAGATGCGTGCTACACTGGTATCCCGACCCTAAGTATACGACGCGATCCGCTGCCATACGACCGATGACGCATCGATCCTCTTTAGCCTGTGAGTCTGGGCATCGTCACGATACGAATCTATCTGCCTGAGTACGTTGGATGGCGGACATACTCTAGATCAGCGTAAACATACGGAGATACCGCTGTGAAACGGATCAATACGCCTCCCTCCATCCCAAACCGGGGGGTTTCAACTGGGCACCAGAAGTTGCGACGCAAAAAACCACCACATCAACAAGTCCTGCTCAGCTCACAACAGATAAACGCGTGTAGTTGATGTCCGAATGAACGATTCAAAGGCGACGGTAATGTACTATGCTACAACGGACTTTCTAGAGACACGACATAGAGCATTTACATAGGCGACGACGAGCGCGAGGGGGTGTGAACACAGGAGCCGGGGGAGTTGACGATGATGGACAGGGGGACATGTGCGATGGGAGGGAGGCGACAACATGGGCGATCAGGCGACGTAGGCGAAGGTGTCCCGGGTGCCCTCGACACGCTCGATGTACTCCTTCTCGAGCAGATGGTCGATGGCCTGGGAGCGTTGAAGGTCAATAACCAAGCACGGATACTACGTAGATCAGCAACCCACCTTCTTGATGTCGGGGATCTTGGGGGTGAACCGTTGCGAGATTTGCGTGATGACTTCTTGGATAAGCGCCTGGTTCTTCATGGTCTTGCGCGCCTTCATGATACTATCGCACGCATGCGCATGAGTGAACAAGTTAATATGTTGAGAGGACGGGATAACACATACCGCACGATCGACGCCTGGATGACATACTTGCGGTCCTCGTCGACCGTCTTCAGCACGTCCGTCGACTCCGCCTTCTGCTCGGCCTTGATCGGCGTGTTCAGGTTGATACGGATCTTCTTCGACTTGAAGTCTGCTCAAGCATCAACAAGCCGCTCTCACAACGCACATACACGACCAACTCACTCGGGTTCAAGTCGTACTGGTCCGTCTCCTCGTTGATCAGGATCTTCGCCTTCACGAGCACAGCGAGCACCTGCTTGAGGATCTCCTTGCTGATCGCGGTCGCGTTCACGAGCTCGTCGAGCGAGAGCGTGTCGTTGTTGTTGTACTGCAGCAGCACCGCCATCTGCCACGAGCTCGTCATGAGGATGTACTTCTGGTTGAGGTAGTTCGTGCGCAGCTCGTTCTTCGAGTAGTTCCACAGCCACGTAAGCTTGCGCCCGGAGTGCTTCTGCTGGTAGTACTGCGAGAAGCGCGTGTACGTCGGGAGGATGTCCTGGGGGATGATGAAGTCGTGCGTGGGCGGGTTGAGCGGCCAGAAGTTCGTGCCGAGCACCATGATGCTGAACGTGATGTCCATGTCGTCGTGGTTCTGCTGCATGCGCTCCTTGAAGTTGTCTGTGAGATCCTTGCTCAGGCTCATATCTGCGGCAGGAAGTGAGATCGCGATGTAAGATTGGACAGGACTCGAACATACCAGTGAACATGCGCTGGAGCTTGTTGGTGTACTCGAAACCGCACGCCTCCTTGAGCTTGGAGATCATGCTCGCCTCGGCCTCGTCGGATGCCGACACACCGTGGATGAGACGCTTCGACAGCTTCGTCGTGTAGAACTGTTGGAAGACGTCCTTGTCGTCGATGTACTTAAAGAGCACCATCTGCATGTAAATTGTCAGGATCAGCGAGTTCTTTTGGCATTTCGTGTCTGTGGGCCCGGGCGAACACGCACCACTTTGTTCAGCGCGCTCTCCAAGTCCTCCTCCTCGGCCATCTTGTTGTTCTTGCGGAGCAACGCATCAGCATGCTTGGCAAGCAACTCGGGAGACTTGGTCGTCGAAGTGCCGGTCGCAGCATTGCGGTTGACGAACTCTCTGCACGCCTTGTCGAGACTCGCAACAAAGCCAGCCTCACCACGGAAGCTGCGCGTGACGGTCTCAGAGTTCTTCTGGTGCACCTCGAGCAGGGCGTCGACGTAAGCCTTAGGGTCGGCCTCGGCTGCCGTTGCACCTGGAGTACCCTCGCCCACGAGCTTCCCGACAGCCGCCAAGCCGGCGCGCTTGACGTGCTCCTCGAACTTCTTGCGCAAGGGCTCGAGGCCTTCCGGGATGCGCGAAAGGAGCGCGTACATCCGCTGCAAGTCCTCGTCCTTGTCGTAGTCGAGCAGTTGTTGGAAGTTCTCCCACATGAGCTCCGCGTGCTCGCGGATGAGGACGTGCTCGCACTTCTGGATGAGTGCTTTGCGCGTGTTCGTGTTCATGTACCGCTCGACGCGGTCCTCCTCCTCGCGTAGACGCTCCTCGGCCTTCTTGAGGTAGTCAGCCACGCTGTTCTCCGCGAGGAACTTCTCTGATTCCTGGCGGTAGTACTTCTCCGTCGCGTCGAGGAACGGCGCCTCGAGGTGCTCGCGGTAGACCTCATAAGAGACCTTGTTGATGTCGCTCTCGTCGAGACCGAGCGAGACGAAAGAGTCGACGACCTTCTTCACGAGACCCTGGTCAATCGTCTCGCCGTTCCGTTGCCGCTCAATGAGCCTCAAGATGGCACCCGCAAGCTTCTGGTTCTTGCTTTGCACGTGGAGGAAGAAGTTGGACTTCCATTGTACAAGCGCGAGCTGAGGGACCGACGTGAGCCTCTGTACTTGGGTACATGTTGATCGGGGAACATACCGTGTATACGGGATAGACGCCCTTGCGACCCTCGTCTCGTTCTCGCTTGACCCAGTGGCGGTTGAGATATGTGAAGAGACGGTTGATGTAGTTTGCGCCTGTCGTGTATCGGTCCCATTCCGTCGCGTAATACCGGAGGAGTGCTTCGTCTTGCAACGAGTCCGATTGCTGTGTGGCGCGAAAGCGCTCAAATCAGTAAACGCAGAACGGGGTGGCACTAGTATATGCTAACCGTCTTGAGCGTTTTGAGATGGTTAACGAAGTAGCGGATGAGGTTGTTGTACAGATCCGAGCCCATCAGATTCGCTCCAGCTGCGGTAGGATCAATACACAACAGGAATGAGAGCCACACTCAGCACTCACTTCGTTGGCCCAAGCCGCCTGGCTGATCGCCTGTACCGTGCATCTTGGACGACGTGCAGTAGTTGTAGGAGACGGTGTAGAGGCTCATGTACTTGGAGTACGATACACCCGTCTGGAGTTTGGTCATGATATGGTCGACGCCCTCCTCGAGATACGCCCAAGTCGTCGTGAGGTCCGCGTTGGCTGGCGGCATGGGGTATGCATTGTTGCCCGTGTTGGCAGCCATGACTGGGAATATGGAGGATTAGGACGTCGAGGAGGAGGAGGCAGAGGATGTGGTCGGTGATCAAGAGCACTGCTCCGCGTCTCGCGCTCTCAGCGCATGGCGTGCACCAGTCACAAGCACGCCTCCGTTCCGTGACACTGGCCCATGCTGCGGCCATCCATCTTGCCTCCTGCCTTCGTCTCGCTTCTATCTCGCCCATCTCGCTCTCACCCTCGCGCAACCGACGCGCACACAATGGCAATTCCATTCCGACAGAAAGGGCACACGAGGCCACAGCCGGCGCTACGACACTCACGCACCTCCTGGGGCAGGCCTCGAAACGCCTTCTTAACTCCTCTCGGCAGTCTACTATGCTCGAAACATCGACCTTGCGCGTCGATACGAATCTGACCCTGACAACGTGGAGCTTCCTGTAGTTGTAATCCCCATGCTTTGTTTCCTTGCGCGCCTCGCTCCGGCGGTTCTATGGTCGTGCGAGCGATCACTCATGGCCACAAAGGAAGTCTAGCTCTTACAATGAAAGCAAGGAGGTTCGTATACCAACGAGTATATGGTCCGTGATTGTATGGTGGCTGCACACAACTTCGGCTGGCGGATCCGGGGTCGATGACACCGCTTCGTTGTCCATCAAGACCTCATACAGTTCGCGCCGGACGCTCGCCCGGCGATGCGCATACCATACAGCGCATCCATCCATATGATATCTGTTTGGCCTCCTACCACTCTGGAAGCTGTTTGACCACTCCGACGCGACTGGCCCAAACCTCTATGACGCGCTCTATGCTGCAAGTCGCGATCGTGCTCTTACTGGCGGCAGCATACTCTCTCGCGGCGCGCATCCCCCGTGCCACGGTGGCGCCTACAATCATCTCGCCTTCGGGCCTCAGTCAGTGGCCGTCGGGCACAGTGGAGACGGTGAAGTGGTGTGTGTTTAAGTTAAAGAAACCTTGCTACTCGTTCTCATGCGGAGATCCATGCAGGGTGTCAGACCAGGACTTGACTGGCCTGAACGGGACTATATACATGGGGTACATACAACCTGATGGTAACCCTTTTTTGTGGAAAGGTGAGTACACTAATATTTACGACGACAACCTTCGTACTCAGCTAGTCGTACCAGACCAGCCACTAGCTGAGAATTTCTCCCTCGCTGACGGGGTGGTGAACATACGCGTTCCCTTGAACTTACCGACAGGCTTTCGTTATGTCGTCTCATGTGAGCACGCGTTGACAGCAGCCCGTCCATTGCTCATCAGTTGCTCGCAGTGTCGATCGACGGTGATGACAGCGATATCAGTGGTGTATTCGGCGTCGTTGACCGCACCGTGCAGGCTAGCACTACGCTGCCTCCTCCTGCGACTCTGTCGACAACTGGCGGCGTCCCCCCTGCTACCATCACACGAACAAGTGTGGTTTCCACCATTGGACTCCCGACAAGTTCCGCGACTTCGAGCGACCTCACTACGCCGTCTTCGTCCAACACAGCAGCGTCGACGGCTACCCAACCCAGTCCTACCAACACCGGTGGCAACTCGAACGGTGCAGGCAGTGCACATGGCTTGGGAGCTAGCGTGCTCCTCACGATCGCGTGGTGCACGTATACATGTATACATGGGTTTGTTTTTTAAGATGGCCCACGAACGCAATGCCAAGTAATTGGTTTGTTTACCAGGCTGGTAGCTCTCTCCAATGTCAATGTTGTTCGTGCTGTTCGTACGTCCACAGTGCGAATGTATCGACATGCGTTCAAGCAATTATGCTCCGGAAAGCAATCTTGCCGCTGAATGTCAGCGCGCGTTTTATTCTATTGAATCTGTGCGAGGCGAGCACGGAATATCCAGGACCAACCCCTCAACAGATCACATCGCCTTCACATTGAACCGAGCTAGGTAGGCTGGCGGTACCCAGCTCGTTCGGGCCCAAGTCAGCCTCTCCAGCCACCACCACCATGTCCCGCTTGCGCCGAGATGGTAACGCTATCCTCGTTCCTTCGCACTCCCGCCATTTAGTCGCTCCCTCAAGCTTCAAGCCCTAGCATCACAGTAGTCCTTCAAGCTCAAGCACCACAGCGGCCGCAGTCGACTAGCTCTTCTCCAATCCTAGCTTCACGTTAAAGTTCAAGCGTTGCAGAAGTCTACTAGTATCTCGTCTCCAGTCTTCAACCATGTCCACTAACGTCAACTACGCCGGCGCGGGGTCGCTCCCCGACGCTTGCCTTCCTGCCCGCCGCAAGGCCGACGCCATGGACAGCCCAACTGACGACGAGGCCACTCGCTCCGCCAAGCGGTGTAAGCGTACTGAAGACGTCGAGAAGGCGAGTACCTCAGCTTGAGACCCTCAGCGTGTGCTTACTCGTCTTCAGATACATCAATGCTTCGAGATGTCATCACTCAACGGCTCAAGCAAGAGGCGTAATCGTGCCGAAGGCCGCAGGGCTGTCAAGGTGCGTTTATTCTTTCTCATTAATATTCCTGTCCTCTCCGACTAACATGATCGCAGCTGCGTAAACGGTTCATGAAGTCTCTGCGCAACATCCCAGCCCAATTCGACAGGGTAGACGGCGCTCATTTCGCCTTCACCTTCGTCCCGAAGCCCTTCGCGGAGCGCCTAGACGCCATGGAAGACATTGAAGTGTCTTTGCCAGCCACCGACTTCGACCTCGTTAGCGAGACCACGCAATCCACCGTCTCCTCGCAGCACCACCAAGTTCCGATGTTGATCGACGGCTCACAGATTGTCGAGACTGTGGGTCTGAGTGAAGCATCGGCCTCCATCTCCACCCTCGACACGGAGATGGAGATCGTGTCAGAGCATGTTCTCGCTCTCGACGCAGCTGCAAGTTCATTCGGAGACGAAGACGAAGTCATGGCCGACGCTTCCCAGGTCATAGTCCCTGCCGGCCCCAAGAGCTTCATCTCACGCTTCCTCGCTCGCGCCGTCGCCGCCGTTCCTCGCCAGACGACCCAGCTCAAGGGCGTCGTCCGCGGCATCGCGAAGTCGTCCTCGCGCAAGTTCTCCGCGATTTCTACTCCGTACGCTAGAACTCGGAGGCCTGAAGGCTTGACGCCTGCTCCCCGCGTCCGCGGATCGCTCACGGTCCCGGACAACCTTTTCTGTCGTCTGGCTACGACCACCGAGCGGACCGCCGCGAAACATCCGCTCTCTACCTCTACCGTCCTCAAGCCGGTTCTTTCCAATGAAGACATTGTTGCCTCGACCGTGGAGGATGTCGTTCTTGACATCCCTGTGGAGATTCGAGAGGAATCTCCCGCCCCGATCGACGTGATAGACTGCCTTGCATTGGAAGAGCCTTTGGCCGACATCATGCTCATCGCTGAGGTACACGAGCTGCCAGTCCCCTTATCCCCAGTCCCTGTAGCAGTGGAGAGCGACGAGGACGTATTTGGTCCAGTCTCACTTGTATCCCAGAGCGAGGCGGAGGTAAGTTATATATTATCATGCTTCATAAGTCATACCATTCTAACGACTTACAGGCGATGGAGATTGAGGTCTTTTACGACGCCTCCGAGGACGTGGAAGATGAGGTCCGTGCCTGTCCTTCCTAATTCTTAGCAGCTTCTGATCAGCAACTAGGTCATGCACGAGGGAGACGCGTTCTTCAGCCTCCCGCCATCGCCGTCGCCATCGTCACCGCAGCTTTTCTCGACGACTTTGGACCGCCACTGCGATGACGACACATGCATTGCCTGCCTTCTTCTCACCGACCTTGCTCAAACCCCAATCTCACCACCTTCCCTTTGCAACACGGACAGTGAGGACTCGTCGGCGTACGGCTCCGAGATCGATGAGTACTATATCGATGCTGCGCCATACAACGTAGTAGCACACCCTGCCATCTGGCTTTACCGAGACTCACCTGTCCTCCTGGACCTGGAGGACGACGTAGTAGTTGCGGTACCAGTCGAGGAGATGCTCGATGTAGAGATCCTGCCATTGGCCGCCGACCCTCGCTTCGTCTCACTCATCTCGGACCTTGACAAGTGGTCCTGCGAGGACAACGCCCGCGTTCTTCCGACGACCTCTTGCGCGGACGTTCTTATGTCCTCAGACTCCGACGTCTGGTACGATGCAATGGACGACTCAGTCTCACCTACTGCCTCTCTCGCCGACATTCAGATGACTTGCGACGCCTCCTACATCGACTTTATGGACGGCATCCTCGTCGACCACCCTCACTACTCTGCGTCTCCGTCGCATGCTCTCTCTGCGACGGGTCTCTTGCCCGATCTCGGTTACGCGCTTCCCGGACACCCTCTTACAACAATCGGCGATTACAAAAGGACAACTCTACTTGGCTCGCCCTTCGAACCTCGCTGGCCATTGCCTTTCCTCGCCCCGACCGCTCGGCACTCCACTGCCGACACCCCTCTGATGGGTAGTGACGCTTGCCTGGACTCACCTATGGACCTTGAGGTCGCAAGTGCTCCTCACTATGTCCTCGTCCCTGGTCCTGGCTACAACACTACCCCTGCTCAATTTTCCTGCTTGTCCCGACTCTCTGAAGACGACCTGGCCCTGGCTATGCTCGTAGACGCACCATCCTTAGATCTCATGGATACCAGCGTCTCTTGGGTGTCGACCCCGGTCCCTTCTCCTGTTTTCCCCGGCGCTTGGCGGGAGGACTTCGAGTTCATGGACGACATTCTCTCCTAGCGCCATCCACTACGACGCTTCATATACCCCATACAAACTTCCAAACCTCTTTCATCAGCAAGGTAAGCCTGATATCTCTCCTCGGTCATGCTCTTGTACTGATTAGCTTCAATAGCGCCGCCCGCGACCCACACGCCTCGCGCTGCCCATTTACACTGTTCGTCGGAGGTGTTTCGAGCGCGGCGGTGGATTCCGGCCGATTCACTGCTGCTCAACTTGAACCATCACCGATCACGGGCTCGTCGTTGTCCTGGCCATCGCTCACGGCTGCGACAACTCAACTCGACGACCCCGTCTTCCATCGACATTTTTCAAAGTATACTTAGCGTACGAAGCCTCCAGGAACGCTAGGCCCAGCACCTCCAGGTTGCCCGCTTCGACGCTCAGCATCATTTCCGACTACATCGCCAACTCAACTCCGACATCCCGACCGTCTTCGCAGCTGTACACTGCATTCACGGCCGACGATCCTCGGCATTCCCATATTTAAGAGCACGAGCGGTATTGGCGGCCGCTCGGGCGAAGTCGATCTGCTTCGCCGCCCCATTTTAAACGAGACAGCCGCCATACGCTCGTCTCACCTGTACATCCCCGACGCTTCCCGACGCGCCGCCGCTCCCCGCGAGGTCAAGCCATCCACCTGATGACATCTGGTCATGTTGGCGCCTCGTCCTATTTACGAAGACTTCTCGCGTCGTCAACACCGCGAGGAGTCTCACTCACCCCAGCCCTCTTTATCCGTACGAGGGCCTTCGGCCGCCCCCTCCGACTTCGACAGCTTGTCCGGGTGGCCCGATACCTGTTCATCGTCCAATGTTCATAATAACTGGCATCAGGTGAGCAAGACCCTTTCGTTCTTGTGAATCGCGACGCTGACCTCTATCGGTTTCACAGGTCTCTGCTTGAAGCTCCTTGCATGCACGCTTGTAACTTCTCTCGGAGACAAGCATGCCGCCGCGGTCCCTCTCAGCGTTTAAGATCGCTCGGACCAGCGCCATCCTGTTCATCACGCGCCTGGTAAGCACCATTTCATCGCCCTCCATGACCCTCGCGCTAAAATTCCTTCCCTTAGATCTACCCTGGAAATCCCACGAATGCACTCGTGAGGTTTTCAGTGTGGTTCGACGCTCGGGCGCATCGTTCTCAATGCACTGAGACGACGCGCCTGCCTTGCTCGCCCCGCCGTTCTGCGGGACTGCGCAACACCGCCGACACTGCGGTTTCTCTCGCGCCATCCCACCCTCTGGCGCTCCACTGCTGACGACCCTCGACGCTTCCACTCACTCGTCCTCCTGCTCTCGCCTCGCTCTGCTTGGCTGCTTCTGCTCTGGTGCTCGACTTGACTCCCTTACTATCACCCTCGGACTGGTTCCGATCACACGCATGAGATCCTGAGCATTTGGTCTGTCCCCTTATAACCCTCTCCCGGGTCAACAGCCAACTGACTATATCTTTTCTCAGGCCGCTCTGGATCTCTTACCTTCGCCAATTACCGGACTACTCAGTCTCAGCTCTCACCGGCTCATGCTTGGTAGACATAGTATACCATAGAGTCGCGTTGATACTGTACTAGTCCGGGTTTGTGCCAGAATGATAACATCGTCGAGATATCTTAGCTTGTGTGCGACGTCATCTTAGTACTGACGATGTTCCACTCATTGGGTCATTGAAAAACTGCTGACGGTGATTCGGCGCCAGGGGAGCGAAGACACACACGCAATTCAGTAATAGTAAAAGCGCAACGAACGCAGTCATATAGTATTGTATCAAGGAACCTATTCCAAGAGGTGCCTACATATCAGGTCCGTTAGAGAGAGCGTAAAGTTCAACTGAAAGTCCATCCACATCATTCTGTTCATAGTGCTCCCATCATAGCGAGACGTTCCTGCGAGGCCCGTCACGCCGCACCATGCTATCCATCAGCACCGTTCAGGCAGAGCTGGCCGGCACGGAGGAGTCGACGGTGGAGCTCGCGGGGACGGAAGAGTCGACGGTGGAGCTTGCGGGGGCGCTGGAGTCGACCGAAGAGCTGGCGGGAACGCTCGAGGCGACCGAGGAGCTCGCCGGGACGGAGGCCGCCTCCGAGGAGCTAGCGGGAACGGAGGCCGCAAAGGACGAGCTCGCACTCGGGACCGCCGAAAATGACGAGCTCGCGCTCGGGGCCGCCGAAAACGACCCGATAGCGCTGGAGCCCACGGTGATGGTCGTGCCGATGCTAGCGCTGACGGGGGATGCAGTCGCGATACCGGTGCCACTGGCCGAGCCCGAGGCAGTAGCCACCCCAGTGCCATCGGCAGAGCCCGAGGCAGTAGCCACACCGGTGCCAGAGGCACTGACGGCCACACCGGTACCAGTGACGGTAACCGCAGTGCCAGTCGGCGCGGAGGAGCCGACGACAACGACGGTGGTTTGCCCGCTGCTCGCGGTGGTAGTGCCAGTGAATCCCCCGGACCTGGTGGTAGGGTTGCAGCTGCCGTCCACGGTGATGAACTCGGTCACCGTCACGGTGTGCCCGTGGCGGTGGTAAGGGAAGCCGCTGGGGAACACGATGGAGGTCGGGACGGAGGCAGGGATCGTGGTGAAGATAGAGCTCGGGAACTCGGAGAAGATAGAACTCGGGAAGTCGGTGAAGATGCTGGACGGGGCGGCGGAGGCGGTGACGAGCACCGAGCTCGGAGCAGCAGAGCCAGTGACGAACACCGAGCTCGGAGCGGCAGAGCCAGTGACGAACACCGAGCTGGGGGCGGCGGACCCGGTCTCGGTGACGAACACTGAGCTGGGGGCGACGGAGCCGGTACCAGTGCCAAACGCCGAGCTTGGGGCTGCGGACCCAGTGGCGAACAGCGACGAGGTAACGGCGGTACCGGTGGCGAACAGCGAAGAGGTAACGGCGGTACCTGTTGCAAACAGCGAGGACGTAACGGCGGTGCCCGTCGCGAACGCCGAAGACACCTCGGCCGAGGAAGGGAAGCTCGACTCTCCGACAGCCGTCGCGGTTACAGTGGCCTGGGAAGTGAAATCGAAAGAGGAAGAAATCGCGCGCTTGGCCTGAGGACCAACGGCGGCAGCATCACCTGAGGACAGTTGTCAGTATACCGAAGGTAAGCAGCAGTGACTATGCCAGGGACTCACCTCTGCTGACGAGCAGAGCAGCAAGAACGAAGCTCAAAAGGTGCATCATCGTTTTGAAGTAGGACGGGTGGGGAGAGGTGAGCTGGGAGAGGAAGGTGAAAAGGCGTAACACTCAAGGGGAAGTGAGGTGCGGGACATGAGGCTTTCAGCACCGTGTTTATATACTGCAAGTAAGCATGGCGCTCACGCGCGGGGTGAGCGTGGCACCCGTGGAGCGAGGCTCTGAGTGCACGGCAGCAACTGGGCGTAAGGTTGCTGCGGCGGCAGATCAAACACGATCTTACGGTTCGGGATGTTCTGCGCAGTCCTCATCCTATGCAAGCGTCTGTAAATATGACGCAGTGAGAAAACGCTTAGTATCGGCTATCACCAGCTTACAGTGCAGTGAGCCGCACTCACTAAACATAGTGTCCGCAAGCTCGAGGCGGTGCCGAATAATCGCCGTGTATTTCTTCAAGTTTGCAAGTGCATTGAAAGCCTTGAGTATTTGTCGTGTATTGGTCATGATACTTGTCAGCGGGGCTGCCAAGTAGCGCAGTTTGCGGCGGCGATGTTCTCCAACTGGCCCCATCTGCTGATCGAAGGTAAGACAGACTGGGAGAGGGTCGAATCCGAATATCGCGGCCATTTGACGCAGCACTGCGGTCATTGTAGCGCGGTGTGCGATGAACCAGCGAACAACGTTGCTGCTTCCCCTTTTGGGCATGTCCACGTTGCGGACAGCACAGCCTCTGGCGCCGGGGAGTGTGCAAAGATAGACTCGGGCTCGAGCGATGGACGCCGACCATGGCTGCTGCGGCACTACCCCCGTCTGAAACACGCTCAGGGTTGCGGACAACGAACACCGCTCAAGAAATAACGGTCGGGCGCACTACCATCATTCTCTCATGCTGCCTCTTCCTCCCCGCTCCCCGCAGCCACTGAATATCGACGTTGCTCTTGGCAAGCGTTCTCTTGCCCCATATGCAATTGTGCCTGTCGCCTCGGACAATCCGCACTGCATGCAAGTACGTACACGGCATGCCCTGAATCTTTGAAATTGGGCGTGCATGGGCGTGTATGTATCGTTCGCTTCTCGGAACTCGGTGAGTCTCCGAGTCCTCAGCCAGTCTCAGGTCGACTACGAACAGCCTCGGTTGCTGCCAGTTGGAGAGTCAGGTAGCGACTAGGCGAAGTTGGAAGCCCGCCATGAGATATCCCGAATACGTAGACTCTGGGATATGTGGAGCATCCAGATATTACGAACGGGTCTCCGACAGCGACGTACGCTGCCCATCGCGAGATGTAAGAAGTTCTCACCAATACTGCTCATGAAATTGGAGGTTAACTGTCGGTATTCAGGATACTGGTTATCACTCAACAGGATCCTAACATTCGCTACCAGCCTACTTGATTGTTCTACCTTCGACTTCGCGTGTGGACGGATGGTTCGCTCTCATGGCACCATGTCCTGAAACCAAGCAGGAGTTCCCTGGAACCTCGTGAACCTGCCAGGGCTCTCCGCCCGCGGTGCCCACATACTTTTGTCGACCGTCACCCCCCTGTTCGGTCACTTCGCCGACTTGGCACCTCCCAAATGTGCCCGAGCAATTCACTCCGCACGCATACCTGATGGGTCGGGGCCGATGTGAAATAATCCACGCCGTGGGGCAGTGTGTAGAGATCTGGATCACCAGACCAGACCTGGGCGTACGTCTGCGGCGATCCTCTCCTGCGGGCTATCCTTCCTTCAGTTCCGCCGTCCGCGAAGAACGCCACATGCCGTCGAACCGCGCTGCGCATGCAAACACGCGGTCAGCTCACTAACGAACTCTCACATACCTATTCCCGCAGCTTCCTTCAGGCGGACCCCCCTCCCCCCCTACACATCTTAGCTCTGGCTTATGGCACTCAGATAATGTCTGGGGCGACCTCTCTAATTTGACATTCCCCAGATTCATGCCGTGCTACTAATGGTCCTAGCACGAACGTGTTCGATGAACTTCGTCGTCCTGGATCCTTGTATGTGCATCCTGGTTGGGCGAGAGATAGTGCGTTATCCCTCCTACAATCTAGACGGTTCGCTCACGCCCGACAGTGACCCGCCCACCTACAACGCAATCGTTATGCCAGTAATGATATGGGCCGGGAAAACACCACCCAGCTGCTCACCGACGGCCACCACGCTGTGCTCTGCGAAACGGCGCAACTCGTGGCAAGCTCTTACGGTCGATCTCACCGCTCGAGTCCTTACCCCTTTCCCCTTAGTCTCCTCTGCCCATGCCCCAACTCGCCCTGGCACTTCTACCTGATCCGCAACCGACCGGAGCTCTCTTTGCGTACTCCCCGCACCACACAGTGGCAGTCGCACTGCAGGTTTGGCAGACCGTCCGATGCATACGCGCCGATCGACCTCCCCGCGCTCCTCTGCATTCTGGACGGGATCTTCCGCCCCAGCATACCATAGTTTGGACACGAGTATCTCGAGAAATGCCTGTAGAAGATAGACAATCCGCCGGCGCTCGGCGAATAATACGGCACATCTGTTACTTCAAGGCAGTGTAGGTTCTTTGAACGATCGTTGAAGTGGAGGACAGCTGCGCCATGCACCCACATTGACGTCCGCCCAACTCAAGCCCAGCTCGTCTGTCGTGCCCTTGTTCTCCGCTCGCATCAGCGGTTACTAAACCATAGAGACCGCAGCATAACCTTCGAATCAAGACCTCGGAATAGGCGACATCGCCTTCACTGCTCGCAGCACGTTCTCTCAGTGGAGTCGTAGAAGGCGGCTTGAATGCGCTTCAGCGACCGTCAACTGTCAGCGGCGCCGTTACTCACTGTATGTTGATCACAGTCTCTGTAGCCGCGTGCGTTGCCGTCGGTCAAGGATTCTCGAAGTCCGATGTCGGGGAATGTGGGGTGGCTTGCCATGCCAGTGAGCGTTCAACCTGCTCCTGCGGACGCTTCTCATCAGGCCTCAGAATGGCCCTCGTGTGCCCGTCGATTGCTCAGTGCTTACCACGAGATGGTGGATCAGGAATGTAAACGAATTATCTTCGTTCGATTCGACACCCGGTATGAACTGGGGTTGAACAACGCAGCCATGCCCACACTGGACTTCCCGGGCACAAACTCAGGCTCTTCTGCAATGCAGGCAGCCCGAGATATTTGCACTCGCGAAGGTGGGCGCATTTGTCGTTATCAAAGTGTCTAAAATATGCACTTGTGCATGGAATTAGGTCTGCGGCGCGCCCTCCTCCGAGCAGTGCCAGCCGGGAGTGCGGGACAGTACAGGAACTAAATTTGTTTCGACGTAAAGACAAGCAAGAGCAATATGGAGAGGAGAAGCAGATCAGACAGCAGTGAGACAACCGATGCCACCGACACCAGGTAGGGTCGAGAACGACTCCCAACAGCGAGAACAGCAAAACGAGTAGAAAAGCATGGGTAAAATGGAGCTGGGTATGGGAACATGGACGAGCAGAGGAGTCACTGCAGTCTTACTCACAAGGCTTCGATTTCCGCCTCCCGCATTTTCCTTGGGAGCGGCGGTATCCTACCGCTGGGGGCAGGACCAGAGGCGCGGGAAAAGGCAGCGGACGGCTTTTGCTGGTTCAGTCGAGCGCGTATGCGCTCGCTGCGCCGAGGGGCAGATGCTGCAAGAAGACGGCCGCGGCGCGTCCTTACCGGAGAGATATGGGAGGCGGCGGGCGCCTTCTGGAGCTCAGTCCGACGTTTCTTGGGTGCTGGCGTATCCACATCAGTGTCCCCCGGCGGTGATACGTGGTGCTTGCGCGATGCAGGCCCAGCGCTGGGAGGAGCGGCGGGAGGAAAGGCGGGAAGAGAGCGGCGGTCGGGGTTGACAAGTTTATGCACGACACGATCGTCGTTCTCCAACACCCGGGTCTGCAGAAACTCCGACCAGAACGCATCGAGATGGGCCGCATCCCACGCATCCTTGTACTTCTCTTCGAGGCTTGGTGGAGGAGAGTGGAAATCCGCGACCGTTGCTATCCATTCTTGGAGAGCGGCACTTTGAAACTGGATGTTCCCCGTGAACAGACGCGAGTGAGCGTTGTCCATCTTCCACCCGCCGCCGAAGGTAACATCACCCAGACGGGCGTGACTACGGAAGAATGCGTGAACGGAGATGTGGAGTTTGTCCTTGCGAACGTCGTGGGGGGTGTAGAGCAAGGCGCAGTAGAAAACGACGTATAGCAGGGCTTCCATGTCATCCTTGAAGGTGTGCTTGGCATCCATCCCACTGTCGCTTAACATTCGGATCGACATGAAGTCCCATGTCCCCTTATATCCACCATGAGTTAGTCGTTGAATAACCCGAAAACCAATATCGCTTACCGCACGTCCGGCATCCTTAGCATCACCACCTTCATCGACCTGATCGGAAGCCTCCCAGTCGATGAGATATCCCCTGCGAATGGCCGACCCGGGCTCTTTCACCAATATTATATTGCCCACGCTGAGATCCCTGTGAATTCGGGAGTCCTTGGCGAGCGCATCTCTCATAGCTAGAATGGTCCCCGCGTCATTAGCCAAGTCAAGCGAACGGTCAGCTTGATCATATGCGCACCTGTAAACGTGTCGTATGTTGCGTGCAGCAGCTCTCGCGTCCCTCGGACGGTGTTGAGACCGTACCCGGCTGTGTCTGTGACCAGACGATAATGTTGTCGCCTGCTGATGTCGTTGTCTTCACCGTCAATGAGGCATCTCCAGGGTTGCCCCACGAAGAGGCTAGTTTGAGTAAGTTGAAATCTGACGCCTGGGTGAGACCTGGTTAAGGAAGTTCGCATAGGAGGCAAAGACATACGGACCTGTTTTCTGAAATGTGTCGTCCTCCTCGGGCACGTCTCCATGTGCCACCAGCAACGGCACATTGCGCACACCCAAGTCGTTAAGACGCTCCAAGATATCTCCCTCCAGCTCGGTCGTGGAATGCTCGCGCCATGAGTCCTTGAGGAACACAACCCGCCCAGTGTCACAGCACAGTGCCCAGTAGCCGCGAGTACCACGACTCTCCAGGTACAGCGGTGAGACGACGGGTCGCGACACGACGAATCGCCGGGCAAAGCTAACCGGCACTACAGTGCCCATAGGAGCTCGGAAGTAAACATCGACAGCAGTTACATGCCCTGGTTGGTAATGTGCCCTGACGGCTCTATCCAGCTCGTCGCCTTCAACCTCCAGCTGGGAGCGGACGTGGGCTATCACGGCGTCCCGGAAGCGCGTCTCCTCTTGTGGCGTGGCGATAGAAACAGTTGGATCGTGGCCGCGCTCTATGGCCGATACCTGGGAGAATCTCCAGATAAATTCGAGGAGCAGCTCTGGATGTTCCCGAACGTCGAACGCCTCGGTGACGATGCAGCCCCCACGGTCCCACCGGAGGATCCTTGCGAAGGAACCAGCCATGGCGATAGAGTAGACGACGAGTCGGTGCTGACGAGCAAAGACCTCCGTTGCGAAGGCGATCTGCAAGCCGAAGGCGCTCTCAGCCCTGCAAGACAGGTCCAACAGGTCCCAATCTTCTGTATCGAACTGGCGGACAAACTCGTGCGCCTCGCGATCCTGTTGATCGGCGCCAGTCGGGGGGTCGACAAAGAAGTCGTAGGAGGGTTTAGGGCTGACGTTGATGAAGAGTTCGGCGTATCCGAACTCAACACGGGTGTGCTTGTCCGCGCGCCGTACGAGTTCAGCATGTTCGGGGGTGAAGCAGCAAATGTGCGGTTTGGCGGACCCCGATCGCAAAGGGTACAAGCTACGCTCGATGGTCTTCTCGAATACAAGCCCTGGGCAACGTGCTTTGTACTTGGATGTTTTATTCAACGCTGCAGCCTACCGGACCTTGAGCACGAGACGCATGCGCCACCGCAAAGTAGACATACCAGGGGCTCGTATATCTGTGCCGCGCTCCCCGCGGTCTGTGGTACCGCCTTGAATGCGTGCCTGAAGGAGAGGAGGCCATCCCTATCATCGCAGGCTTGCGGCTTGAAAGCCAGATTTATGAAAGTTCTTAGCGGCATGGGACCCAGTGTGTACTTCCGTGCCTGCTGAACGTGTCCTATGTTTCGGGATGTTGCCAAGCCCGGACTGAGCCCCTCTGTATGGGACAAGGCCATATCTAGAGCCATAGGGACGTTATAGACGCCAATCATGGTGAACGGGAGTCCGGGGTGCGAAGCGCGAGCTGAGGTCCGAGGGGGGTACAACGTTGGTGGCGAGGGAAGAGTTGAGCGGAGTGCCGTCGACGTAACGGCTCCTTTTGTGTCGGCCGCTATTATATGGAATCAAACTGACACCAAGTCGGTGCAGATTGCTTGTGAGGACGCCACAGCAACTATGGCGGGATGTGCTGAGAGCAGAACAAGACGACAAAAAGAGGTGTTAAATATACCAGAGAAGACCCGAGCGGAGTGTTGTCGATATACCACGCCTTATACTGTGTTGGGCGCCGTAGATCCAATCTGACTTAATGAACCAGTCTTCAGCTTTAACGTCTGAGTCACCCGATAGAGAGAAGGGGTGCCTGAAGGCCATGTTCTCGATGTTGACATGTCACTGAGCTCAGGTTCTTCAAGCACTCCGTGGGATGGTGGAAAGCGCTTGCTCAATTATTATACGCGCGTCCTGCCTGGATGTCAGTAATCTCATTAATGAAAGCACCCGAGCATACCATGTACCACATACCTCTGGCGTGTGTAGTGCGACATGGTTCGTCGTGGGCAAGACGCAATCGGCGCGCAACCTCTTGGAGGTTGGCGGTGTACAGACGATATTGGGCGCTTATTGCATGGCAGTTACGGACCGCGCGACTTGCCATCCGACCGACTGCAGGTCTTTCTCTTCACTCTTAACCTCCACCTCTGCCGCAACACACCATGGACGACGCAGATCGCATCCAGGCAGCCTCCAAGTTTCTGCTTCAGTCGCCGCCTGGGGAGATCAACGACGTCCTGAATGGTAAATCACCCTCCTCGCGCCCGGTGGCTTGTGGACCCGCCCTGAGCTGAATCGCGCCGATCCCGCCAGATGTCCGCAACATCATCTCGGACGACGACTCGCTGCAGGCCGGCGTGCTCCCAGCACTGCGTGAGTATAACCTCGCGCAGTTCATCACCGCGGACGTGCCGGGGCACCAGCACCAGGTGAGTGCTGCTTTGTGTCTGCTATGGCGCGGCCTTCATCTCAGACCGGTGAATGGCCGTAGTCTATAGTCAGCGACGCTGCGAGAGTGCCGAGCGGAAGCAGCGATGAGGACGACGAGCAGTCGCAGGATAGGTACTGGGACCCCCGGTCACGGACGAGTTTCCGTTTCGACCACTTAACACTGGTGCGTATCGCGTCCTATGCTCTTGGTCTTGGAACAACTGTTCTCATATGTGTTGGTGCTGCAGGAAACGTCTGACCCAGAACACGTTGAGCCAGACTCGGAGTCCGAACCCTTCCGGTACGCTGTCTGCTATACTCCCCGCCAATGCGGGCTCTGAAGCATCCATCCCAGCGTAGCACTTGAGAATGCTGCGCTCGCATACCTGGCCTCCCACTACCACGACGGCGTCGTCTCCGTCTTCTCCACCCCTGGCTCTTCAAGCCGCTTCACCATCCAAATCGTCGCGAATAAGTATAACCCTAACAACTTCTGGTGCGCCGCCCTCTCCCTCTCACTCTCCCTCACTTTTCTCCGCTCACCCCATCCCCAGGTCTGGCCGCTGGCGCTCCGAATATGTCGTCGATACGGGCGCGAAGCAGATCACAGGCCGCATCCTGCTGAACGTACACTATTACGAGCAGGGGAACGTACAGCTCTCGTCGACGCACAGCCTCACGCTCGCGCTGCCGCCCGCAATCGCGCCTGGAGGCGGCGCGGCCGCCGCTACGAAGGTACTCGCGCTCGTAGAGGCGGAAGAGGGCCGCTACCAGGCGTCGCTGAACGACACGTACGCGGAGATGGGCGAGAAGACGTTCAAGGGCCTGCGCCGCGCGCTCCCGATGACGCGCTCGAAGCTCGACTGGGACAAGGTGCGTCGCGAGCCGATGGCATTAGTGTGTGGGCTGACGCGTGGGTGGTCTTCGAATAGGTGCTTGGGTATAAGCTGGGGGCGGAGCTCACGAATAGCAAGGCTGGATTCGGTGCGGCGTAGGTATCCGCACATACCTCGGTCGGCGCGGTGTATACATCTGGGAGTGAAACAAATGTACATTGTTGTGTTATAGGAACGGTACCACAGGGCTCCATGGAGCGCGTTGCGGCGCATCGATATACTGATGGTATGACAGATACTAGTTAGGCGGAAGAGTCTAAGACCCCACGTACAAGCATCGCCAGTGATTAGAGGACCGATAGAATACAAGCAGAGTCCAAACATCCACCACCCGTTCCGGGGCCCGCTCATAGCTTCGAGGCCGTGGGGTCCGGAAGCGCATACAACGCGTCGATGTAGGGTTTGAACTTCTCGTACGTCTCCTTTCTGCATATTTTATTAGTCCTCTGCTAAAACATGCACGGAAGTGATGCGGCTTACCTGCGGACCTTCAGCGTCGGCGTGAGGCAGTTGTTCTCGATCGTGAACGCGTCCAACGTTACGTGGATACGCCGCACTTTCTCGAAGCTGCAACGAGTCAGGTCAGCCTCCCGCACCTCCGCGCGCAAGTAATCACGGAAACGCACCCCTTCAGCTTCTGTACGTTCACCTCCTTGTTCAGCTCCGCCAGCGCCGCGTCCACGACGCGCTTGTCCTGCAGAAGCCGTTCAAGCGTCTCAGTGTCCTCGGGGGCGACCCGCTGGCCAGTGACGCGCGCGATGAGGGCGGCCGCCTGCGCTGGTTCGGGCACGACAACGCCGACGAGGTACGACTTGAACGAGTCGCCGTAGATGAAGAGCTGTGAGACGAGCGGCGCGGTCGTGTACACGTTCTCGACGTGCTCGAGCGCGACGTACTCGCCCTGCGCGAGCTTCATAATGTTCTGTATGCGATGTGTCGTATGAGCACGGAGACATGCGGGAAAAGCGTTGATGTATGCGCACCTTGACACGGTCGATGATCTTGAAGCGCCCGTGGTCGTCCAAGGTCGCGATGTCACCAGTGTGCAGCCACCCCTCCTCGTCGATCGTCTCCTTGGTCTTCTCAGGGTCTACCGTAGAAATTTGTCGTGAATATCATCACCCCCAGGCACAGTAACAGGCCTTCCACTCACCCTTGTAGTACCCAATGAAGCGCTGCCCGCCGCGCATACAGAGCTCCCCACGAGGGAACGGCTGGTCCGTCGCGCGATACCCAAGCTCGGGCACGTCTACAAGCTTGATCTCCGAGGACGGCTGCGGCGCACCAACAACGCCACACGCAGACGGGTCGTTCGGCCACGTCGACGTGCAGCACCCCGCGTTCTCCGTCATGCCGTACCCCTCGCACACGTCCGCAAGCAGCGCGACCTTGAGGAACTCGGCGATGTTCGCGCTGAACGGCGCGGACCCGCACGCGATGATCGCGACGCGCCCGCCGAGCACCGCGTGCACCTTGCGGAACACGAGGCGGTCCCAGAGCGCGTGCGTGAGCCGCCCGGTGGTGCGCAAGTTGTGCAGCTTCGCCGCGACGGCCTGGCGGAAGAGTGCGCCCTTGACACCGGGCGCGTCGCCTGCGGCGATGACGGATTGGTACACGCGGTTGAGCACGCGCGGGACGAGCGGGACGAAGTGCGGGCGGAGGATCTGGATGTCCTCGAGGAAGCGCGTCGGGTCGCCCGTCGTGTACCCGATCTGCTTGCCCAGCGCGACGGTGCAGAGCTCCATAATTCTCTGGGGAGGATAACGGGAACGAACCAGAGTCAGACGTGGTGTTTGGGTAAGGGGGAGAGAAGGGAGGGGCGGACCTCGTAGATATGGGCGAGTGGCAGGAAGGCCATAGCAGTCCGGTCGCCCTGAACGTCGATGTGGTGCATGAACGCGTAGGCTGCGACAGCCATGTTTCCATGGCTCAAGAGTACACCTATGAAATCTGGGTTCAGGATAACGTTCGCGCATCGTACGATATTTAGACATACCTTTGGGGACACCAGAAGTACCCTAACAGAAGTAATTAGTACTGCCTTGACAACGCTCGCACAATGACACGCTAACCGAGGTGTAGCATATAGTTGCGAGCGTGCTCGACGTAGCGGGAATGATGTCGATTAAGTTGGCACGTCCGAACTCCTCCACTATAAAATACGAGTAAGCGCAGTGCAGAATGTCCAAGGGTGCGGGGCATACCTTCGGCAATGTCCTTAACCTTGATGTTGCTGGTCTTGCCCCACGCGACCATAACTCGTTTCTCATCATCCTCGAGCGGTTCAATGGAGATGATCAACCTGAGCGTCGGCAGTTTCGGAGCTATTGTCAGGAGGAAGGGGATGTGTTCGGGCGAGGCATAGACGACCGTCAACTCTGCGTGGTTGATCCTGCATAGCTTCCGTCAGACTTGAACGGGGCTTATACCACAGTGTGGGATGCATACACATATTCTGTAGTCCATGTCAGGAGGCAGGGCATTAAGCTCGCGCTAGATGCACGTACCGACAGAGTCCGCGCCGAGCGTGTCATACAACGGCACGCTGACCTTCCCGTACGCTTGCAAGGCCAAGTCGACGAGCAGCCAGTCTAACACGGGATGTCACGTTCGCGACTGCTCCTGAGAGTGAGCGAAGAGTAGCACGCACTGGGGCAATTCTTGCTCCAAATCCCGACCGTGTCCAACTCCCTGCCGCCTAGCTCCCCCGACTGGAACATCTTGTGCATCGCGCTGCCCACGGCGCGCCTCCGCGCGTCGACCTCCGTCCATGACTGCCAGACGTGATAGTTCGCGTACTGGAGGGGCTTCTTGGAGAGTATTGGACGGTGTCCGAGGAATGGCCGGCCCTTGCCGAGCCGGAAGCCCTCCGCGTAGAGCTCGTTGAGATTTGTGTATACTCCGGGCGTGTCGAGGGTCACGAGAGGGAACTGGGCTACGGAACGGGTCGGCGGGCGTGAGCGGCACACTTTTCTGCGATGACGACATATCAAACTCACCATGGCGGTAAACGGCTTGTTTGAGGAGGTAGTCAGACGTCAGATGCAGCGCGTATGTGGTTCACTGCGTGCTCCAACTCACCGCTCTGGCCAGGACGCGCTGTTCCGGGCACCGGGATGGACTGCTTAGTGTAGTCCGTGCCGGCGGGCAGGGGGATGGGGAACTGGTTGAATGCACTCTGTCCGGACATTGTATGTGAGCGAGTCGGGCCGCAGAGAATAGCGACGTGGGAGATGGACAGAGAGGACAGCGGCACAGCTGGCTGAGGGCGTTCGCGCTCCCCACGCCGAGGGCATACCCGTCCAATTCCGAGGCCGGTGTTTGGCCCCTCGGCGTCCGACGCGTGATTCTCCCCGCACAGTCATTGCATCCCGCCTCGGCCACCGGCTGCTCCCTCCCCGATCGCAATCGCTCGATCAAACACGCTCTTGTTCCGCGCGAAAGCTGTGCTCTTCCACGGAGCAGCGAGTAGCGGCCCTCGTATTTTAACTCGGCTTTACCGACCAACAGACTCCTCGGGACACATGGACGCCCACAAATCTCTTAAGTATTGCCGTCCCCATTGTATCCCCACACTGGGCCAGACACTGAGTAACGCATTCCGTAACGTTACGTGGGTACCCCACGATGGTCGCAGCCGAGCACCTCCTGCCACACGGCCGCAACTCCATCCTCCTCGCAACCGACCTGCATCCCGTTGTCGCGAAGGATGTAATATTCTCTGTGGGGCGTCTGCACGGTTGCCAAGGCCGGGTGCAAACCATTCCCACCCGACGACGTGAAGTGAACGCTTTCGACGTGGTGGTGCCTGTTTCATCGCCGGCATGAGTGAACCGCGGAGAGCCGGAGGAAAAGCAACGCACTCTGGAAGGTATAAATTTAATGCCGGGGCCCTAGTCTTCAGCGGCACAGGGGCAGCGCCGCGGGCAGGAAGCCCCGCGAAATCCTGCACCATCTCGCTCGTCGACTGCCACGTCCCAGAGATGCTACGATGGGATAAGTACTTGGTAGGCGTGCAGAGACGACGGACGTACCTGTTTCCCACTACACAGGCCAACACATAACGTTCTGCGACTGTCCGCTTCGCAACGCCAAGCGCTCCCTCCCCGGCGACTCTCTTGAGCCACAACGTGCTGAGGCCACGGTCGAATTCTTCGGGACAAGACCACTTGAGGTGTGAAAGTAGAGAATCCCCTCCGGAGGAAGGCCCGCTGCGGTTAGCGATGTATGCGGACCAATCCGCGCGAACCGGGAGGGGAACAGCGCCGTCGTCGCTCTTCACGCCCATCGGCCGACCGACGACTTCACACGTCGCCTCAAGGACGAAGAGTGTCTCCCGCTTCCGTTTTTGGGGTTCCTCGAGCGTCACCGACCATATTTCTTCCTGAACGACTTCTTGCACGTCTATGATGGTCGCATGCAGCCAGGAAGACGGGTCGTCCTTCGCGCCGCTGGAGATCCCGACAGATAGCTCGAACCACGCACGAGTAAGCGCAAATCTGAAGAGTCCGATCAGTACGGTTCGGAGTGTCATGCGGCTGATGCACGAACCTGACTGCGACGACTATTTGTTTCGGATTGTCCGGGCTTGCCCATAGATGTTTGCTTATAGGATCGGCCAGGCCATAACGTTCGAGGAGCCGCGGCACGAAGGAGGCCTCGTATATGCGTCGCCGCGCGACGACCTCGGCCTTCCGAACGCGGAGGTAGGGCCACATGTTCGTCATCGCCTGCGAATACCTCTTCAGCACGTCGTCTTGCAGCCGTCGGCCGCGATAATCTTTCGCGAGCATAGACGAAGCTGAAAGGTATACTGCAAGGGTCGTTACACTATGAGCATATGTTCTGGGATATGCTATACGCGTACTGACCTGCGTATCTAAAAGTACGCGAGACAAGAGCGCATACAGCCCTCTCTTCGCCAGATAGGCCGCTCAAGATTACTGCCCAACAAGCCACGCGCTTCCGCTGCGCCAGTGGAGGAGGCAAGGTGATCGCATGCAGAGTCGGCAGCTCATCAAGCACAATAGGGAAGTCAAGGTATTCCAGCGAGCGATGCGTATCCTTCGGCTTGGGGGTTGTAGTAGGTTTCGTCGGCGGGGTCGCACTAGCAGATGTGATACGAGCAGCAGGCGGTTTAGCGGTACCTACGACGAGCGGTTTGAACCGCTTTGCGGGAGCAGTGGGTACTGGGCTAGGTTTCGCCGGAATAGATGGGTGGGCGTTCGTGCAGGCCGGCCTGATGGGTGCAGATACATCGCCAGCATTGGATGAGCGACGCGGGAGGACTGTGCTCTGGGCAGCCACCTGGGTACGCGAGGCCACCGCAGCTGTTCTGGGAGACGGAAAGGGTGGCTGTATGCGTGGTTTCTTGGGCGGGGGCGGCGGCATTTCCCCTTCGGCAGGCCGCTGCACCCTCTTCTTCCCCTTCGTTAGGCTACTCTTCACCGCCGGAGCATCAGTGGTCCCAGAAGTGGAGCCTTTGACGAGAGAGTTCCCAGTCAGAGGCAAGTCAACGAAGACAGCGCCTTGAGGTAGAGAAGGAGGAGGAGCAACTTGTGATAGAGTGGTACCAGTCACGTTTGAGGTCGCAGTGGCAGGCTTTGCTTGGGCAGCAGATTTAGCAGCAGCAGTTTTCCGAGGCTTCGACTTAGCCTTCGGAGCGGAAGCCTTCGCAGTGGGAGTAGCGCCCCCAGAGACATGACCAGCCTTGTCAGATGAAGCAATATCAACAGAAAAAGCTGAGGGTGCAGCGGGAGCAGAGGTGGCCGGGGCGGTGGCAGATACAGTCTCAGTAGGAGTAACCTGAGGAAGGTCCGACGCAGAACTTGAAGCAGCCTGCGGGATATTTGGCGCGACGGAAGGTGCGTCGCTCTGCGAGTATCCATTATCTGCAAGTTTCTGGATGAGGGCTGGCTTGCCGAGCTTCGAGTATCCTGCGATCTTTCTCTCCTTGCAGATCGCCTTGAGCTGCGCTACAGTGAGCTTTGAGATGTCCGCGGCCGTGGCCTTGGCATTGGCGTCGGCAGGCATAGTGTTCACAAGGACGGCTTCGCGTATACAGATGCAGCTTTGTGGCCTAGAGAGCTAGCAGGAGTCCTGTGAAAACGAGTAGAGCGATTGCAAGTCTCTTGAGATCATGATGGTGGTGCGAAGCAGAGTGACAGGAATAAGCGCTTGAGTCCTTTTCGCCTTCTGCCACCACCGTCCTGCAGGAACGAGACCTTAATCTCCCAACAGGTTTGCTCTGCTTTTGGAAGTCCGCTGTGGCCGAACCCCGACGCCATCTTATCTCGCCCGCCCCCGACCGGCGCTTAATTGCGCGAACAGTCGGGCCTCGCGCGACCTCGCGCGACGCGCCGCGCGCGCACGTCTCCTCGCGCGCGCAGGTGCGCGCGGGCGCTACGATTTCTCCTGTACCTACCGGCGATCATAGGCACACGTG